CCAAGTTGTGCTCTCCATTAGATAAATGGTTGTTCAAGAAGCTAAACTTCACTTTCGAGCCTTCCAGCACATTGTCTAAGATACTGCAGACTTCAACCATGCGGCCCATACCTTCAGAACCCATTGGTGGTAACAATTTGAAATCTTCAAGTTTGAAAACCCCAAAAAATTCTAGTAAAGTCAAGTCTCGTTTGCCTTCTGCGCAAAGCAGATTTGAATTGAGTTTGGTTGATGGAAGTGTGCTTGAAACGGTGCTGGATGTGGGCAATGACGGTTGTGAAGATATAGTAGCTTCTGTAAAGAAACTCTCTCTGGCATCATCTTCATCAGATAGTGAAGATTTGGATCCATTTCGTGCTCTATTAGCAGTATGTGGACAGTCAGTTCCCTTAAAATTTAGGGATGTTTTTTCTTCCTATTGGTAAGCTCCTTGTTTGTAATATGTTTGCCTTTACAATTTGAACTCCCCTTTTCCCGCAATATTTTAGCTGATCCTCTGCTTCTGTAAGCTAACATAACATACAAATTTCTTGAAACAGTGACCTAGACAAGATTACCAAAATCGGGGAAGGAACATTTGGAGAAGCTTTCAAGGCTGGCAACTATGTTTGCAAAATAGTCCCAATTGATGGTAACATACTAGTGAATGGGGAAGTGCAAAAGGTACTTGCTGCAATACTATGCCTTCTTCTAGTAATGGGATTTCTCGTTTTGTTGAATGATAATGTAATGAAGTTACTGTGCTCCAGAGATCTGAAGAATTGCTAGAAGAGGTCATACTTTCCCGCACTCTTAATTACTTAAGAGGACATGAGGGTGATTTTCAAAATGCTTGCACCATGTTTATCGAAACCATAGAGTATGTATTTACTTTAAAGTTCTATCATTCCACAACTGCTTAAGACTTAATAGAATTGATTACTTGAATGATCGTATCAATTGCAAGATTTTTATTCTGTCATCTTTCTGTGATCTGATTCCTTTACAGTTTGAGAGTGTGCCAAGGCTCTTATGATGCTGCTTTGATCAGCGCATGGGAGGATTGGGATGAAGATCATGGTTCAGAAAATGATCACCCTAAGGCGTTTCCAGATAACCAGGTTTTCCTTCTCTACTTAAACTTGTCTAATATTCTTTTTGGTATATAAGCAAAGAGTCGCCCTAATAATCTTCCATAACTACGACTTGGTGATCTTCTCAAGTATAAATGATTCATATACTATGAGGTTAACGTTACTCAGACTTATTCAATGCAACTCACAATTTGCATACAGTGCTATGTCGTGTTTGTTTTAGAGCATGGTGGCAAGGATCTGGAAAGCTTTGTACTTCGGAACACTGATGAGGCACGTAGTTTATTGGTCCAGGTAAAGTATACACTATAACAGAATTCTTGTGCTGATTCCTGAAACTTCGATTTGTTTTTAAATGATTGGATTATCATTTCAGGTTACAGCTGCCCTTGCTGTAGCTGAAGCTGCATATGAATTTGAGCACCGTGATCTTCACTGGTATGGTTGTATTTGTGAGTATAATAATGACTTTGGAATCTATGAGTGCTGCTGACTTAGGAATATACATTTTTTACAGGGGAAACATCCTTTTAAGTCGGAATGATTCTGTTACAATGCCGTTCACTCTTGAGGGAAAACAGATGTTTATCCAAACATTTGGACTGGGGATGTCAATAATAGATTTCACTCTTTCAAGAATCAACACTGGTGAATTCTTGTTAAAATACTTTTGCAATGTGTTTGGTATGGTAGAGTATACATTAATTGTTGATGTAGCATACTTAACAAACATCAAACATGCACAGGTGATGACATACTCTTTCTAGACCTATCTTCGGATCCTGAGCTCTTTAAAGGTCCAAAGGGCGATAAACAAGTAAGGAATTGAAACTAAAGTTGTACCAGTAAATTTATCTTTGTTGTATGAAATAGAATAAATGATAGTTAAATCATTTGCAGTCAGAAACATACCGGAAGATGAAGGAGGTAACAGAAGACTGCTGGGAGGGAAGGTATGGTTGATATATCAAATTTAATTATCATATACAAAAAGGGAAAATGTGTTAGTCAAAATTGAAAAGTAAAGAAGAATTTTTTTAGTGCTGAATCATTGTTAACTTTTGATCTTTATAGCTTCCCCCGAACAAATGCACTGTGGTTGATGTACCTGGTGGATGTCTTACTGCTAAAGAAATCATTTGTAAGTTTTTCTTAATTAATTTTAGACAACTACTTACTATTGTAATTTTTCTTATACAAATGCTACAACAGCGGCAGGGGTTCTCTATGCTGGCAACCACAAAGGGGTGAAAACTGATAAATTTTAAGTCTAATGTTTCAAAACCTGTAAGAAGAAATGACTTAGGTTTTTGACTGGTTCATTCTATGCTAGGAACGAACTTCAAAAGACGAGAGAGATTTCCGTTCATTGAAGAAGCGTCTCGACAAATATCAGTCAGCCAGAGAAGCACTTCTTGATCCCTCTTTCAGTAATTTGTTGGTTGAGGGTGGCATTTGAGAAACAACTAAGAATGACAAGATGTTGTAATTTTGCATTAACAACTGTAAATATATGAGGCTCCAATGAGTAGGAAGAACATTGTGAATATGTTGTGAAGTGTACAAGATAATTGATGGAGTTAACTTTATGAATGAAAGATATAAGATAAGTGCAATAGTTTTGATTTGAAGAAGTTAACTTTATGAGCAACCAAACAAAACCACAAAGCAAATCTGCCCATATGATATATCCTGACTTTTGTCACCCCTTTTCCCCTCATATTAATCCGAGGCCACTTTTCCATATTCATATTAAATCTGTCAAACTTATATAACAGGTGTGACTGTTCTCTCTCTCTCTCTCTCTCTCTCTCTCTCTCTCTCTTGCCTTCTCTCTTGCTTGCTTTCGGCTTAAGAGCTAGTCAGACAAGCTGCTTTTGATTTACTACTTTGAAATTTGAATGCAGCATAATAGCTTATTCCACATGGGTTGTCTTTGTCCACTCTTACGTTGCATGTTCTATCTTATTTTAAATCCGCAGAAAGAAGGTGGCTCTAATGGTTGTGGTTACTTTTTCACACTGTGCTACTTGGAAATATTAGATTTACTTTTGTGTCCTTATCATGCATTTGAGAACATGGTACCCTGCATTTTCTTGATAGCTTTCACCTCAAAACGATACATGATAAATATAAAGCAGCAGAAGAAATCTTGCTGTAAATTTCACATGGTTTGTTCGTGTATGTGGCAGTGCACTATCCACATTCCACAGCCACAACTAGACCTGTTGTGGTCCGGTTGCATCAAATTATTCATCTTCTTTATTCTGGAAACGATTCGCTGATCCGGATGCCAATTGAACTCAAGACCTTCTGACCTTGATCGTAGCACGTAACTAAGTCTACGTTAAGCTTTCTAAAATATATCAAATCGCATGGAACACATCCACAAACCCTTATCCAAGAAGGAAAGGCCAAAACCTAAAAGTGAATTTCTAAGCCTAATCTCTGGAAGACTTTCCTTTCAATCAACTTTTGTTTCCCTTTTATTGATAATCATTCATTAGTTTTTGGTTATTTTGTGCTTGGCTGATCTAAGCAAAATAGCTAGACTTTTGTGCCTCCTTCCTCCCTCCTTTAAAATGCTCCAACCAAATACAAATCTTTAACACCCCATTAACTAGAGGCCAGCTGTTTGATGCTGATCACCCCTATTTTATATGCATTTTTTAATCCATAAAATACTTAAGCAGCTTGGGAATCTTACCCCGTTTGGTTCACGAAACAGATTTGAGGGGAAATCACTTCCCATGTCATTTCCATGAGAAATGGAAGATTCCTTTCTCACGTTTGGTAATGTCAGGAAAGTAACCAAGATATATAACTTTATTTCGTTTCCCATATTTATTTCGACTAGGAATGGAAAACAAAGATTGTATAAATTTTCAATTATATTCATATTAAATCAAATAAACCGGAGTTGGGAGGAGGGCTTCACTTTCCCTCCTACTTTCCCATGTGTCAGACAACTATTTCCCATGCCCAGACTTATCAAATATGGGAAAGTGGTTGATTTCCCATCCCCAAGCCTCTTTCTCATGGATCAAATGAGGTAGTGGGATGAGAATATGATATCTAGGGTTACGGGTACGACATGTGGAGGAGAAAGGAGGCTTGGAAGGGATTGTGGAGGTCCTCAGATAATTAGGTTAGTTATTTTTGTTTAATATTTAGTTATAGTGAATTGACGAAATTGCCTTTCAAAAAATATCACATACAACTTAATTAACCTAAATTTTATCAGAGTTAGACATAGGTGTTTAATTGTAACACTTTACAAAGTTTAGGTGATTAATAGTTAAAATTAAAAGTTCATGTGATAACCGTACACATACTTAAAAAATTCAAGTGGTATTTATACAAATTTCTCATCCATAAAATACTTAAGCACCCTCTGGATCTTAATCTTATGTGAACTTTAGCCCCCAAAAAGAAATTACCTGTAGTGGGATGGGAATCTGATATCTAGGGTTACGGCATGTGTATTTTTAGATGCATCATGTTCTATGTTTTGCCACTTGTTTAGACCACTTTATATCCTTAGCTTATATCTCTTTGGGAAAGAAAAAAAAAGCACAAAAGCATAGTTGATTCTTTCTACTGTTTTGCAGACACAAGGTTTTCAACCCCATATCCTTAGTGACAAAGCAAACATATTTTCTTTATCATTACAACTCGTCACCTTTCTTTTTCACACTTTCTTTTTTGTCCTTTTTCTTTCCTCACCTTTATTTTCAACACTCTTCTCTCTCTCTCTCTCTCTCTCTCTCTCTCTCTCTCTCTCTCTCTCTCTCTCTCTCTCTCCAATGGGTGCTTATATTCATTTCAATTCTATCTGCAATGTTTTAAAAGCATTTCCATTTTATGAATCACATTAAAAATCCAGCTTGGTCTCTGCCTAGATTCCCAGAAACACTTCACATAATCATGGCCAATGCAGCTTCTAAGTGCCTCTTCTTGTTCTTCCTGTCTCTTCTCTCTAGCTGTTCATCAGGTAAGTAAAAACCGTTACTTATACTTTTTGATCTTCTGCTTTTCTGAAACCATGGTTCTCTTTATGAACATCGCACTAATTAATGTGAAGTTAGATCTACATTTTTAATATTCTGATCAGGTTATTGTTCTAAATTGGGTTAAAACTAGTTACAGCTAAAATACAAGATAAAAGTAGTTTGAAGTTTCTGTCTTTTATTTGTTTCACATCTTACAGGAACTCTGGTGGGTTTCTCATATCATGCAAGTGGAAACACTACAACTTCATCACCTAGTAGAACCATATCGTTCTTGAAGCAAAACAAGATCACCGCATCTCAGATTCGAGTCTTCGTTGAAAATCCTAGGATTTTAAGTACTCTGCCCGACACTGATGTTGCTGTTGATCTCTACTTGAATGAAAATATGATAAGTTCCAAATCTTCCTCAATCTCATGGCTGAAAACCCATGTAATTCCCTTTCTCTCACAAGCAAACATCAAAAGCAGCATAGTAATTAGTGGCAGTGACTATGCAAGAAAATCTAGTCTACCTATGCTTTTATCCACCCTGAAATACATGCACTCAGCAGTCCTTGTCAGTCTTCCTTCTGACAGAAGAATTAAGGTCGCAGTAGCATTTTCTTTGACATCTCTTGAGAATTTGAGAAGAGGACATGAAAGAGATCTGCATAGGATTTGTACTTATATCAATGAAGTGAGATCTCCAGTCATTGTAGAAGCCAATATTGATGGAGAATTGAGTATGGGTGATAGGTTTGTTCGGTCAGTGATTGAGAGAGCCAGCCTTGCAAATTCTGTTCTTCCTTGTAATGATGTCCCCATGGTTTTGACAATCAAAAGTCCAGCAGCTCCCAGTGCATCTGAAGTAGCCGAATTCTCTGTTAAGGTTTTGAAAGCTTTAGAAAGCAACACTCAGATTACAGATAGGTTAGTTGGGTTATATGCAGAAGTAGCTTCCATGGATGATTTTGCACGGAAAGAGCTCAAAAGGGAAGAGGAACAGATTTTTCCTTCTTCTAGGAGAGAACTCTTAAGCAGTTTCCATCTGAAAACAACTTCACATGACACATTTAACACACCAACAGTCTTCCCTACAACTCCCATATCAACACCACCACTGCCTACCACCCCTCCATATAACCCCACACCAACCATTGTCACTGTCCCTGCTACAAACCCGGTAACAGTAACCCCAGTAAATCCTGCCGCGCCGGTGGAAGTTCCCTCCACCACACCCGTCACCATACCCCCCACAAATTCAGTGAGCTCACCAGTTACCAATCCAGCCACAACCCCCATCACACCAGTCACCATACCCCCGACAAATCCTGTGACAACTTACCCGCCACCATCTGGAGGCGTTCCAGTCACAACACCTGTCACAAACCCAGTCTCACCTCCTGCAACAACTAATAATACTCCTGCAGTTCCAGGACAGAGCTGGTGTGTGGCCAAGAGTGGAGCACAGCAAACAGCACTGCAGGCAGGATTGGACTATGCATGTGGAATGGGAGGCGCAGACTGTTCACAGATCCAACAGGGTGGAAGCTGTTACAATCCAAATTCTCTTCAAAATCATGCCTCATATGCATTCAACAGCTATTATCAGAAGAATCCGGCGTCAACTAGCTGTGACTTTGGAGGGGTTGCCACAATAGTTAATGCTAATCCAAGTATGATCATAAATTTTTGTTTCTTCCATATGATTTAATACATGCTATACGCTAAACAATCATCTAAACCATATAAGTATATATGTATATATCTGACACTCTCCTGAAATTTTGAACAGGCACTGGTTCCTGCATTTACCAATCATCATCATCATCCTCAACCCCAACAACTCCAAATCCAGCATCAACAACTCCAACACCCACATCAACAATTCCACCACCAACATCAACAACTCCACCATCAACTTCAACAACTCCACCACCAGCAATAACATCAATTCCACCACCTGGGGAAGGTGTATCAGGGTATAGTGTTCTGTCTCATGACTTTCAATCTCTATACTATATTTACCAGTTTATCACTAACTTCATCTCTACTTACAGCTCCGGTACTCCACCTTCGGTGTTGAACTCGAGCAACCCGGCTTCAGGATCCATGCCAGAGTTTGGGAGTGACAGCCCTCCTGGTTTTAACACAACAACATCCACTTCAGCTAGTTTGCGACCGTCTGTTGGTTGCGTCTTTTTGGTAACAACCTTAGTTACTAGAAAAATTATTCTTACCATGTAAAAATATGACCTCTCCATGTAAATTAACGGGTGATCAGATTCCTCAGAAGCACATTTTCTCACGACAAATCACGGTTGTACATAACTGCATATGCAAGCAAAGAAAGCTAGAGGAAACATGATAGTTAGTTACTGTCTTGCATTAGCTTTGGGATGTAGAGATGATTGTGGGTGAAGTGAAGGTAAGCTTCTCTACATCTAAACCTGAGCTGGTAGGAAACAACAATTTTACTCTGAGGTTGAGAGGTGCAATAGAGATTTGTGACCCTGTATCTCTTTTAGTTGGGTATTGTAGGTCTGTGTACTGTGCTCATACTATTAGAATTAGAGTTCATATTGCTCTTCTATCTAGATATTTAGTAAAGTTGCATGAACAGAAATTTATGCTATCTATTGGAGTCAACTTCACTTGTCTGATCTGCAAGGCAACTGGCAGGGTAATGATTTTCGAGACATAATATCCCTGAATGGACTGATTTTACTTTCACAGTTCATAACATCATTACACATGGAGCTAAATTCCACATTAATTGTATCCGGATCAAGCCCTTCTGATCATCATGATGTTCGATCCATGCCCATCATTATCATTACTAGACAAATAATAATCATCAAACTTTATGCATATTTTTAGTGTCATCGTTTAGCATTTCAAGCTTTTTTATTTTTATATTTTGTGGTCGAAGTTTAGCATTTCAAGCTAAACCCATATACTAATTTCGAATCTAAATTACTAATCAGCCTAAGTTCCATTTGCTACCTTCCCAAGTTTCCACCATTTACAAATTGGGTTGGATCAATAAATTAGGTTATAGTTAATTAAACTGAAAATCCACACAAAATCTGGCCTTTCCTTCTCACATTTTGACTGGAGGAGATGCTTGGAGTTAGAACTCAGAATACAACACCATCTAAGATTTGGTTGCTTAACTATTGGGCGGGAGATCAGTGGCCAAATTGAATACTCCATTGTCCTTTTTCATTCATTTACGCATGTCACGAATTGAAGGTTCCCTACTAGAAAAGTTGAACATTAATTAACATGTCAAAAAGAAAAGTCTCCTATAAAATTATAAATAAGGAAATAAATCCAATACAACATTGTTGGCAAATACAGTATAGCCAAAATGCCGTACACGGATTCAATTTCCATACACTAATGTGGATTTAACAAGAAAAACAAAATTGCTTTCTCGGATACTGTTACATGATAAGAACCTCTACAATGAGCATTTCTACTGTGGCCTATGCACTATTTCTAATTCCTTGACTAAAAACTAAAGATTCATGTTCTTTATACATCAACAGCTCGATAGTGCAACTATTTCATCGCTTTGAGAACACCACCAAGATCAACATGGACATGGACACCACGATTTTGAAACCAGAGCTTTCCCAGAAATTTTGGCTTTCAGCAGCTGAAGCTCCACCACCACTCCGCTGTAACTGATCTCTGAGCTCTTTCAAAGCTTTGTCTCTTCGCTCACCCATCTGTCACAATGAATATGTTCTTATGCTAGTTCAAAATATAGTTGCAGTGAAAAATTGATTGATAAGGACCTAATTGTTGCTACATGAACACCAACACTGGCCCGTGTAATTGCTTAAAGCTCTGCTATGACCATTTGCAGGCACAAGGTTTGAACTAAAATGCAACTTCAATAACAAACAGAGTAAAACAAAAAGTTAGTGATTACCCTTTGAAGCTTTCGTGTTTGAGAACGAGCTTCCTGGAGACAAAACTCTAATTTCAATACCCTCTTTTTCAGTTCCTGATCTGCTCGCCGTTGTTTCTCCAACTGTTCCCAGAAACAGGTTGAAGTTCAATAAAAAAATTTATTATTAAGGACTTTATACAAGCAAACTGGGGACAAAGAAAGCATATGATGAATGTACCTGTGATTCAAACTCCTTAGTTTTGAGCTTCCAATGAGCAGACATTACCCTGATTTCATCTCTCAACTTTGCTATTTCTTCATCTTTTGCAACTAAAAGCTTATTAATCTTCTCAATATTCTTTGGCGAAACCTCATCTAATATTTTCCTCAGCTCACAGTCCTTGTTCACCCCTGCTTTTGCAACAGCTTGCATAATGTCATGCTCAATTCTCAAAACTTCATCTTTCAGTTGCTTCTGGGAAAACTCTCGTGCCTGAAGGTCCTTCTGCAGATTATCTAATTGCTCGCCTAGCCTAATTACACGATCATCTTGCTCTTTCAATGAGCAATTCTTTTCATCTAATTCCTTCAAAAGTGCTGAACACTGTAGGTGTGCCGACTGAGCTGATGCAGCACTAGCATCTGCAGTTGCCCGAGTGGTTGCAAGCTGTGATCTCAGACCATCCAATTCCGTGAGGTACTGCAGTCACATTAACAACACCATAGTCAGGGAAAATTGTACACCAATAAAGTTCACAACCCTAACTACCACAACTATGCTCTGCAAGAAATTACCTTGCTAATTACTAACTAATTAGATATTTCAAAGACAATAGCTAATGTGTATGCTCCAAAATACAAACATATTTTCTTAATACTCCAACAATTACCCAAATCTTCTTGAACAAATGGTAACAAGCAAAATAAGCTCCTGCATACAGTTATTTTAATTTAAAACAAAATGCACCTGTCTTCATTTTGTTTAATACACATCATCCCTTTAAACTCCAATTTACTTTAGTTATTAACCTTCCACATATCTCACAACGGTATTCTTCACTTCTTTATGTCTAGTCACAAATAGAAATCCAAGTTGATCTTGGTTTTCTGCCTTCAGGAAAACAGTTATATGTTGCATCTTCTGTTTATAAATGCAACTATTATGTGCCTACCTACATGTACATTTGCAGAGACTTGAAAAAGAAATTAGTTGATCTCCTAAGTTTTGAAGACAATTCTATCATTTTATTCAGGCTAAACTATTTAATGTGTTGATATGAGGAATAACACTAATTTAGCTTCTTTTAATCTGAACCCATTAGGACTTAATGCATACAAGGAAAAAGAAATAAAGGTTTAGGGGGAAGTAGATGGTTATGAGAGGCAAATTTTAATCCCATTTGTTTCTCATTCGGAATTTATCACTCCATATAATCACTCAAAACTTCTATTGGGAAAACAGTTAAGAAACCCTAAACTTGGCAACTCCTTAATGCGAGGTCATGTATGTAACAAAGGTTGCACAAAGTTTAATCTTGAGACTTATGTGGAAGAATTAACATCATTGGTTGTTTACTACAGTTCCCAAAAGTTTGAACTGTTAGGAGGGTGCACTCCCTCACTTTCCTAGCTTACCACTATATCGTGGCATACTAGCAAAAATTACTTGAATTGTTCAAGCAACCAAAAAGAGGGAAACAATTATATAAAATCCATAAGACCTGGTCACCTTTTCTCCTATGGGCTCCGCCAAAAACAAAGAGGAAAAGCCAAAAGGCATCCCCAAAGATGTGTATGAGATGTGCGTCTTGTTTGATAATTTCAAAACAGCAAGATGCAATAAAAACAACTAATAAAAGACCTCATCAACTTAGGAAAGAAAAGCTAACAACCGTAATTAGTTAATCATGTCTTAAGCGTGAGGATCTACCCAAAAGAAAATGATAATTTTTTAAACAGTTAGCCAGAAAATTTAAAAAGCTAATGAAAAATTATACATAATCAAGAACTGGGATGTGAGTGGGACCTTCTCAGCAGTAGATGCTGAAGCCTCAAGCTTCTCATTTCTATGTTCCAATCTCTTCTGCAATCTACCAATCTCCTCTTCCAAGTTTTTAGCCTTCATCTGTGCTTCCTGTGAAAATCACCAAAAAGCACTTAGAATTGCATAAACAAACCAAAATGACCCCACAAACACAAACACCCAAAAAAAGAGAAATGATTGATTTCAAGACTCAAACCATGTCATATAAAATACAAAAAGAGCCTTAAGTTATTAAATCAACAACTGCTTGCCTGTCTTGTAAGTGTTTCTTTTACAAATGATTGCTCTTGAGAAGCTAAGCGGTTCCGAGCCTCCTTCAACTCCGATGCTAAAGACACCACGTTCCGCCGAAAGCTCTGCTTTTTCTCGTTCAAATCTTTTAACAATGGATCAAACTCTTGGACCGACATCGATGACAATGACGAGGAGGAAGAAGAAGGCGAGCAGGGCAGTGATTTCTCCGAAATTGACATCATAAATTCCAAATCTTTTTAGCCAAGTGAGATTGATGGTGAAGATCTGTATGGCGTGAATACAGTGAATAAAGTCGCAAGGGCCCAAAGATCAGAGGTTGGTCCTTACAGTGAAAGCTATTAACTTCATAGCTGCATGTGAAAGCGGTAGTTGTGCATTAAATTTTCATGGCCTTCAAGAAATGAAATTTAAAGAATGATTATTTAAATAAATTGTAACTTTAAAAACACTATAAATGGTTTGACGGATTCAACTTTAAAAAAATGAAAATTCATGCCAATTTTTTTTTTAAATGAACAGTTCTACCAACATCATTTTCTCGAGATAATCCAATCCAAGATAATTGCACATATTTTTGAAATTTTGTCATGCAAATAATACAGCTCCTCAGAACGTCAACCCAACTATTATGAAGAGAGAGAAAGATGAAGGAAGTGGTAGAGAGAGAAGCATGCCTAAGGTGCGTCAACCTCAACCAATAAATAATATTGAGTTAATAAGAGAGAGAGGCATCAACTGGGTCTACTGAATTTAAAGAAATCAGAACTGAAAAGTCTCAAATTTGAAGCTCATACCCAGAAAAATAAAGTAAAACAAAATTCACCATTCAAAGAGTTTAAGTTAATTTGAGTTTACAACTGACCCACATATCAAATTTCGCAGGAAAAAAGAAAGCACAAACAAAACCTTAAAAAGTTCCAATCTTTTTCAATAAACTAAAACTCCTAACCTCTACATGCAAATAGGTCTGCAAGTAAGTTCCTAAAAATCCCAAAAACAGATCCAAAGACACTAAGAAAACTGCAACTCTTACCAGTCACCAGCATCAACAACATGAGATCACAAAGAAATGTTTTTTATCCCAGCAGAAACACAGAGAGGGGAGAGAGAGAGAGAGAGAGAGAGAGAGAGACCAGGTGCTGAGTCACAGACCCAGTTTGAACAAATAGCTGCTGAGCAAAACCCACTTGGGAATCTCTTTGTCTTCTTCCCAACATATGACAGACAGACAGATAGACCTCAATCAAATACTAATACTCTGTTTCAGCCCAACAGCAGAGAAGGTAACACAATCGGACGGCGGTGAATTAGCTTTCGGGCATCATCCAAGGGCTCAAAATGGAAACCAACTTAGCACCAATAAACCCGTGAAATTAGGGTAATTGATAGTAGGATTTTCTTTACAAAATTATAATAAATTTTTTGTCTTTATTCAGTGGAAGTTGCTGCATTTAAGCGAAATATCGACGCCCTGATTGCTTTGGTTCGGAGTTTCCGAGCCTCGGGTTCGTAAATATGACGATTCTCGAAGCTATCGCTTGGTCCTCCTTTGTTTTCAGTTTGACCCACAGCGCGGCAAATCCAAATTTTCGACACCGCCAATGGGATCTTGACACGTTGGCCCTATTTGGACCATTTTTGGATCTTCCTGTTTTAAACAATGACGGCCTGGTTCGCTTATTAAACGGGCCTGCTTTTGGGCTCTATCTACTTGTCTTTGTTTTTATTTTATTTTTTCGGTTGACTAGTAGTTTGAAATATATTTTTCCACACAAATTTAAATGATCAATTTTCTTTTTAAAGATTTAATTAGTACCTCATGTCAGGTTCACTTTATATATATATATATATATATATATATATATATTCATACAAGTGATATTGATGAGGAGGGAATCGAATCTAGAACTTTGAGTACATAAATAAATGTTCTTAACTACAAACCCATTATAGTTCATTTTATATATCGGCCCATAAAAATGATATTAAATTCTCCATAAAGAACTTCATCCGAAATTAAAAAGCTCAAATTTATGAACTTTAAATAAAGACCATAACAAATATAACAAATTATAATATATTTTTTTTCGTCCAAAAGAAAAATCCCTAAACATTAGTTAAAACAAAAGGTCAAAGATTAAGAGGCCAGTCAAACACTAATTTGAGAATTACTGAAAATTACAAGAAAACAAATTTATTGGAAACATATTATATGAAAAAGAAGACCAAAATGGACCAAGCTCACCAAAGTAGTCTCAAGACAAGCCCAAGTAGCTCTGCCCTAGACAAGCTCCCGAGGCCCAAAAGTCCCAAGTCAATTATCAGTCCGAAGGCCCAAGTCACTTCTCAGAGAAACAAAACTCTCTGCACTTCTTCACGGCAGAACCAAGAAGTTCACAGAGTTGACACAACCTGGTTACTTCGCTCTCTCTCTTTCTAAATTCCTAAGATGTCAATTTTTCATGTCATTCTCTGCCTTCAGTATTGTACATCATTTCTCAGGTCAGTGATCAATCTTTCGTTAATTCTCTTTTACATATAAACTTCTTGTTTTACCGGAGGAAATAGCACAAACTGTTCATGAACTCTTGCAATGCTGGTAAAGCTCCAGCCTTTGACATTTTCCAAGAGAATCCCTTTCTGGGTCTGCTCAGGTGCATGCATTTCTTCAGCTTCATGTGCTAAAACCGTTGAATGTTTCCCGGGAAACAATCAAGACCCACCAAATTCATCCGACTTTGAACAAAATATCCAGTCTTTGAGGAATAAGCTTGTTCCTGATAACTTAATACGGGTTTTAGATAACACTGATGATTTGGGCTCAGCAGTGAAGGTATTCAAATGGGCTTCCCTCCAAAGACGGTTTAACCACACCGCAGATACATATTATCGGATCATTTTGAAACTGGGTTTAGCTGGAAAGGTTGAGGAAATGGAAGGGTTTTGTCAAAATATGGTGAAAGATAAATGCCCAGGTGTTGAAGAGGCTCTTTTGGCATTGGTTGATATGTTTGTTAAACATTGTAGGCAAAGTGAGGCAATAAGGGTACTTGTGAATATGAAGGCGGGTGGCTATAGGCCCTCAATTGAGACATTTAATGCTGTATTGGGCGCTCTTGTGGAGGATAAGAGAGATTTTGAAGATGTCTTGTTTGTCTATAAGGAGATGGTGACGGCAGGGATCTTACCAACTATTGAAACTTTGAATTATTTGTTAGAGGCATTGTTGGAGACCGACCGCATTGAGTCTGCTTTGGGTCAGTATAAGAGAATGAAGAAGAAAGGGTGTAGCCCTAATGGTAGGACCTTTGAGATACTCATAAAGGCTCTTATTGCAAAAGGTAGAGTGGATGAAGCTGTTATTGTTTTAAGTGAAATGCTTGAACTTGGTTGTCAGCCTGATTTGAGTTTTTATTCCACCCTAATACCTTTGTTTTGTCAGAATAATAGACCCGAGGAGGGAATCAGATTGTTCGAAATGATGAGAGCTTCCAATTTTATGCCGGATTCATTGATTTGTGGGGTTCTGTTACAGTGTTTATGCAAGAACCTTTGTTTAAATGATGCGATAAAGGTTCTAGAAGATATGATGGAAACTGGATTGACACCAGCTAATGATGTGTTTGCGGATGTAGTAAATGTGTTCTGTAAATTAGGGAAGATAGATGATGCTATGAAGTTCTTGGAAGACAAGCATATCCTAGAAACTTCTGCCTGCAATGTATTGCTTGAAGGTTGCTGCAGTGCTGGTAAATTTCTTATGGCAAAAGACCTACTTGTGCAAATGTCTGAAAGTGATGTAGCTGATTGTAATTCGTGGAATATCCTTATCAGATGGCTTTGCGAGAATTCCACGATTAGGGTAGCGTTTGAAATTCTAGGTAGAATGGTGGTGTCTTCTTCTCTTCCTGACTGTGCCACATACTCAGCATTAGTTATTGGAAACTGCAAAATGAGCAACTACACAAATGCTCTGGATTCATTTCATCACATCCGTGCCAAAAGCTGGGTTTTGGATCCTACATCTTACTCTGAGCTTGTCAAAGGCCTTTGCCTAGTGGAAATGACTCATGAGGCCACTGAAGTGTTCTGTTACATGTCTAGTAATAGGTGCTCTATCCAGTCTTCCTCGTTCAATATGTTGATCAAGGGTGTATGTGAGACAGGAAAGGTTGATGAAGCAATAAGGCTACAAAAATTGGCCTATTATTCTGGTACTTCTTCTACCAGTTCAACTTACTCAGCTATTATGCTTGGATTGTCAAAATTAGACAAGGCAAAAGATCTGCTAGTAGTTCTCTCAAAAATGTTGGTGGAGGGTTGCAATCTTGATCTGGATGCATATTGCATACTCATACAAAGCATGAGTCTGCAGAATCGAGTAAAAGAATGCATATTGCTTTTCCGTATGATGGTCAACAAGGGTCTTATACCTGATTCAGAGAGGCTATTTAATCTACTGTCTTGTATAGCCAACCTTTCTCAGCTGCACGTGATTTCAGATTCAATTGATAAGCTTGCTTCTAGTAGCGAAGCTCTGAATTCAGCAATTTATAATGTACTGATTAACGGCCTCTGGAAAGAGGGTTATAAACGTGAGGCCTGTCGATTGTTGGATATAATGTTGGAAAAGGGTTGGGTCCCAGATGCTAAGACTCATGGATTGGTTATTGGTTCTGCTGTTAGCGAAGAAGTAGATTGGAACGTGTTGGACTATGATAATTGTACTGTCCAAGATACTGTTAGCAACATCCTTGCAGAGGGATTAGATGTGACATGAATCATGATACTTCAGTCCCAATAATCAATTCATGACCTGTTCGTCGCTCAACTACCTTGGTGAAGTGTGCTTTTGTTACATGTTCACTATTGAAGATTTTTTCTCCAAAATCAGTCACAGCTGAGCTAGTTTGTAGCTATGGTGCGTAGTGCAATGGATCGGGGGTATGATTGTTGCGTACCCTGTTCAATAGTTTTCTTCACCTTCACGTACCATGCGCATTGGTCTCTTGTACAGATTCTAACCCTCAACCAAGACCAAGAAAGGTTCGTTGTTATACCAATATGTTCCTACAGCTTCAAATGTAATTCTTTGTCTATGAAATCTCTGTGGAATTTTTATTGTAAACTGTTTGTATGTCTCTGAATTAATTTTATACATGTTTCGGCAAAAAATCCTTCAAAAAGTAATGGATGCGGAAGACAGAATGCAAAACAGTGATGTCCTATTTGAGCTAGCTGCCTGGGGAAGCTTTATGTAATCAAAAGAAATTGAAGCCACTTCAAATGTAGAAGATTGCCAAGTCAGAACCAAGCATCCCTAATGAGACTTGTTCGGACCTCACTTGTTGCACGGTACTTTACTCCCAGGCAAGAAGGGTCAAGAATGAAATGATAGGCAAACTGGGGTGAAGGTTGGGATCGAAGATTCAAGCAGGGCAGCTTTTCCCTGTGCAAGTGGTTCATGAACCCTCCTTGTTTTGCTTTTAGTAATATAAGTTTGAACTGATAAAAGACATAACAGAAGTGTAAGGAGGAAATTGATAAGTGTCATTCTGCAGATAGACTTTTCAGAAATTTCCTCCTTCAAAAAAAAATAAAAAAATAAAAATCTTGTTGGCTCAAAATTAGCTTAATTTTCTTTTGTTATTTATTGGTTGGTTGGTTGGATGGATATCTCTTTTAGTTGTTTTATTCTATTTCATTGTGTAATTTTTTCCTAAGATTAATTTTAATCTTGGTTGATTGATTGTATTTTTTTCCCAAATTAGTTGCCTTCAAATGACTCAGTCAATGTCAATTAACACCAGTCTTACCAGAGTTTGCTTGAAAATAGCAGTCAGAGGAAAAAGGCTGTGTAACTTCTAGCATTGTGTTACTAAAAACAAACTACTAAACTAAATGCAGTTAAGATCAGTTCTATTTCTTGTTGCAGGCGCTGTTGAGCCTCAAATACACGCACGCATATTAAAGGAGAGAAAACTAAAGAAGAACAAGCAATTTGTGCCATCATCTCTTCTTATCTAATTAATTCCTAATGGATGAAGATCAGGAAGAGGGGAATGAAATTCTTAGCAACATGATAGTGATCGGGGTCTCCTTCGTGGTTATCGCTGCAGTTGTGGTGCTTGTCATGGTGGATGTAGATAGCCCCAAGAAGACTATAGAACACCCGATGAACAACACAGGCATCCACATGAGCCTTGACAACATTTGTGGCAGAACTGATTACAGGGGACTTAGCCAAGACACTCTTAGTCCGGTTGGCAACAAAGCTGATGTGGTAAAATATTTTACAGCGGCTATCAAATCAACCCTTGCGGCAATGAAAAATGTGGCACACAATAAGCCAAAAGGTGGTGATAACCAAAAGGGAGAACTTGGTTGCTTTCGACTGACAGACTTGGGGATTGGCCAGCTTGAATCTGTGTTAGCCGTTCGATCAGAGGACTTGTTTGGGAGAAAGTCAGCTGATGTTAAGGGCAGCCTGAATGCCTCATACCAACAGAAATGCCTTCGACAATTGCCTCCTACAAAAGCCAAACCAGTTCGTCTTGATCAAGCGTTGAAGAAGCCCATTGAGCTTGCAAGAAATGCATTATGCATGGTACATAGCCGATGAGTACTTTGCAAGAGACGCCAAAAGGGCTAACAGCTTACACAACCATCAAACAATTCTTTTATATAATTCAGGGAGGGAGGCAATGACATGCGCTTGAACGTTCACCCAATATGCGTTCTACCAAGGCTGCACGCAGATTCTTTCATGTACCTTAATCCCAAGAAATCCAAAACAAAACTGATTCTTTTTTTCAATTCCTGTTGGCCTATTTTCTTCTTTCATATTATATAAACATTAATCAGTCACTTGGTATGACTGGCCAGACCCACCAAGTTGCCATTTTTTTTAAGAGTGGTGGGCACTGCTTTCTGGTGTGGTTACCGGAGAGTGGCCTTGGGGTTTCTTGGGGTCGATCCAAATGTTCGTGTTGACACATAATCATGATATAAATAAAGTCCACAGATCACATGTTGGCCTACAATTTGGTACCACTCTCCAGCTTTCTCATTCAACCCACATAATCTAACATTTGCAACTTTACAAAGGGAACCAGTGCACCGTGGTTTTGTGATCGATTTCCCCTTTTCAGTATTGCTTGTATATTGGAATTTTAAATTAAAAAAAAGGGAAGCAGAATGTTACACATGGAGAACTTGTATTCAATAAATACAAGCTCAAGTCAGCTGCTTTTATCATTCGTCAACTGACCAAAAGGATAATTTACAAGAGAGAGGACCAAAACTACTTAGAATTTGGCATCTATTCATGCCATTCCAACTTCCATGGACCTTCAAGTAACTCTAAGAACATGCTCCTCCTACTACCAATGTTATAGTCATCACACGTTACACTAAGTCAAACTAGCAAATAACCAAGTTAGCAATACAACTACCAAAGAGGAATGATAATTACAACTACATACGTCAGGTTCCATGGCTTGGTTATTTTAAACTAAGGAACAGGTCCCATTCTGTCTCTGAGGTTCCACTAGTCTGGTACAGATTGTGATGCCCTTGCCTTTGTCCTCTGATGCAATCCTATTAGGGAAAAGAAAAAAAAAAGCAAATTCAATTATTAAGGTATATTTATGCTAAAATACATGTCAGCCAAAAATACATTGAACCAAAAAAAGAAATGTAATCCTTAAAGCCTCATTAGCAGCCAGGGAACTCTATTTGAGACATCAAAACAAAAGCTGGTGCTGGCGCAAATTCAAACAAATGCAAGACTATACAAAGAAGCCATACCTACAATGCACTTGAATACTAATGCGCAGCCACCATGTATACTCATCAATAAACCAGTAAAAACATGGACGCATCGGAACAACATGTTTCTTTTGACAACTATCAAAATTGAGACGTAAACTGGGTAAAGCATTGAACATTATTCACAAAAAAGGTTGATACTTACAACGTCTAATACTCTACAATAACTCTTTGCAAGTGGACTTGTTGTGCCCAAGACCCTTGCATCTGCTGCACTGGAGTTGACGCTTAGACATCTCTTGTGGTCCATATTTCTTTGTAGTAGGCCGGCCGGGTGGACGGCGGGTGGGAGGAGGGGTTACGGTCACTGCTAGCTGAGAAGAAGCCTTCACCACAGGCATGTCTACATTTGGAACAGGATGTATTGACTCTGAGTATGTCAGTCTGTAGCTCTCGGTGGTAAAGTATCTTGAACAATAATCATACGGGCTTCGGCCCATACAACCAATGACAGCAATTGCATGGCAGCATGGTAACCCAGTTATCTGCCACCCTCTACAACTACAGTCCCAGCGATCAACATCAACAACTTCAGTGGAGTCACCACGAACCTCAAAAGTGTTACCAACCAAAAGTAGCACTTGGAGGTTTCGGACTTTCTGAGTTTCCTTATCTAGCTTTTCCTCCATGGATGGAGTCAGTCTTGTAAACCATTGATTAGATTCTGCCCTTCTTGTGTAGATCAACTCCATAATCTTACCCCTGATCACATCAACCATCTGTGTTATTGGTAACTCATGTGCATCTGATGCCCAACTATAGAACAGCTCTCCAAAGTTGGATGCCATATGGTTATATCTAGCACCTTGAAAGAATGCATTTGCCCAGTTCTGGGGCTCACTTTGTACGATCCAATTGTAAGCCTCCAGTGAGATACTTTTAATGCTTTCAAGACAACTTTGGAAGTTTTCAGGCCTAGGTGCATAAGCAACAGCATAAAGATCCTCAACCATGAGTCGCTTCACCTCATGAGAAAACTGCCCTTTCAAGTCTCTGATAAGTTGCTCGGTTAAGTATCGCAGGCAATAGCCATGGTATGAGTCTTTGAATATATCAGCAATTGATTCTTTTAATCCCTTCTGCCTGTCTGCCACAAATGTTATAGGGCAAGTTATTGAGAATGCAGATTTTAGTTGTAGTAAAAACCAATGCCAGTTATCATCAGTTTCTGCATCAACCACAGTGAAAGCAACAGGGAAAACCCCATCATTCCCATCTGCAGCTGTTGCCGCCAACAATGTGCCTTGATATTTTGATTTCAAGGGTATGCTATCAAGGAAAAGGAGAGGCCTGCAACCTTGCTGGAAACCATACAATGAGGCATGGAATGAGACAAATAGGCGATGGAAACTGGAGTCTTCCTTAGTCGTAAAAGTAGCAAGACTACCTGGGTTTGTCTCCATTATCTTGTCACAGAAGAACGGTAACTGGTTATATGCCTCTTTGTATGAACCTTGAAGCTGCTCCTTCGCTATTTCTTTCCCACGCCAGGCCTGAAAGTAGTTTAGCTGTATTCCATATTCCTGCTTGATGTCATTCACAATATCCTTGGGCTTATAATTGGGTAAGAATTTTAACTTCTCCTTAATTATACTTGCCACCCAACTCCTTGTTGCCTGATGCCCCGTAGTTGCAACAGCCCCTTCGCATGTATGTGTTGGATTCATCTTCTTGATACATATTAACTGAGTGGTTGATAGCCTTGATGCATGAATTCTCCAAGGGCAGCCTTCAGCCTTGCACTTGACAGTCACACGATGACTATCATTCTTCTTATACCTAAAGGCAAACTGATGTGCAATGGCATATTTACGCAACGATTCACGAAATTCATGAACACTGCTGAATCTTTGGCCCACACCCGTAATAGCATTCTGCCATTGCTGTGCACCTTTAGCATGCTTCTCATCGTTGTGGCCAAGAAGAGGGAAAATGGGTGATATTTCATTGGGTATATCAATATGTGCATCAATAGGGCTGGCATCATCTACAATATCAAGAGAGGCATCGAGTGGGATATCGGGCTGGGTGGTATCGCCCACAAAGTCCACAACATCGAGAGATGCATCAACTGGAACCACAGTTTCTGATAGAGTTGTTCTGCTCGACCTAAAAAAATCCATGAAATTCTGAAATTTCACCAAAAAGAAAATTTCCAAAACAGTAGTTAAATACTAGCATGCATATCAAGAGAACTACCTACTGGCAGGCATGTTGGAGACATCGGGAGCAACTATTTCTTCTATGACATAAATATCAACGGTTGCAAAATCACTGTGGAATTTGATCATGCGCTTGAGATCCTTGTCATTGGAAACAGTAATCAGGGTCTTCTTGTTGCCAGGGAGGAAGTATTTGATGGACATATTGTCGTTGCTGCAACTAAACATTTCAGTCACCTCTGTTTTAAACTCGTTAAACGTCATCTGGTCATCAATGTCAATTGCATGAGCATCACCGCCCCTATATGACAATGTACCATCTTTCTCAGTCAAGAATTCCCCCCCTGACTGACAAATTGCTATGATTTTCTTCCCCTCCATGATCTGTCTCAATCAAACACAACAAGCACATTTGTATCAAATCATCATAACAGAATCAGTAAGCAATAGATATTATCTACAGTACATTTTGTCTGTTAACTGTGCACAATTTCATAAACAGGAGTGCCTCTCTCACCAGACATCACGTCACTTCATATTACAGCAATAGGGGGAAAAGTACTAGTTTAACTTCAGATTTCATTGCTAAGTAATTTAATTGAGCTTAAACTGAACACATCAATACACACTAAACTTAAGCGATCAGACTTTAACTTCTAATTACGATAGGGCTGTTTCTGGTTACTGACAAACGCACAAAATGTAAACAAAATTAAAATTTTCAGTCTTTAAAACTCATTATTTCATATTTATTTCTCAAGAAAACCAAAAAGTAAAACAGTCATACAAAATTGCTCCAAATCCAAGTCTTTGGCAGCTAGGAAGGACCTAACCGGACAAAGGATTAAACTTCGTTGCAGATGCAAACTGAGAAAGGCAGCAACTTTCAAAGGCCCTAAAAGGGGTTTAACAATAAACGAAAGCATAAGCAAATGGGTACCTAAATTTCGATCGAAACAAATTGGAATATCAAGCTATATCCCAAAAGAAAGAGCCGATACTCTATGAATACCAAAAATTTAGACTTTTTAAGTGAAAAATTTAATCCTGCAGAAGGTATTCTGAAAACCCTAAATTCTGTAATAACGATAGATCAATATGTGAAAGAAAAAAAAGATCGGAAATTGAGATGATCACCTTTTAGAATTGAGACTGAGGTCTCAAACCCCAATGCCCAATTCAATTTTGAAATTGCGATTTTGAAATTGGGCTCGCAGCAACGAATTTTGGGAACGCTTAAGCATGCGTGTGAACCCACAAAATCATACCCAAAGAGAGAGAGAGAGAGGAGAGAGAGAGAGAGAGAGAGAATGGTGGTTAATATGGTTTGTTTGGTTCACTGTTTCTTCGTATTTTGGATATGTGAATACGTTACAGTTGGATTGTCAATGGCACTGGGCAGGGGATATGTGTGTGTATATATGTACATGTATATGGCTATTTGGTTTACCACCAGTTCATACTTCTCACTTCACAACCCAGTTTTTTCTTCCTCTTTTTCTTTTCAAAAAAATATAAAATAAATAAAAATTTAAGATTTTTCTTATTCTTATTGAAATAAAATAAAACCTTACATTTCATACTAAATTTATTGTGAAGACCATGTCAACTTTGTTTGCTTACAAGACCTACCTAGAGAATTAAATGTGTCCATTTGTAAAATATAAGCAGAGGATGAAACTTTTTTTTCTTTGTTCATAGAAGGATGAAACTTTTTTTTTGGGGGAGGTTTAGTTTGTATGATTAGCTTCGTGAAGCTATATCATAAATAGAAACCAAGACAAATAAGTGAGATGTTAATTTCATAGGTAACACATAATGCACATAAAAAGTTATAATCTTCAAAGCCTTGGAAGAAAGAAAAGGGTACTTCGGGAGTTGACATTTTATGTTCAAACCCATTTTCGGTTCATAAACCACAAATGGCTAATAGACATTGAAGTTGAACCCCAATCGAAGCTATTGGATCAAAGTTGACACATTCAAGTTTTTAAAGGACACATTTATGTCACATGCTGCCTAAGAATTTGTAGATATTATGGCCGCACTACTATAATATTCTTAGGTCAGTGCTGTGTTCAACTGGAGTCCATTGGTGAGTAGTTGTCTAAAACATCTCTGGAAATTACATTCCTTGAAGCTGTCTGACAATTGCTTATGTATTCATACAGGAACATTTTCTGCATATCAAACCCAAAAAAGAAAAAACAGAAACAAGTTCATAAACTTTTCTGTATAGATTGTTTGCATTCCAACTAGCAAGCATGCAGGAGACAGAGCACTATATATATATAGCTCCTTTTTATTTATCAAACGGATTTCTTCAGGCCTCATTGAACTGCAGATTAACATAAAGCCCCAGGTCAATAAAAAGTAAACAAACCAAATTCAGGAAATTGCAGTGTGTAGTATGTCTAGGCTCTAGCTTACAAACCAATAAAGTGGATCAAGGCAATATGTATACCTCAAGAGCGCAAGTGAACCCGTCATGAACGAGTTGATTAATTGTATCTCTGAGCTTGTAATAGTCATCAACTTTGTTGTAAATCTGATGACAAATTCGAACGTACCCCATTGTCAACACAACCTCTCCATCTTTGGGAGCTTGATAATGTATCCTGACTTCAACACCAAATTTCTTGCGTAAATGTGCCCATAACTTCATAGCATCATCATCACTTGAAATCCCCAAACAAGATGGTAAACCAACCATGATCATGCTAGCGCACATATCAGGAGGGCAACCTAGATTGGTTCCCCAAGCTTCTGCCAACATCTTCCCCATCTCAACAACAGCATCATGATTCATTTTTCTGATTCCCTCAACACCGCCTTCGAACCTCTTAACGAACTCCATAGCTGAAGGAAGCACCAGATATGGAGTATAATCCCTTGTCCCAACCCAAAAACTTTCTTCAGCCAACCCCATACCATACCTATGAGATACAACAGGGTGATGCAATTGCAAATCTGAATATGTAGCTGACTTCCTACAATACAGAAATGCAGCTGCAGGTGGGCAGAAGAACCACTTATACAAAGTACTAGCATAAAAATCTGCCCCAATTTCTTGCATATCAACATCTATGCACCCAACACCATGAGCTGCATCTATGAAAACTTGTTCAACACCTTCGTCCCTACAGATTTTAACCAATTGCTTAACTGGCATTATAACACTTGGCATGCATGTGACATGATCAATCACAGCCAATCTCACTCTCCTACCATTACCCTTTTCTCTCTCCAATGCTTTGCTAAATTCACTTATAATTTCTTCATTGGAATTCAATGGAAAATTAAATTGAACTTCGATAACATATCCACCAGCACGCGAAAAGTAGGCCTTGATTGAGTTCTTCACCGCGCCATAAGCACAGTGAAACATAATGACAGCATCCCCTTTGTTAAATTTCCCTTCAGCAAAGGCCCATGCTGCTTGCTGCAGCACTATGGCGACAGCAGTGGAGATGTTGTCTACAATGGAGACTTCATCCACATCTTCTGCGTTGATGAGGTCTTTGATTTTGTATCTTGATTCAAGTATCCTGTTCTCAAGCTCATTAAAGTAGAAATGGTCCGGCTGGCAGAGCAATTTGAGCTGCCATTGTTGCAAGGCAGAGATGACAGAGGCAGGGCAGCAACCGAAGCTGCCATTGTTCATCCTGGCAACACCAGGAGCATGGTGAGCAAATTCAGATTGGATTTCGGAGTCTGTGATGAAGGAAGAAGAGAGCTTTGGCTCAATGGGAACATGGTTTTCGATGCCCTCAGCAGCATCTATGTTAGAGGCCCTTGAGACTTGAAATGAAAGCTTGTGGTAGAAGAATTGGAGGGTTCGAAAAGGAAGAAGAACAATAAGTAGAACATAGTAACGGCAAAACATAATAATATTCTTGGCCATGACCTGCTTTACTCAAAAACACAACAATGCATGCACAACAAAAAACATTAACAAATGAGGATCAGAGCCAATGTATGGTTGAAGCAAGAATTATTTAAACATGATTTTTAATAATAATAAGTACCCTAAGCCGTTGTCGAAAGTAGTTTTCTTTCGTGGATGATGTTGGAATTTGATGATAATACTAGCTGCAAATTACTCCAAGAGATGCAAAGATAAGAGAAGGATAATGATAAATAGGGAACAAGAGCTCAGAGGTCTGCTCCAGATTTTGAAGCTCAGACTTTTTTTTTTGGGGGTCAACTCAGACTTGTTTCTCTGAAGTTCAATTATTAACTTGGAGAAAGCAGCCTTTCTTGAAATTATTACAAGGCATAATTGTCGACATTTTGGTCTGCTCACCAACTAAAGTCTAAAGGGAAGGCTGAACACAGCCAATACCAATAAAGGGAATGTTAGCAACATTCTCTCTAATATTCTCCTTTGGACTTTCTCCTTTTTTTGCTTGACATGTGTCATTTTCCTTAAACTTAAAACAATGTCATTAATATATTATACAAGTTAACTTTTGCTTTCCAAGTTTACCCTTATTAAATGTATTCAATTTATCCCAAAAAAATTCACAACTTTCTCACCATCTTATTAATTTTTTTAAACGTCAATTATTTTTTTAAAGAAAATGTTTGTTTTTTTCAAAAAAGAGGAAATGTCCATTTTTTTTTAAAACACAAAGGACCTTTTTTTTTCTATCTAAACTCTTCGTTTGTAAAAAAAAAAAAAAAAAAAAAAAAAAAAAAAAAAACATTCCTCCTCTAAAAGCATATATTTTCTTTTAAAAAAATAATTGACGTTAAAAAATAATAATAATAAGATGGTAAGAAAGTTGTGATTTTTTGTGTGGATAAATTGAATACATTTAATAATGGTAAACTTGGAAATCAAAAGTTAGCTTGTATAATAGGGTAATTCTATATGAACCCCATTAATTGCTCTTTACACCCCATAATTTTTTACACTCCACTAAATTTTAATAAAATTTCAAATTACTCATTATACCCTTTTTTTTTTTCCTAAATTGCCCTCATGAACCCCATTCCCTAACTCACTGTGTAAACCTCATTCCATATCAGACACCACCTGCCGAAAATCCCCTTCCTTTTCAACACACCCCATCTGAAATCAAACCCCACCCCATCTGATATCAAGCCCCACCCCATCGAAAATTCCCTCACCTTGCAGATACACCTCGTCGTAGAACCCATCCCTTTGCAAAGACCCATTGCACAACCCAGCAAACCTGTCATCGCACAACCCAGCAAACCCCCATCGCCGTCGTCGGTGGCCAGGTCTGCTTCCGATCCCTTACCTTCTCTTATCTCTCTCATCGATCCGAGTATATGAACTTTGATTTGTGTTTCTTTTTGTCTGCTCTGTAACTTAGCCCCCGAGTTTGACCAAAGCTTAATGCTTCGAACTAGTTTATACTCATGGTGCTTAAAAACAAATGAATTTCTTTTAGAAGAATTGGTTGAAGTACTGAATTTGTTGTGATGCTAATATATGATGTTTGCTTATATTTTTGTTCTGTCGTGCAGAGTTGAGGGAAGTCTTCTTTCTTGGAAAGCATTGTTAGGAAGGACTTCTTACCACGTGGTTCTGGTAAGATTATCGAAGGCCAAGAAATCTTAGTTATTTGTGGCAGTTTGGTCGTTTGATTTTGATTTTGATTTTGATTTCAACGTTGTGTATGGTTCGAACCTGGTTTTACGAAACTAGATTCTAGTTTCGGTGGATTACCACCGAAATGGTTACATTGATTCAGTGGTAGTCCACCGAATTTGAACCTGAGTTGTACGAAAATTTATTTTACTTTCGGTGGGTTACCATCGAAATTGTTACCTTGTTTCGGTAGTTGTCCACCGAATATGTTTATATTTTTCAGGAGACTCCCACCGAATTTATTTCGGTTTTTCAGTGGTACTCTACCGAATATATGTTATTTTTTCAGTGATAGTCCACCGAATTTATTTCATTTTTTCAGTGATCATCTACCGAATACGTTACTGAGTGTGTACTTAATATTGTTTGTTTTTAGATATGAAGAGGACTCGCAGAGGTACTACTGAGGCTTCATCATCCCGACCTAATAGACAGCGTCTCACGGCCTCAACGAGGAGACAAAGAGCGGCTCCTCAAGATCACTTTGAGGATACTACAGAGGTTGAAGATGTAGTTCCTACTCATGATAGTAATGTTGACGCAGAGGTTGAAGATGTAGCTGCTACTCATGATAGTAATGTTGAGGTACATGCCGAGCCTACTGAGCCATCTCGAGTAGGTCCCGTTGATCCATCTTTACTTACGAGTTTTAAAACTCACATAGCAGCTGCAATTTGGAATAACCAGGTAAATCGTTTTACTGTGACAATAGAAGGTAGAATATAAGTCTGGTTCATGGTAATTAACCTTAATTTTGTTTTTTTTTTGTTGAACTAGGAATGTGAGCCCTTTATGTGCATGTCGAAAACATCTACCATTCGTGAGTGGAATTGGTGGGGTAATCCAAATAATGGTATATTCAAAGGTTACATTTTTAGGTAGAGAAATGGAGGCCTCAGCAATCTCAAATGCAGATGGCAAACGATGAGTAGAAGTGTCGACTTTTCGCGGTCTCCCTTTGGTCTTCAACTTCTCTTTTGGTTCAGTAGCTCTTCCAGTGTCATGTGGACTTGTCTCTTCTTTTCATCATCTTATTGTTCATACCACATATTGAATCTTTGTAGTTGTGACCTTCCTGGTGAAGTTGTGCCATGACTACTGTTTCCTATATTGATGAGATCTAATTTCCTCCAATGTGAATGCACGACATCAAGTGGTATTGGTACACCACGCTCTCTATACTCCGCAATTTAATGTGCACATGGTAATTGGTGGGTTCGACGAATAGCACAACCACATGACAAAGCATCCACCCCATCTGTCTCTAACCTGATTGCAAAAAAATTACAATGTTAACTCTGTAAACCATATATGTACATGCAATAAGTAAACTGAATTTACCTTTCTGACTCGCACACAATTACACTCAAAGCCTTTATAGAAACAAAACCTACTAACTCTCTCAACTCCGGATGCCTGAACCTATGTTGAATAAAGCATTGACTCTTTTCAAAAGATGCCTTAATCTATGTGTGCTCCAGCTCTAACAATGAGTGTATAGTTACCCATGATCTCTCAAAGTTAAGTTGGCTTGAGCGGAGTTGTTGCTTCAACTTTGCATGTGCACTTTCCGCTCTGTTGATAACAATAATAAATTTTCCTGAAGCAAAATAAATTTTCAAATTAACATATCAAAAGTTGACTAAAATACTTACCTATTTGAGGTCGTCGATCCAAGATGCATACAAGTGTTTGTCCATGCGGCCACAAACCTATCCTTAAATGGATTTAACCAATTTTCATGTATGTATTCAAGAGCTTTTTGAAATTCATTGAACTTAGACTCAATCTGTCGCAAACAACGCCAATATTCCTCCTCCGTTTATGAACCAACCAAAGTATTCCAATCCTCATTAAATTGCTTCCATTGTTTGAGGGTCCCAAATAACTTCTTGCAGTTTGCCAACACTCTTTTGTTAATATGCCATCTACATAATAAATGTCGTGCTTTCGAAAATATAGACGTAATAGAATTCATGAGTGCTAGCTCTCGATCGGTGACAATAACACCAGGAAGACAATTATCATCCACCAAACTCCTCAATGCAGTCAATGCCCTTGTGTAATTGTCTTCCTTCTCGGCATTCATATACACATACTCAACAGAGAATGTCATATTAGTAGATATCACCCCCACAATTTGCAATAGTGGGAAACAATACCTATTAGTCTTATAGGTGCAATCCATGATAAGTACATGTGGAAATGTGCGCAAAATATCAATATTAATGGGGTGTGTCCAAAACAGGTCAGTTACAATATCACCAGATGTCCTATACCACTCAATATAATTGTGTTAGGATAACTTAGTAAGCAATTGTTGCATTTGGGTTCTCCCAACAAATTCTTTGGTTCTATTTCGGATCCTAGCGTTGTATGTTGTCTTCATAGTTGAAACATTCATTGCATCTCTATCTTTAATGGTGACCAAAATATCTTTGGGTTTCACCAAACTCTTAGACATGTCCACCAACAAGGCATTCTCCTCTTCAGTAAGTCGCCCCACAAATGAATGACCTTGAAGATACTCTGAAATAGGATGGTTGTGTACTCCACAAACCACCTCCAACTTCCAATCATCCTCATCACCAATATTGACACCTTTTAACAAGAATGGGCATCCACATTTCTTGGTACCAATGTCCCTAGCACATTTTTTCATATCACTATTTGCATCCGACCTTATATCAATTGTCTCACTAGACTTGCAAGACTTATAGTTACCGTTCCTCTCACAAGCAAGTATTACACGAGGTCTCCTCTTGCCCTCACCTCCATAATCAGACCTTTTAATTACATTGACAATATTATTCAATTTTCCTTGTTCACGAGCCTATCGAAGTAATGCATCTCTACCATTGAATATCTACACATAAAACTCATATTATTTAAATATAAAATTTGAAACATTAATGCCACGTTAATGATACTAAAAAGGATTTCAGACAAATAATTACCGAATAAGTTGTGAATTTATCACTATAGTCCATTACACATTCTGTTCCCACATTGTTGCCTTCAGTAGGGGCGTCACCTTGATTTTATTTCTTCAATGGGAATAAGATCAAAATAGCTTGGATTAAATTTGTGGTCGGCAATAAGTTACTAAATAAATAAATAAATTTCGGTTGGATGTCATTGAAACGCAGGTAAAATTTCGGCAGTAAACCACTGAACTACGTTTCATCTTACAGTGGATCTCCACCGAATATTAAGTTTTTGACCGGTGAAACCCAACCGAAAACTGTGCAACGTTTCGGTGGCATCCCACCGAATTTACCTGTCGCGTTTGGTATTGATGTGCTAAACGCAACCAGCGACCGTTATGAAATACTAAACTTGCAAAACACTAAAAAATAAACTCGTACCTCATTTTAATCCTCTCTAACTTCAATATCACCCTTCATGAATAAATACAAGATATTTTTTTACCAGTATAAACTTATAAATCTAGGGTTTATGATTTAGGAACATGATAGTTTGAGAACAAAGTCAAACTATGGTTGCAAGAACATATGTGGGGTGTAGTGAGCAATTTTAATTTTAATTTTAAATTTTTTGTCATTAAGTAATTGTGTACAAGGGTAAAATAGGTTATTTATATTTAAAATTAGTATGGGGTGTAAAGAGCAAATAATGGGGTGCCAATAAAATCTCCCTGTATAATATATTAATAACATTGTTTTAAGTGTAAGGAGAATGACACATGTCAAGCAAAAAAGGGAAAATGTCCAAAGGAGAAGGTTAAAGAGAAGGTTACTAGCATTCTTCTACCAATAATGGCCCATGTGGCTTGCTAGAGGCCTTGAGCTGATAGCAGTTGTAGTAACTATAAGGCCATCTCCAACCATGTTCGGGCTAAACTCAAATTTTCACCCTCTAAAATACAACCATTCATGTATTTTCAGGACTCAAATTTTTTTTCCCTCCAACCTTTCAGATTCATAATTTGAGTCTGCAACTTTATTAAATTGTTTAAGAATGATTAACCCCTAAATTCTTTTTCTTGACATTATTTTTGTTTCAACACTCGTGATTTAATTTTCTAAACATTTTAACCTAAAAAAATTAAAATTCCAAAACATAATAGAATTTCACTTAAAAATAAAAACAAATACAACATCATATGTATGCTCGGAATAATTCAAACCCTTCATTGAAGCCATTGCCATAATTTTCTTCCATTTTTACTTTTACTTTTACTTCATTAGATTCCTTTATCCCCTCATTCAATAATGTTCTGAACTTTTGCCCACCTCCACTTGTGTTCTTCAATTATTTTCTAAACCATTTTTATCCCCTATTGTCTTGTTTCAATCATGTTCTAAACCATTGCTCAACAAGAATGAATGTAGAATGAAAAAAATATAACAAAGGGAGAAAGGAAAACAAAGGTAGAAGGGAAAAAAATGATTTTTGGTGGATTATTACCAAATGAATGGCTATTTATAGAGTTTAGAATAAGTTTTGGGGTTGGATTTGATTTAGATTAATTATAAATATTATTTTGACCGTTGGATTTAAATTTAAGCCGTTGGATGTGAAATTTTACCATTGAGATCAGTGGCGGATCCAGGATTTGAAATCCAACTGGATGAAACTTACATTAAAAACTAGTTATGAGTGAATCTCATTAATAAACATAAAAATATACACCTAGTAGGAGGACATAATGAGCTATACCCTCAAATGCATCATATACATATAAAAAATAAAAATAAAAGAAAAAAAAAAAAAAAAAAAAAAATTCTTTTAAAAAAAAATCCAACAAATTCTTTATTTTCTTGGAGTTCGGATTGTGATCTGACATAACAAAATATACCAACATCAATGCCTTTAATCAAACATTAACATACCAAAAAAAATCAAATATATTCTCATAATATCAAGTAACATCAATGCCCTTAATCAAACATTAACATACCAACAACAAATCAAAACATCTCAAAAATACCAATATCAAATTAAACATCTCAACAAAATTCCAAAAATCAAAGACCTAATTAATTTTAACAAAGTCAGCAAATTATAATTCATTCTTTAAGTAAACTCTAGAATAGATTAGAACACATAACTTCTAACCTATTTAGAATATATTAAATTCAATGTTGTCATACACAAAATCTTAAAATTTGGGGTTAGGAAATTAAAGAGAAGATAATTAAAGAGGAGATAATTAAAGAGAAGAGAAATTTTAGGTTATGCATGCATATGGCTTACTTTTTGGGTGGGCATTGGTTTGTATGTTTCACATGGGTTTAGAGTGGGCATTTTCACATGGGTTTAGGGTGGGCATTGATTTGTATGTTTCACATGGGTGGGCATTGGTTTGTATGTTTCACATGGGTTGGCCTATTCTATATGGGTATTTTTTATTTTTGAAAATTTTCGGGTAGGCAGCAGCCTACCTTGCCCTAGGTGTAGGACCGCCCCTGATTGAGATTACCTATCATTGATTACAAATATAGCTGTTGGAATATAATAACAATACAAAACAACACATTAAATTTTTTTGAAAAAATAGCCGTTGTCCATCAATAATGAAATGTGCGCCAACTTTTTCGCACAAAGTTGCTGCCCAAACAGAAATTGTCAGTGGGCCCAGTAAATTTTGGTTAGCACATGGGCTTCCAGCCAGAAAGAAAAAAAAAAAGCAGATTTTGGGCCCACAAAAAATATTAGTCCAGGCAATAATGAGACTGGAATTCCACCCAAAATTTGAGATTTCTCAAATTTCCACCCCCCAAAATACATGGGTTGGAGAAGATTTTTGGACTCAAAACTCAAAATTTGGGTCTCCACCCCTTGGGTTGGAGATGGTCTAAGATGCACTGGGTCTATGAACCCATGCTAATTATCCTGTCAAGCGTCGTTTTGACTCAACCATGGCCCTTTACAAAACGATAAAATTCGAGCACGAGCATGCCAATCAACATGCCATGCCAAGCGGAGAACCCCTATTTTGCACTTAACCATGCTACAAGCTTAAGTGGGTCCAAGTCATGCAAATGCTTGGGGCTTGCTGAGCGGGTTGTGGTATGGATGATTACAAGTATTCACGAGGCTCACTGATGAGCCAAAAAGTGGAAGTTTTGGGCTGTTTGGGAGCCTCAAAACTCGAGCCCATTTCTTGAGCCTAAATATGTGGGTAAACATGAAAGAGAGAAAAGATAGCTCATCACCTTAGAAAATTGGCCCATCACCTTAGTAAATTAGCTGATCACCTTAGGGAGTGGCCCAAACAACTTAGAAAATATCTTAGGAAAGTCTCCAGCACATGGCCAAAGACAAACCCAAGACAGACCATATAAAAAACCAAAGGATACTTGCGTGTGCAGGCTGCTAGGAGCAAAACACCCTTCAGACCAACACCATTACCCACTTCTTTCTCATACCAGCTCTTGCCATAAAATAAGGGAGGAAAGAAGGATAGAGTGTAGCCAAAGATAGGAGATTGCCACAAGGATAGCTGCGAGAAGGCTCTAGAGCTTCCAAAAATCTTGTCTCTGTGTGTAACAACCCAATCCTAAATTAATAGTTAATTATTAATTTATTCTAGTAAAAGACCATTATACCCCTAGAATATTTTAATGGTTTAAAAGTTAACTTTTTATTCGGGAAGGAATTTGGGGATTTCGGTTATACCGTTGCGTAAAGTACAGCGAGATGAGTCCACAGATACGTAGTGGGCTCAAATCCGAGTTGTATTGAGGGAGGTACGATCAAAATACGTTGAGGGGCAAAATAGTAATTTGCCAGGTCATATATTTTAAAACTGACTTCTCTCTCTCTCTCTCTCTCTCTCCACCCCACCCCGGCGACCTAGCCACCTCCCTCATTTTTTTTCAGTTTCATCCGATGGCTTTCAAGAGCCACCGCCGCCACCACAGGTCACGATTGGCCATGGGATCGGACCCAAATAAACTGGGCAGCCTTCCCCTTCTCTTCCTGGCCAAGCTCCGCCGTTGAAACCGCCAAAATCCACCGGAAATAACCCGAGAATAGGCCGGTTTCGCTCGAGATTTCCAACCGTTCGTTCTCCGTCATCCGGCCAACATTTCCGGTGATCCAGGTATGGAAACTCATTTATTTCTCGAGCCCTAGCTGTTGGTTGGGTAGGATTTCAGAAATTTCTAGCGTAGATAACTCGATCTTGGATCCAAAGTTTAGCCAAGTTTCGGGTTGAGATTCCGACCACTTCCGGCCAGTTTTTGGGGTAGGTCCAAGAACAAAAGTGGCTCCAAATAGGGTGTTACACTTAGGGTAGGAGTCTTGAGCCTTGATTTGGAGTTTTTCCGGCGGAGTGTCATCGCTTTAGGCACCACACGCTGCCCGCGTGTGTGGCAGCGCGTAGGCAGCAAGGTGGGGACCACAATCGGTCCTAGAATAATCCCTTAGTCCTCACGAGCGCGTAGGATTTCACGGATCTTAATTTGGATAACGTTTGAACCCCGAACGGATCTCGCCTAATGCGTGAATTTCGAGTTCAACATGTTTGAGCCGTTGGATTGTAGTCATGTTTAGGTATGTTGACTCAGGTAATTCCAGCATCGTATAATAGTTGTTGGATCGTAAAACGGATTTCCAGATATTTTAGAAACACCAGCCCTAGAGCTATGTTTACAGTAAACAAGTCCGGACCGAAAGGAGTTATCTAAATCCTGTTATGGGATGAGCAGATAGTTAATTATAGGTTGCGGCCCGGATAGAAGCAGTGTCTCCGAGACTTGCCAGTTTGCAAATTAGGAACAAAGGAAAGAACTACGTGTGGCTTGATCCCTCAGTAAGGGTACGTAGGCAGCCTACAGTTATAAGGTGCAGCCACGAGTTATAGCCTTTGAGTTTGTGTTATTGTTTTTCAGGACATTTTGGTCATTTGTGACCCACACCCACCAGGTGTCAGTTATAAACAAGATTCGGCCCGGATTTCAAAGTGGAATTTAGGTCGGGTCCTTTCACTGTGTATTTGGACTGAGAAGGATTTCACAAAATGGGGATGAATCAAAGTAAGAGAAGAGGAATGGAGGGGGAGACTTGACGGATTTGGGAAGAACTAGCTAGGGTTTCTTGGGAAGAAGGAGCTTCTAGCGCCTATAAAATGGGCATCTTCTACCCATCATCTGACCACATCCAAAGAAAGCAAGCATCCCTTCTCACTACTGGAACCCTTCAATTTCGAGCTCTGTTCTCCCATTCCTTCCCCTTTTCTCTTCTGGCAAACCACTCAAGAGCCTGACAAAACTTTTGTCAAGCTACCGGAAATTTGCTCAAACCACCCATTCTTCCACCTTTATCTTTTCCTCTCTTCTCTCAACAAATCCTCTCAAAATTCCTTTTCCCCCTTACTTTTAACCCATGTTTCTCATAGGAAATCCAAGTCCTTTCTCTCTCTAATGCTAAACTCGTGAATGCTCAGCTTTCATGCCACAAGCTTCTCAAGCCAAGCCAAAATATTCATATGTAAGCAACTGTTGGTTTTGTTGGTGAAGGAAACCAAGGTATTTCCTAAGGCTCCACGAACCTTTCGAAGCACCCTTAGGGCCTGATTCTTGAACTCAGACGCAGAGGCAACTCCACCCATTTGCTATTTACAGCAGCCCAGGCCCATATGTAGCTGTTGGAACAAAAAATCCCCTACATAAATTGGCGACTCTGCTAGGGATTAGGCCGTTATCTTCACCAATGCCTCCAAAGAAGAAGATCGGAAGCAATAAACTAGAGAAATAAAAAGATAAAAACATTTCCTCTTTCTTTTTTTGGCTATCTACTTTGCAGAACAAACATAATATAAATTATTGACATGCGCCCTTTGTTTGTGTCTTAGATCTCCATTCTCAAGCAAACAAAGATCTTGTAAAAGGACTAGGGCCTTCAGCCAATATGCAAGACACTGACCATCGTCGTCAATTGTTGAGGCTAGCTTTGTTGTTCACCTCTCCACCATGATACATCATCAGCAAGTTTGGCCATTGCCGTAAATCACCTTCGTAGCAGCCCTCACCTTTTTAGAGTTATGCAAACGTGGTGAGAGAGGGAGAAGGAACACTTGCTCAATGCTCTCAGCCTCATCTCTGGGAATGGCTTCACCAAGATAAGATTTTTATTATCATGCCTCGTTGATCTCAATATAGCATATATATTGGTTTACATTTTTAATATATTCATAAAATTTATGTTTCATTGAACAGTCTTAAGCATAGACAAAAGCACGTGCATTCGGTCTGCCCAAGTCAAAAAAGATTGATTGATTAGTTGTTATTATTTTACTTTGATGCATTATATGGTGCACCAACTTGCATCATTTTCTTATTATTTATTGATCCACTACCATTATTTTACTTACCACTTACATTATTATATTGTATCATTATTTTGTTTGTGTGAGTCAAATTTTTATGGGGCAAAGCCCGAACCAAAACGACTACACAAGAACAAATCTAGGCCTCAAGAGACCATTCTTATCAGCATCTAAAATAGGTTGCATCTGATCAGGAGGAGAAGTTACACACTACCAAAAACACATTATCACAAGTTTTGGTTATTACTTTAACCAAGTCTTAATCATATGTATCTTTCTTTGGAAGAAAAAAAAAAAGTCATCTTTGCAATCCAAGCTTAATTCATTTGCACTGTTAACTTGGATTAATATATCATTTAAATGGATTAATCCATCATTCAAACGGATTGATCCATCCGTCAGGTGGAGTAATCCATATTTAATATGTATTAATCCACCTTTCAATTTTACATCTCCAGCAACATTTCTCAGGGCTTTCCTTATTCCACGCACTATTTACTTATCTTATACTTCTTATGATTTCGTATTGATCCACCTTTGTGTTGATCAATCCATGTTACACACTACAATGTAGATGCCAACTAAGCATGCTCAGTACTAAAACAATACCTGCTCAGCTTGCTTATGTCAATTATGTTAGTCATTTGCAAGCTACAATTAATGTTTATATTATTTTTGTAATCATCGTATGCTTTAGTCATGCAGCATTATATCAGTCAAATGCAAAGGACCCAAGCCTCCAAACTACGAACAACTCGTGCTCTTCACAAGGTTGGGCCCCACATCCACATGAAACAAGACTCGTGCCTCAGTCATACGTCTACACAAGCAAGCTGCAACCAACATAAAGAAAAATAAAAATAAATTCTCCAAGAAGGCAATGCACACAGCTCCTAATATCTCCAAGATCAGCTTTTTCATGCTCCCTCAAGCTCCTTCAATACACTCTATATCAATACAACCGTCTGTGGATCAACCCACATATGCAATGACCAAAAGGATATCCTAAGTTCATCAAACCATGCAATGACCCAAACAAATACTAAGGAGGCCACGCTACAAGAGTTTTTGCAGCTCATGCCAATCAAATCTTTTTTTGATAATTATGATGCACTTGGGGGCTGAGAAAGGAATTCATTGCAATCACCACCATTAGCAATTCCAAAACCCTAAACGTGCTTAAAAATCCATTATTACCAAAACCAGTATTCCAAGACCAAAAATCTCCTTGAAATTCCAACTATGTCACTATGACCTCCAAGTTTGCCATCACTTGCAAGAACTCGAGCTATTGTAACCCAACACATTTACTGCAGTGACCACTTGCAAAACTCAAGCTTCAATAGCCAAGCCCGAGCTTTTGGTTCCTAAAACATGCTCACAACAACTGCAACAAACAATACATAAGTTGCCATAACTGATATGCTCCAGCGCCTCAAGCACTTTCTAAGCCCTGACAATTCCAATGACCAAGTTTAAGAGTCAAAACCAAAGGCCGTTGGGATGTCTCAATTGCCACAATTCCATAATCATGCATCACCAAGCCTCAAGCCTTATTCAAGAAATCCAAGCACTATGCTTTACTCAAGAAGGAAAACACTATGAAGGTAGTGTTGTGTTACTACCGGAAGAACCAAAACGCTGTCAAGATGAAGTTTCTTTTACCAAACAATCAAGCTTTTGAGAAGAAGAAAAAAAGAAAAAGAAAAAGAAAAAAAAAAGAGTAAATTCACTATGCAATGCAACAACCAAAATATGCTTGCAGTAACCGAGATTCAAGCCAAGCAAAACATGGAAGATGATGACATACGTTGTTGGAAGACAACGACGTGCTTTGTTGTACCAAACGTTGGAAGATGACATAGTCCCTATAGTCATGTCACCAACGAGTGAACCAATGTGTAACCAAATCTGAAAGTGGAACTCCAAATCCCAGTGCTGGAACACATCATAGCTGGTCCCAAAACCAACATCGAGTCCAAGTGACTTAGTGGCTCCATGCTAGCAAATGAAAATAGCAACAACGACTGTAAATATGCACCCACCCTATAGTTGTGACAAAACCATGATTTCCTTGAACGAGCAAATATTTATCTGTAAGCAACTGTTGGTTTTGTTGGTGAAGGAAACCAATGTATTTCCTAAGGCTCCATGAACCTTTTGAAGCACCCTTGGGGTATGATTCTTGAACTCAGACACAGGGGCAACTCCACCCATTAGCTGCTGAAACAAAAAAGTCCTAACACCCCCTAAACTTGTACCTATTTTTCGATTTACCTCATATTCTTTTTTTTTTTAATAAGAAAACTAAGGATATGAACAACTTTTTTTCACCAATTTTCCCCCTACTGTCTAAATCAACAACATTTCATCCAATTTGCCATTAAATATGATGACAAAATGGTCATTTTGAACGTTAAAAATAAATGAAAAATAAAATAAAAACCAGAAAATTCAAATAATACTCTCTCTCTCTCTCTCTCTCTCTCTCTCTCTCTCTCTCTTTGATCTGTTGCCGCCGTCACGGAGGAAGGGAGGGATGGAATTGGGTATGGAGGTAAGGCTGGGGGATGGAATGGGTCTGGGTTTTGGGGGCAAGGGCTAGGGAGAGCGAACAAAAAGAATGGGAAGGAGGGGGAGGGATCTGTGGGGTGGGGGATAGATTTGGGGATGAAGGATTGGTCTGAGTGTGGAGGGTGATGGTCACATGGGGAATGGGAGGAGAAGAAAACCCAATTTTGGTAGAGGGGTAAAAATACAAAAGGGAGAAGGTGAAGGGAGGGGTCTGTGGGGTGGGGGATTGGTCTGGGAATGGAGGGTGGTGTTCATGGGGGAATGGGAGGAGAGGGTGGGGTGGGTTGGGTTCGAGGGATGAAAATACAGAATGGGGAGGTTGGGGGAAGGCTCTGTGGGGGTGGGGGATTGGTCTGGGAGTGTTGGATGGTGGTCATGGGGGAATGAGAGGAGGAAGAGAGGAGATGGAAGGGGAATGAGGACTGGGATCTTCGGGTTGGGGGGAGGGAGGGATTGGCACTAGGTTTACTATTTTTCTTCAATTTTTTTCCAAAAAAATAATTTTTTAAAATGATTTAACTGAAAATTGGATGAAATGTTAAAAATTTAGACGGTAGGGGGGAAATTGGCCAAAAAAAGAAGTTCATATCCTTAATTTTCTATATATAAAAATAATAATAAAGATAGAGGGTGAATCGAAAGTTAGGTACAAGTTTAGTGGGCAAATCACCAGTTAACCCTAGTTGCAATTACTTATTATAAAAATGTAAAAGGAGAAAGAGTTTAGGGCAAGTATTTTTAGGTCAGTCTTGTTGGTTGTTTAGGTTTTTGAGTTAAGGGCATGTATTAGTTACAATTACTTATTATAAAAATGTCAAACTGATTGCTGGAGGTGCTGTTCTATGTTCAAATGGAGTCTATTTATGAGTGGTTTTCTAACAGGTCTTACATGTCAAACCTATCTTGAAACAGACAGAATTGTTTATGCATTCATACATGAACTTTTCTGTATATCAAACCCCCCAAAAAAAAATAAATAAATAAATAAAATATGGACTTTTCTGCATAGCTTGTTGCCTGGGAAGGATCCCTTAAGGACTTAATGGTACCAAAACCACTGCAGCTAGCAAAGGATGTAGGACACAGAGAACTACAGCTCCTTTTATTCATCGAACGGACTTCTTCAGGCCTCATTGATCTGCAGATCAACATAAATCCCATGTCAATAACAAGTTAGCAAACCAAATTCAGGGAACTGCTGTGTAATATGTCTAGCTTATAAACCAATAAAGTGGATGAAGGCAGAGCATATATACCTCAAGAGTGCAAGTGAAATGGTCACGAACGAGTTGATTAATTGCATCTCTGAACCTGTAATAGTCATCAACTTTGTTGTAAATCTGATGACAAATTCGAGTTGATTAGTACTATCAACTTCATGCCTTGTTCTAACTTGTACAATATTTTCGCCCATTTCCCATGCCTTAGTTTTTAATAAATATATCCACTGAAATTTTTACTCAAAATCATATCAGCTTGTTAACAAGTGCAGTCAATAGCTGAACTGATAGCATTTGTTGCAGCACTCGCATATAGTACCACACTGCTCAAAAAGACAGTTTTAACTCTCACGCTGCTCAAAGTGACAGTTAACACTCTATATTACAATTTCCTTTCTCTTTTTTCTTTTTTTTCAGAACAGTTACAATTGCTTATTATAAAAATTTAAAGGAGAGAGAGTTGAGGGCATGTATTTTTAGGTCTGTGTTGTGTTCAAATGGAATCCATTGGTGAGTTGTTGTCTAAAACATCTCTGGAAATTACATTCCTTGAAGCTGACAGACAATTGCTTATGTATTCATACACCAACATTTCGGCATATCAAACCGAAGAAGAAAAAAACCAGTTCATAAACTTTTTTGTATGGATTGTTTGTGTTTCAACTAGCAAAGCATGTGGGAGACAGAGAACTATATGTATAGCTCCTTTTTATTTATCAAACGGATTTCTTCAGGCCTCATTGATCTGCAGATTAACATAAAAATCCCATGTCAATAACAAGTAAGCAAACCAAATTCAGGAAATTGCAGTGTGTAGTATGTCTAGGCTCTAGCTTACAAACCAATAAAGTGGATCAAGGCAATATGTATACCTCAAGAGCGCAAGTGAACCCGTCATGAACGAGTTGATTAATTGTATCTCTGAGCTTGTAATAGTCATCAACTTTGTTGTAAATCTGATGACAAATTCGAATGTACCCCATTGTCAACACAACCTCTCCATCTTTGGGAGCTTGATAATGTATCCTGACTTCAACACCAAATTTCTTGCGTAAATGTGCCCATAACTTCATAGCATCATCATCACTTGAAATCCCCAAACAAGATGGTAAACCAACCATGATCATGCTAGCACACATATCAGGAGGGCAGCCTAGATTGGTTCCCCAAGCTTCTGCCAACATCTTCCCCATCTCAACAACAGCATCATGATTCATTTTTCTGATTCCCTCAACACCGCCTTCGAACCTCTTAACAAACTCCATAGCTGAAGGAAGCACCAGATATGGAGTATAATCCCTTGTCCCAACCCAAAAACTTTCTTCAGCCAACCCCATACCATACCTATGAGATACAACAGGGTGATGCAATTGCAAATCTGAATATGTAGCTGACTTCCTACAATACAGAAATGCAGCTGCAGGTGGGCAGAAGAACCACTTATACAAAGTACTAGCATAAAAATCTGCCCCAATTTCTTGCATATCAACATCTACGCACCCAACACCATGAGCTGCATCTATGAAAACTTGTTCAACACCTTCTTCCCGAACGATTTTAACCAACTGCTTAACTGGCATTACAACACTTGGCATGCATGTGACATGATCAATCACAGCCAATCTCACTCTCCTACCATTACCCTTTTCTCTCTCCAATGCTTTCCTAAATTCACTTATGATTTCTTCATTGGAATTCAATGGAAAGTTAAATGGAACTTCGATAACGTACCCACCAGCACGTGAAAAGTAGGCCTCGATTGAGTTCTTCACCGCACCATAAGTGCAGCTAAACATAATGACAGCATCCCCCTTGTTGAATTTCCCTTCAGCAAAGGCCCATGCTGTTTGCTGCAGGACTATGGCAGCAGCAGTGGAGATGTTGTCTACAATGGAGACTTCATCCACATCTTCTGCATTGATAAGGTCTTTAATTATGGTTCTTGATTCAAGTATCCTGTTCTGGAGATCATTCAAGAAGAAATTGCACGGCTGGCGGAGCATTTTGAGCTGCCATTGATGCAAGGCAGAGATGACAGAAGCAGGGCAGCAACCAAAGCTGCCATTGTTCATCATGGCAACACCAGGAGCATGGTGAGCAAATTCAGATTGGATTTCAGAGTCTGTGATGAAGGAAGAAGAGGGCCTCAGCTCAATGGGAGCATGGTTTTCGATGCCCTCAGCAGCATCTAGGTTAGAGGCCCTTGAGACTTGGAATGAAAGCTTGTGGTAGAAGAATTGGAGGGTTCGATAAGGAAGAAGAACAAGAAGTACAACATAGTAACGGCAAAACATAATAATCTTCTCAGCCATGACCTGCGTTGCTAAAAAACACAACCATGCATGCACAACAAAAAAACATTAAAAAATGAGGATCAGAGCCAAATGTATTGTTGAGGCAAGAATTAATTAAACATGATATTTAATAAGTACCCTAAGCTGTTGTCGAAAGTAGTTTTCTTTCGTGGATGATGTTGGAATTTGATGATAATACTAGCAGCAAAGCACTACAAGAAATTTATATACAAAGATATGAGAAAGAGAATGATAAATAGGGAATAAGAGCTCAGAGGTCTGCTCCATATTTTGAAGCTCAGACTTGTTTCTCTAAATTTCAATTATTAAGTTGGAGAGAGCAGCCCTTTCTTGAAATATCTATTACAAATGCTGATAGCACTCGTTAAGCTATATTCATCTATGAAAGCTTGTGCCTTCCTTGAGGCCTTGAACTGATAGCACTCGTTAAGCTATATTCATTACAAATGCTGACCCACTTCTTGGTGTGCTCACCAACTTATAAAGATGACAGTTTAACACTATATTATAAAGCTGAAGAGTAATTCTTTGAACGCCTTTTATGGTTAGAATTGCTGTTTATGAAATGTAAAGGAGAAAGTGTAAAGGGCAAGTATTTTTAGGTTAATCTTGTTGGTTGTTTAAGTTCTTGGGTTTTCACAGATTCTCAAGTGGAGCCCATTGATCAGTAAACATATCTGGAAATTACATTCCTTGAAGCTGACAGACAATTGTTTATGCATTCATACATGAAGTTTTCTACATATCAAACCGAAAAAAGAAAAAACAAATGTTCATGAACTTTCTGTATAGCTTTTTTGCCTCGGAAGGAGCACTTTTGGACTTAATGGTACCAAAACCATTGCAGCTAGCAAAGGATGTAGGACACAGAGAACTACAGCTCCTTTTATTCATCGAACGGACTTCTTCAGGCCTCATTGATCTGCAGATCAACATAATATCCCATGTCAATAACAAGTTAGCAAACCAAATTCAGGAAACTGCAGTGTGTAGTATGTCTAGCTTATAAACCAATAAAGTGGATGAAGGCAGAGCATATATATACCACAAGAGCGCAAGTGAAACCGTCACGAACGAGTTGATTAATTGCATCTCTGAGCTTGTAATAGTCATCAACTTTGTTGTAAATCTGATGACAAATTCGAACATACCCCGTTGTCGGCACAACCTCTGCATCTTTGGGAGCTTGATAATGTATCTTGACTTCAACACCAAATTTCTTGCATAAACGTGCCCATAACTTTATAGCATCATCATCACTTGAAATCCCCAAACAAGCTGGCAAACCAACCATGATCATGCTAGCACACATATCAGGAGGACAGCCTAGATTGGTTCCCCAAGCTTCTGCCAACATCTTCCCCATCTCAACAACAGCATCATGATTCATTTTTCTGATCCCCTCAACACCGCCTTCAAACCTATTGACAAACTCCATAACTGAAGGAAGCACCAGATAAGGACTGTAATCCCTTGTCCCAACCCAACCAGTTTCTTTAGCCAACCCATTGCCATACTCATGAGACACCACAGGGTGATGGAATTGCAAATCTGAATTTTCTGACTTCCTACAATACAGAAATGCAACTGCAGGTGGGCAAAAGAACCACTTATACAAATTGCTAGTATAAAAATCTGCCCCAATTTCTTGCATATCAACATCTATGCACCCAACAGCATGAGCTGCATCTATTAAAACTTGTTCAACACTTTCTTCCCTGCAAATTTTGACTAAATGCTTAACTGGCATTACAACACTTGGCATGCATGTGACATGATCAATCACAGCTAATCTCACTCTCCTACCATTACCCTTTTCTCTCTCCAATGCTTTCCTAAATTCACCTATGATTTCTTCATTGGAATTCAGCGGAAATTTAAATGGAACTTCGATAACGTACCCACCAGCACGCAGAAAGTAGGCCTGGATTGAGTTCTTCACCGCTCCATAAGCACAGTGAAACATAATGACAGCATCCCCTTTGTTGAATTTCCTTTCAGCAAAGGCCCATGCCGTCTGCTGCAGGACTATGGCTACAGCAGTGGAGACATTGTCTACAATGGAGACTTCATCCACATCTTCTGCATTGATAAGGTCTTTAACTACGGTTCTTGATTCAAGTATCCTGTTCTGGAGCTCATTCAGGTAGAAATGGTCCGGCTGGCGGAGCAATTTGAGCTGCCATTGATGTAAGTCAGAGATGATAGAAGCAGGGCAGCAACCAAAGCTGCCATTGTTCATCCTGGCAACACCAGGAGCATGGTGAGCAAATTCGTATTGGATTTCGGAGTCTGTGATGAAGGAAGAAGAGAGTTTTGGCTCAATGGGAACATGGGTTTGGATTTCATCAGCTTTGAGGTTGTGGAAATGGTGGTTAGAGGCCCTTGAGACTTGAAATGAAAGCTTGGGGTAGAGGAATTGGAAGGTTTGATAAGGAAGGAGAAGAATAGGTGGAACATAGTAGCGGCAAAACATAATAATCTTTTTAGCCATGACCTGCTCACTCAAACCAGGACCATACACAACAAAAACAATAGCAAATTAATGAGGATCAGCGCCGATTGTATTGTCGAGGCGAGAATTAATTGAACATGATGATTTTAAGTACCTTAAGCCCTTGTTGAAATTGGTTTTCTTGCGTTAATGATCTCTCATTCATAGTCATTGTTCAACTTATTATTTTGTAATATTCTTGCGGACCTCTTGATATGTCTCAATGCTTGTCTTGACTACAAAAGACAAGAGAGCTACGACCAAAATCACTTGTTTTATATATGACATTAGGGAGGTTTAAATTGATTAGGTAGAAAAATAAAAGATTATGACGTTGATTTTAAGATTTGGGTCACCAAAAGACAATCTTATAAAGTTTGGTGTATTAATCTAAAGTCAGCTTCCATATTTTCATGCTTTTGAATCTAGCTATCTACATGTGATGTGCTGGAAATTATGCATGGAAAATGGAATGCTAGAAAACCATGGATTTAGGTTTGCCTTTGTGGCAAGAAAAACATCACTTTAGTAAATATATCAGCTTATTAACAAATGCAGCTTATGGCTGAACTGATACCATTTGTAGTAACACTCACATAGTTCAAGTGAGCACGGTAACTTAAAAAGTTCTGGGATTAAATCACTGAGCTCATAGAGACAGTTTAACACACTTTATTAGAAAGATGAAGAGTAAATAATTGAAGGGCTTTTAAGGAATGCATCAGCTACAATTGATTATTATAAAACTGCAAAGGAGTGCAAGTGCTTTTAGGTAAGTCTTGTTGGTTGTTCAAGCACACATTGTGTTTCACTTATTGTCAAACTGATTGCATGAGGTGCTGTGTTCAAATCGAGTCCTAATCTCTGCGAATCACAACCAAACCGACAAATAATTTTAATGTATTCATACATGAACTTTTCTGCATATCAAACCGAAATTCATGAACTTCTCTATATATATACGTGTTTGCTTAGGAGCACTTCAGAAGTTAATGGTACAAAATCCATTGCACAACTAGCAAAGCATGCAGGATATAGGACCATATAGCTTCTTTTTTTCATCCAACGGACTTCAGGCCTCATTGATCTACAGATTAACATAAAATCCCATGTCAATAACAAGTAAGCAAACCAAATTTAGCAAGTTGCAGTGTATAGTATGTCTAGCTTACAAACCAATAAACTGGATGAAGGCAGAGCATATACATACCTCAAGAGCGCAAGTGAATCCATCACGAACTAGTTGATTAATTGCATCTCTGAGCTTGTAATAGTCATCAACTTTGTTGTAAATCTGATGACAAATTCGAACATACCCTGTCGTTGATCCAACCTCTCCATCTTTGGGAGCTTGATAATGTATTCTGACTTCAACACCAAATTTGTCACATAAATGCGGCCGTAACTTCGTAGCATCATCATCACTTGAAATCCCCAAACAAGCCGGTAACCCTACCATGATCATGCTAGCGCACATATCAGGAGGACAACCTAGATTGGTTCCCCAAGCTTCTGCCAACATCTTCCCCATCTCAACAACAGCATCATGATTCATTTTTATGATTCCCTTAAGACCGCCTTCGAACCTGTTAACGAACTCCATAACTGAAGGAAGCACCAGATATGGACTATAATCCCTTGTCCCAACCCAAAAACTTTCTTCAGCCAACCCCTTACCATACCTATGAGACACAATAGGGTGATGCAATTGCAAATCTGAATGCGTAGCTGATTTCCTACAATACAGAAATGAAACAACAGGTGGGCAGAAGAACCACTTATACAAAGTACTAGCATAAAAATCTGCCCCAATTTCTTGCATGTCAACATCTACGCTCCCAACAGCATGAGCTGCATCTATGAACACTTGTTCAACACCTTCGTCCCTACAGATTTTAACCAATTGCTTAACTGGCATTACAACAGTTGGCACGCATGTAACATGATCAATCACAGCCAATCTCACTCTCCTACCATTACCCCTTTCTCTCTCCAATGCTTTCCTAAATTCACTTATGATTTCTTCATTGGAATTCAATGGAAAGTTAAATGGAACTTCGATAACGGACCCACCAGCACGAGAAAAGTAGGCCTCGATTGAGTTCTTCACCGCACCATAAGTGCAGCTAAACATAATGACAGCATCCCCTTTGTTGAATTTCCCTTCAGCAAAGGCCCATGCTGTTTGCTGCAGGACTATGGCAGCAGCAGTGGAGATGTTGTCTACAATGGAGACTTCATCCACATCTTTTGCATTGATATGGTCTTTAATTATGGTTCTTGATTCAAGTATCCTGTTCTTGAGCTCATTCAAAAGGAAATGGCTTGGCTGGCGGAGCATTTTGAGCTGCCATTGTTGCAAGGCAGAGATGACAGAAGCAGGGCAGCAACCAAAGCTGCCATTGTTCATCATGGCAACACCAGGAGCATGGTGAGCAAATTCGGATTGGATTTCGGAGTCTGTGATGAAGGAAGAAGAGTGTTTTGGCTCAATGGGAACTTGGGTTTTGATTTGGTAGAAGAATTGGAGGGTTCGATAAGGAAGAAGAACAACAGGTGAAACATAGTAACGGCAAAATATAACAATCTTCTCGGCCATAACCTGCGTCACTCAAAACACAATCATGCATGCACAACAAAAACATTAGCAAATGAGGATCAGAGCTAAATGTATTGGTAAGGCAAGAATTAAGTAAACATGATTCTTAATAAGTACCCTTAGCCATTGTCGAAAGTGGTTTTCTTGCGTGGATGATCCCGCATTCCCAGTCATTGTTCAACTTTTACAAGAGAGCTTTTGCCCAAAAAGGAAAAAAAACTTATACGAGAGAGCTAGGAACAAAATCACCTGCTTTTATATGTGACATTAGGGAGGTTTAAGTTGATTATGTAGAAAATCAATAGTTGATTGCGTTGATTTGAATGGAATCTTAATCTTATCTGAAGATTTGGGTCAGCAGAAGAAAGTCTTAATTTTGCTTGCTATATGAATTGTCAGATGTTTAAACTCAAGTCATCTTCAATTTTATCATGTTTTTGAATGTGGCTTGAATTTGGCTATCATGCATGGAGTTGAACCAAAAAAATCATGACTTTTGTTAATCTCGAGAAGTGAGAGGTTTGTCTTTGTGGCAAGAAAAACATTATTTTAGTAACTTATAAAAATGTATGTCAACATATTAAAAAATGAGTTTGCGCCAGACTTTGCAATTAAGTTTGAATTTCCCTTTTCGTAAATTAATTTAATTTAGAAAATTTTAGATTATCGCTTGTATAAAATAAAATTAAATTAAATTAAATTAAATTGTACAGCAGATAGGTTCCTCTACTGCTGCGCTCGTGATGTATCAATGCTTGTCATGACTCATGACAAAGACCGATCACCAAACTCACTTGTCTTTATTATTATGTGGGTTTGAGTGGGAATTTTCAAACACGTGTGTTGTTCGAGTTTGAGAATATGCGTGCAATGTTGTCTTTTCAATCACTAGACACAAATCACGAAATTAATGGCGCGGGATAATATAACATAACATGTTCTATTTTGTTGCGTGGGTGTCGATGGAGACAAGGTTTTCATATTCGTGGTGTTTGCGTTGGATAGATAAACATGGGGTCGCATTCAGGGGTTGAGAAAACAAATCTTCTTCTTATTTTCCCCGTTTGCTTCAATTTGTTCAAAAGCCGTTTGATTTTCGCTTCATCACTTTTCAACGTTTTCTTTTGCAGAAATGACATGCCAAATGAGTAACGAGAAAATCATCATGATTCATGATGATTATGAATCCTATTCCTAAGAATGTTCTCAAATTATTAGATGTCTGGCGATAATGAAATGGTAGGGCCTTTGGAGCTAGATGATGGAATACGAGTCATGTGGTGGACGACTGACCGTAACGTACCTCTTCATAATGGATAATTCGGGTGGGGTTAACAAAATTTTTTTTTTCTTCATAAGAATCATCATAAAATGAAAATTGGCTGTTAGTCGTGTATGTCAAAGGTTGCTTCATCTAATGGTATTATGAAGCGTGAGAGACTAAAAGAGCCCTCATAGGATTGCCTACTCAACTCATATGTCTACTAAGAATGCTTGCTTCAAACTTACGAAAATCAACAGCACCTATGAATTTTGAATAGGCTGCAAATTTTGACATAAAACTTTTGCTTTCTTAAATTGCTGCGCCTGTCGCCGCCGGTGGATGTAGCTGAAAATGAAATGCGGGGAATAAGAATAAATCCTAGAACGAGCCAGCAAAGATTTCAAATTCAAAACCCCGTTAACAATTGAATACAAAAGAGGAATATGAATGAGAAGAATCCAGAGGAATATGAATATGATCAAACCAAAAAGCACAAGAAATCAGAATAAAATCAAGATAGCCAACAACTGAAGGCAGAAAGAATAGTGGAGAATCTGGAGACCAGTCGGTTCTTTGTCTTGCCTTTTCAATATTAACATTTCAAAAAACAATTCTTTTCAGATCCGGCATATGGGTGGTGGGGGGGTGGTCCAGGTGGATACACCCTCCTCCAGTCAAAGTCTTCTCAAGGTGCAAAATTTCAGTACATCCAATAGCCATATTTACATAAAAATATCCCCCTTAGATAGTTGCAACATGCCCTAACTAAAGAATAGTCACCACTTGAAAGAAGCAAATAATCACCAGCCATCATGAAGTGTTACAATAATTTGCAGGAGACAACTGTGCAAATGCTATATTGAAAAAAAAGACAAGGAAATCAGACAACTAACAATCCCTAGTTGATGATCCATGACAAGGCAATTGCAATTGGCAATATAAGCTGGCAGGTCTTACTCTTACCACAATAAACATTGATGCAACAGATATGAAGTTTGTCTTAAATGAAAACTACGTAACAGTTAAATAAGCATGCAAATGATGACAAATAGTCATTAAACATTTACAACAACAACAACAACTCCGACAGCGTTCAACAGACAGTTAACATCTCCAGGAATCCAAAACACCAAAAACCATGAAGAAAATTGTTTCTGCTTTGATACATGCACCCAGCAGTCTATTTTCTACTAATTTTAGGATTTAATGGTACCGAAACCATTGCAACTACTGAAGCATGCAGGCGAGGCAGATAACCATGGATGTTATTCATCAGAAGAACTTCTTCCGTGCTTTGTCAGACTACAAATATACAGAAAGTTACATGTCAAAAACAACTTAAAAGTAATTAACACACATTCATAAAATACTGCACAAATTTCAACAGATAATCTCCAATCACTGGGTATACTCAGAATGGCTCACCCAAGCAAGCCTCTTAGAGGTACAAAATAATACAAATAAAGCTCCTCCTTGCATATCATAAACTGCAAGCACACATAGGGCAATTCTAGGGATACAAGTTATCCAGAAGAGAAATGTTAAGCAATACGCCTCATATTTGATAGCTAACAATCGTCATACTACATTACTTTTGCCCTGCAAATAAACATCTTCTAAGTTCTAACCAAATCACCTCATTATCTACCACCATAGCCTATAGACACAAATATACTGACTACCAAAGCAAGAAACACCAGCCAACTATAATTGCACTTCTGGAAATGGTAGTAAGACCACTTGGGTTCATCACAATATTTAACTAGCATTTCAATCTCAGTATAAGACAGGGAGAACCTGATTCTTGATGCAAAAGGGAAAATGGAAGGGATATGGATCTTCATATTGGAAAGCCAAACAACAAAGAAATTACACTCCTTAGTATTTCTTACTTAAAAACAATTAAAATGCTTGAAAGCAGAGCATACCTCATCAGTTAGAAAGTAAAGCACAAGTGACTCCTTCGGAAACAAGTTGATTAATTGCGTCTCTGAACTTGTAATAGTCATCAACTTTATTGTAGACTTGATGAGAAATTCGACAATACCCAGTTATTGACTCAACCTCCCCATTCTTGGGTGCTCGGAAATATATTGGGACTTCAACACCAAACTTCTCCCTCAAATGCGTCCTTAACTTTTGAGTATCCTTCTCACTTGAAATCCCCAAACAAGCCGGTAATCCAATCATGATCATGCTGGCGCACATCTCCGGGGGGCACCCTAGATGTGTTCCCCATGCCTTGGCCAACATGTTCCCCATCTCAACAACAGTCTCATGGTTCCTCTTTTTGATGCCCTCAATACCACCTTCAAACCTATTGACAAAATCCAAAACCGAAGGAACAACCAATTGAGGACTGTAATCCCTAGTCCCAATCCAAGCACTTTCTATGGCCAACCCATTACCATACTCATGAGAAACCACAGGATGGTGCAGCTCTGGACACTTGGGGGACTTCCTACAATACAAAAACGCAATAGCCGGCGGGCAAAAAAACCACTTATGCAAATTACTCGTGTAATAATCAGCCCCAATTAGCTTCATATCAACATCAGTACACCCAATACTATGAGCAGCATCTACAAAAACCTGGTCAACTCCCTCTTCCCTACAAATCTTAACCAATTCTCGAACAGGTATAACCACACAAGGCATTGAAGTAATATGATCAATCACAGCTAGCCTAACCCTCCTACCATTGGCCTTCCCTTTCTCCAAAGCTTTCTTAAATTCAGTGATAATCTCATCGTTAGAGGTCAAAGGAAAAGGCAAAGGGACTTCAATCACATACCCACCAGCACGACTTATGTAGGCCTCAATCGACTTCTTCACAGCACCATAAGCATAATGAAGCATAACCACAGCATCCCCTTTGTCGAATTTGCTCTCTGAAAATCCCCAAGCGGCCTGTTGAAGCACTATGGCGGCTGCAGTGGTGGCGTTGTCGACGATTGAGACCTCTTCGACATGGTCGGCATTGATGAGATCCTTGATGATGGTTCTGGATTGGTGAATTCCCTTCTTGAGCTCGTTGAAGTAGAAATGGTCAGGCTGGGCCAGGTACTTGAGCTGCCATTGTCTCTGAGCTTCGATAATGAAGGCCGGGCAGCTGCCGAAGCTTCCGTTGTTGATTCGGGCGATATTGGGGTCGTGGTGAGAAAATTCGGAGGCGATTTCAGAGGCTGTGATGAAAGCAGGGGAGAGTTTGGGCTTTTTGGGTACGTGGGTTTTGCTGTCCCCGTTGGGAGTGTGGTTATGGTGGTGGTTAGGGGAGGAGGCCATGGGGAATTCGGGTTTGGAGGGTTAGGGTTTGAAGGAGGTGATGAGGAAGCTGTAGCTGAAGATGAGCATGAAATGAGAAAAAGGAGAGAGAGGAGGAAAGAGTGTTGGGGGAGGGGAGTGAGTGTGGTGGTGTGTGATTGGTTGGAGCCTTTGGGAGAGAGAGAGAGGGGCAGGACAGAAATTAATTAATTTCCATTTAATTGAAGATTAATTTTTGGGGTGAAATGAAGTGGGACAAGTGGGGCACATTGGAGGTGCCATTAACTGAATTAACTAGTCAGGTGGCGCCAAATAAGACACACTCAATGACTCAGCTGACCATTTCCATTTGTCTGGTTTCTCCCACGTGATATGCACGTGATTTCCCACCACCAATTTCTTTTTTCTTTCACTTACAGTGATTTTCTTTCTTGATTTCAAATCCACCAGAAATTTACTATTTATTTCTTTGCTTTTTTCGAAAGTATGGCCATGGATTCAACCCATTTCATCACTTTGACTCTTTGTTTTCTTCTGTGATAGGCCTCCTCTCAGTCTCAGCGTGAAAATCACCTTTTAAGAGGACCCATCAGCGAGAGATAATAAAACTCTTTAGTGGAGGAGAGGACAGCTATTATGAGTTCTATAAGCATCGTCATGAATATAGTCTTTATTCCCGTATCATATAATAATTTTTTTTCGTTACAAACACGAGCATGAGTTAGATTTTTGTTTGCTCAACCTAAAACACATTATAGACTTATGTATGGGATAAATGGTTACTATTTAGGCAAGTTTTAATTTGCCACCCCCACATCCTTTTATTTGGGGCAGAGTTCATGTCACCAAAGTTCTCTCGTCAAAATTGTCATCATCCCTTGGTGTGTAAGGATCCAAATCAACTTTTTAACTCAGTCTTCATGACATCCATTCCAAGGATGACCCTAACTAAAGGTTCCAAATCAACTATTCAACTCCTCGTTGTATGCATTGAATCTAGACCAATAAGAGACGCATAGACATCCGTGTATAGAACCGCCTACACAATTTACATGCTTGAATGGTTGATAACATTGTCGTGCCAACTAATTTGACATTTTGTGTTACAAAATTGTCAATAAATTAATATAGGACCACTGCTGATTTAGGATAAGGGGTTGGATTTATATTTTTGTTGATTCCGTCGTCTTATATTTGTCTTATTGTTTTGCAGCTGAAAATTCCGATGTCAATTTGCCAAAACCTGGCTGGATCAGCCACCACCGTCCCTTATGGGTGTTTTAACTTTTGATGGGAACTTTCTGTTTTGCTGGGTTAGGTTCTTGCACTAAGCTGTGTCCAGCATGTGCTCCTTTCCCAGCGTATGCTTTTGTTGTTTATGCTATCTTGTTTTCCCCTTTTGGCTCCCCTGTCTGAGGTTTATGAAGTATCTCTTTTGACCAAAAAAAAATTTGCCAAAACATGAGGACAATATCATTATTCGTCTTTAGTAGTTTAGTCGAGGTATCATTTGCATCCAAGAATTCTATAGCGAGGGTCTTATATATGGTCTTTAGTTGATACTCTATTTTTTAGCCATTAGATTAAATTGGTTAGTCATTAGATCAAATTAGTTAATTTAATTCAACGGTTAAGAGATATAACCTCACCTAAGGACCATATATGAAACCCTCACTAAAAAATGACTTGCATCCAAGAATAGGACAAGTAATGGGTTTGCATTGTGTTTTTGTTCGGTCTCAAATCCCTTTCACTTCATGTATTAAAGCCTTTAATCGTCGAACCAACGACAGCGATGTGGTGCCATGTGTCGCATTATTATTAGCCTCAATAACTATGGGCTACAAACCCAAAAAAAATAGAAATTTGACAATATGGGCTAGATTTATGTCTTCATGTTGTAAATTTGGGCTCAAAGCCTCAGACTAGTCCATTCAAGTTTTAGGCTTCTTTTGGGCTCTTCTTTGAGTATTTTCCAACACAGCATCATCGTTTCATCCTTTTACCACCTAAGAATCCAACAAATATTTGCATCAACATCACCTCGTACACAAGTTCGAATCTACCTCTCCCTTAAATTAGACTTACGACTATCACCTTGGTATACAAGAGAATTTGGGCCTCACCTCGGTACACTTCTCCATCTTGGAGATGGCGAGGACTTATTTTCTTCAGAGGTGATGGTAGCATCTCATCTGACAAATGATGGAACTGGGTTGCAGGCACAGAGTCAGCAGCCTTTGAAGCAGGGACGGGCGCGGCCATGAGGGCAGTAGCTGGAACATCATGAGGCTCTACGTCAAACCACAATCAGATTCAAATAATAAGTTCATTGAAAAGCAACTAGAAAATGAACTTCTTGGACATAAAAATAGCTAAAATGCAAGCAATTATACTCACCCTTAATATCAATTTTCTTGTCCTCAATCAGTATGCCAAGACCATCTGCTTCATCCGACCCTGAACCTATCTTCTGCTTCACTCGCCTTATGCTGTACACATGCTGCATAGAAACTTTATCCTCTTTGAAGTCTTTCAACTTGACACATTAATTTGCAAGAATGTAATGTGAGGATATGGAGTATTTTTCCGAAACTTTTGAGCAGACAAATGGATGACAATGATGGATTATCAATGGAGGAGAGATGATAAAAGTATTACTTTGACAGAACTGGCCACGACGACATTGGTGGTGTTAGCTGGAGTTTCCTTCTCCTCACAGAGAGTAAGGAGCTCCTTTCTTTTGCGTCTGTAGAAAGATGTAATGAATTGAGTGGAATGTATAAAAGTGAGCCACTGTGCAAGGATCAAGCCGTTTTATACTAGGGCTTGTAGACCTGCATTTTCCTTTTCTTCGTTGCCTATATATGCTTATAATCTAATCTTGGGGAAAAAAAAAACGTGACAGATATATAGAATTCTGGTAGTTATCTGAGGTGGAACCAGGCAACAATAGTTTGAACCCAACCCAATTCCCATTCTATCTATTTTCCCAATTCACTTAGGGACATGAAAGGAGGAAAAAAAGGGTTTACCACCAAATGCAGAAGGAAGGGCCTACCACCAACCATTAAACTTCAAACAGTCTCACCCTCTCAGGCCTTACTACCTAAGCTGTTGATCCTTTTTGACTCAATAAAATTACAGAAACAACTCTCAAACATGAACATGCTAGAATCACATTTATGCACGTATAGACATAAAAAATAAAAAAATAAAAAAATCTCGGACTGAAACTGAACTAGTACGAAAATATAAACAAACTGCAGTTTTCACATGAGAGAGAGAGAGAGAGAGAGTGTGAGTGAGAGCAGACCCTGACAGATGAGTTTGAGGAACAGGACCAGAATGAGATTCAATTTTGATCCTCCTCACACAGTTAGTCTCACTTGTTTCTGAACTTCAACAACAAAAATGACAAAAAGAATCCATAATGAGTAATGCAGTGATAAGTCCCCTTTGTAGGCATAAATTTAGTTTTGTATCAGGTGACAAAAAGAATCCACAAACATAACCAAAATGCCATCCAAGATGAAACCCAAACCCAAATACCTCAAATTCTGCAGAGACTCCAGACGTGTCACTAGCATCTCCATATTCTTGAACTGTCTGGAGTAATTGCCGCCTCCATTTTCCTCAACATAGTCGCCAACACTGCAAATGGTTAACAAAAACAACACCCAAACGCCATTAACAAGCAAGAATTGATGAAAAATCACCCAAGTACTCAGGGACACAGAGACTCATAGGACAACAAAAACTCACTCAAGTTCCACATGCTTAGAAGACCCATCAGTCAAAGCATAATAAACATGCAATTTTCCCTCCATTACAAGACACTTGACGAGCACCTTCCTCGAACCCTTTTCCGGGTTCACGTAGATGAAGGCGTACTGGTCGTCAAGCTCGTTCCAGTCCTGAATACCCACTTCATCTGCAACCAAAAGAAACAGACGAAAACCGATTAATTTGAGAAACTTGTATCCGTTAATTTCCAGAAAGAACACTGCTTTTATAGAGTTGGGTAGGTACCTGTGGAAGCAGAGGTGAGGCCAGAGGGGTTGAAGGCCGGGGGACCTGTGGCGGTGAGCTCGTAGCCGGAAGCTAAGAAGAAAGAGTGAACGGCAAAAACCACCTTGTCGTTGTTGTTGCCGTTGCGAAATGCAGGCTTCAGGGCTTTGATCAAAGCCATCACCGACTTCCCGCTCGCCATGGCTAGCTACCTTGTAGTTAAAGCTTTCTCTTTTCTCAGCGTGATTGAAACTTGAAATGTGGGGTTTCCCTAATGTTCTGCAAGGAAAATAAGGAAAACACTAAAGCGTGGCTTTACGGCTAGTTTTTATCTTGGGAAGGAAGCAATCTGCTGCGGCGTTTCAAAAATAAAGGAAACTCATTTGGAATGTAAAATTGTATTTGTACAAGTAAAACATATTTAAAGCTCAATTACTCACAAGCAAAGCTTTTGCCACCCTACTTTGAAGAGTCTTTTTTTTATATTCTTTCTTTTGATTTTTTGTTTTTGCACCTTAGCCTATTGGGACCTATTGTTTTGCACCCGAAATTCCCATGCCAATTTGCCAAAACATGAAGACAATACCATCCAATATGTCTTTAGTGGGGTTCCCTTTCAAGATATAAGGACCAAGGTTTTTTCTTTTCCTCTTAATTGCCCAACTTACAAATTGTTCAAGCCTTCGCAGGCACTCAAGAATCATTTTTGCATTTGCTCATTTTGGACAGAAAAAATCTTCCAAGTTCAGCTGTAAGGGTTTCCTATGAAAATGGCAGAAACAAAGATTTTTTATTCTAAGAAAATTGTTTATGTTCTCAATCGTTTGGAAACATGTTGAATTAGTAAGGTGCAAAGATCTTATGAATCTGTTCATTTCATAATCAAATGGTGCATTCATTTCAAGGAAAAAACATGTAGCATAAAACCAAATATCTATATTTGAATCACTCCTATATGACGATTAACAAACCCAACCGAACTCGCTTAGAATAGCAATACAACTTTCATGAACTTAGTGCTAATTTCCTTTGTCATAAGTAGCTATGTTTTGGGGCTCACACTCTGGACTAAATAAGCGAACCAGCAAAGCAGTGGTTGAGCTCATAGAAACTGCGCCACATGCTGCCCAACGAAGACTCCTAGGAACTGTAATTCTGGGTCCTGAAAGAGCACAAAAGCAACAACATAAGCTATGGCTTTGTGTTCATCAACTAGAATGGATGAGTACATTTGTTTTCGGCTTAAACTTTGCATACGATCATAATGATCAAGAATCAAACATAGTAGGCACATATCATGGCATTGAATAGAGAAAGTGTATGTACAAGAACAGCAGAAGCAACAATAACAAAACCATAACCAATAGAAGTAGGACAGACCATAATGCAGTCTACAAAGGATCCAGAATCCCAATGCTCCGCCAACACTGAAAATACCGGCAGTCTGTCTCATCAATCTAGAACAAGGTTTTGCATCCGACCTCATCAGCTCACCATCCGAAAACCCTAAAAAGCGCCTCAACGCCATCTGTATAACTTCGTGCTACAATTTAAAGCTTCTTTCCCACCTAGGATGTTCCACTGAAAATTGGTAAAAGCTTGATTCAGTTGCCAAATTAAGCTTTGGAAATTTGAGAGTGAGAATGACACTGACTGGAGTGAATGACACAAACCAAAATACTAGTACGTCAGTATGTCAAATTGAATGCTACCAAAACCAAATCCCATGCTTGTTTCAACAACTTTTATATTGCACAAAACCTTGAACTTTACGCATACTCATTAATCACAAACACAAAGTTTTTATACAACGGTAAAATGCCAACGAATTCCGATGTGAGAATAGAAATTTGAATAACATATGCAGTTTGAGATCACACCAACCCACCAACCATTATTGTACAAAGCATCAACCTCTGAAATGATCAACAACAGTTTCGGGCAGACAAGGTTGTAGGGGCAGCGTATCAATCTCTTCTCTCAAAAATGCTGAATCATCTTCTGTCCTCAAGCTCTGGTATTCAATAAGGAACTTGTCCTCCCCCCACAGCTTCCAATATAGTTGCAGCAAACCAAGTGCCATTAAACCCTCTTCATCACTGCTAACCTCAACTTGCGTTCCCTTGGTAAAAATCTCATGAGTTGACACTTTTGCAATTTAGAAATCTCACCTCGTCAAATGTGAACTAAAGATAAATGAGATAAAAATGACCAACAGTAAAAAGAAAAAGAATGTGTTGAGGACAGATGATGATTCAGCATTTTTGCGTGAATTGATACGCTGCACGTACGACCTCGCCCGCCCGAAACTGTTGTTGACCATTTCAGTTTGCTTCAAGAGGTTGATTCTTCGTACAATGATGGTTGGTGGGTTGGTGTGATCTTCTAATTGAAAAGCTATCTCAGTGCGTCAATTTATCGAACATAAAAGGGGCAGTTTGAGATGAAGTTTCGCATACAACACAATACAGCAAAAATCTGAGCCATTACAAAGAATTAGAAATAAGACTACAGACAAAGAAAAGCTCGTGTAGGAAATTACCTTTTGGCCTTTTGGGGAAGCAAAACAAGTCTGAAGATTGAGCGACAAAGTGTGGGACTTTCGGAGTGGGTGTGAGACTGATAATGATTAATGATCGTGAGAGGCGAAGGAAGAAGTAAAGAAGAAGGCTGCATGGGCTGGGCTGGATATTGGGCTCAGCTAGAAGGGCTTGGGCTAGCTAAGGCTTGGCCGGGGATAATAGTGTAAGTTTACCTTTCTTTTTCGTTCTCCTTTTCTTTTTTCTGGTGGTCAGTGTAATTCATTTTCTTTTTTTTGTATTAAATTATGGTCATTAGTGTATAATTATAATAATAAAATGAGGGTTGGTATGGTTTTTTCTCATGGCTCTATGCATACCACCTAAGCTATTAGAGCAACTCCATCCATATTGCCCTTAGTCATGGCAAGGGGGGAGCTAGGGCATCCACTATTTACGTGAATAGTGGTTGCCCTTGCAAAATCAGAATTTTGTGTTTCCACCCATTGCCCTAGCTAAGGGCAGTTACTATTCATTTTTTTGTTTTATTCACAATTTTTTTTACCTCAATAATTAATTTGGATAATATTTTCGGATAAGATTTACGGGTTCCTACGTGTCAACACTATTCATAATCGGATAAAATTTCGGGATAAGATTTTTGGGTTCAAATTTCGGATGAATTTCAAAATTCAAATTTCAGATAAATTTTTGGGTTCAAATTTCGAATGAATTTCAAAATTCAAATTTCGGATGAATTTCAAAATTCAAAATTCAGATGAATTTGGGTTCAAATTTCGGATGAATTTCAAAATTCAAATTTAAGATAAATTTGGGTTCAAATTTCGGATGAATTTCAAATTTCAGATAAGATTTTCATCCAATCAAATCAAGCCACGTGGCATCTCTATCTTGCCAAATTTTTCTATAAAACCAGAGGCTCACATCATACCTCTCACACCACATCTTTCAATATTTTCATTTCTTAGAGTTTAGAATTCATACTCCATTCATTCTCAATGGAAGAATATAGGAGATGCTTGGAGAGGCACGAGAGAGAAAGAAAGGAGAGAAACCGTAGAGCCGATGAAATGAATGAGTTGCAGAGGCAAGTCGATGAGCAAGTTCTCATAGCAGTGGCAATGGAAGAGGAAGAGAACCAAGGTCGCCGCCGTGGTTCACAAGTCGGCCGTCGCCGGAATGTGGACAGACATAGGCATTCTTGGGGTAAGAATCTTTTGGAAGATTATTTTATCCCAACTGCTTTGTACTCTGATGTTGATTTTCGAAGGCGATTTAGAATGCAACCTCATTTGTTCAATAAAGTCATGCATGATATTTGCAATTATGATGCATACTTTGTTCAAAAGTGTGATGCTACTGGGGTTTTGGGCCTTCTTCCGGAGCAAAAGCTTACAGCTGTTATACGAATGTTGGCGTATGGAGCATCTGCTGATCAGGTGGATGAGGTTGCCCGAATGGGGAAGTCCACTACGTTGGAGGCTTTGGTAAGATTTTGTGATGCAGTTGAAAACCTGTACACTAGGGACTACCTGCGTAGACCTACTCCCAGGGACCTCCAACGGCTTCTACAAAAAGCCGAAGCTCGAGGATTTCCAGGAATGATTGGTAGCATCGACTGCATGCATTGGCAATGGAAGAATTGCCCAACTGCCTGGCAAGGTGATTACGGAAATAGAAAAGGCACAAAAAGTATCATCCTGGAAGCCGTTGCTGGGTTCGACACATGGGTTTGGCATGCTTTCTTCGGAGTTGCCGGAGCCCAAAATGACCTCAATGTCCTGGGTCAATCTCCGGTCTTCAACGAAGTTTTGAGCGGCCAAGGCCCCAATATTACCTATCAAGTCAACAATACAGTCTACCAGACGGGGTATTATCTAGCTGACGGTATCTACCCAAGGTGGACCACATTTGTCAAATCCATTCCGAATCCCCGATCCCATAAGCAAAAATTATTTGCTACCTATCAAGAAGGATACAGGAAAGATGTCGAAAGGTGTTTTGGCATCCTTCAAGCTCGATGGTTGATTGTTCGAGGTGCGGCCCGTATGTTTGATCAGGAGGTTCTCCGAAGCATTATGATGACTTGCATCATCCTCCATAATATGATTGTGGAGGATGAGTACGATTATGATGCTGGAGAGGTCTATGAGCCGGATCCAATAAACACGGCGATGACCCGGATTTATGAAATGCCCATGGGGCCAAATGGAGAACCGTTGGAGCCGGAACCGTTGGTGAGGGACGATCGTATGATGACCCGGATGATAGATCGATATACAGAGATGCAATCTTCGTATATTCATGAAAGCCGTCAACTTGACTTGATAGAGCATATATGGGCGGTGAAAGGGAATGAAGATGAATGATGGAGCATAGATGCTTTGGTTATGTTTTATTTACTTATGGTTTGGTTGTGTTGTTTACTATTGCTTATGGTTTGGTTGTGTTGTTTATGGTTTTGTTGTGTTGTTTTGTTGTGTTGTTTTTATTTATTATTGTGTAGTTTTTGTTTTCATTTTAATTATGTTATGTTTGATGTATGGAATATGTTGAATAAAATGGTCTTTTATTGAATGATTTGTTTATTAAATAAAGAAATCCAATACAAGTCATTAAGAATTACTACTACTAAAATAAAACATGAAGTACACCAACTTTAATACAAAACATGAAAAATAAAAATACATAAAAGGTATGCCAACTAATTTAATGGTTTTGATCATTTAACCAATCGGTGTTGCTAGGCCCATCATCTTGGAAAAGTCTTCTTCTCATAACATCCCTCCGTTCTAGCTTCCAATATTGTTTTGTTTCGGGGGACATATGACTTGTATCCATTGCCATGGTTTCCCGATCCGTCTTCTGCTGATCTTTTTTGCGCAAATACTCCTTTTCTCGTGATTGTTCGGCTTGAATTGCCACCTCCATATCTTGGCGTTTCTGCTCCATTTCAAGTCTTATGGAGTTTTGCCTTGCAATTTCCTCCAAAAACTTTGAATTATTAAAATTGCTTGAATTACCCGCTTTCTTTGCCTTCGCAGCCTTTCGGCCAATGGGCCTCGGTTCTTTTTGGATGGGTGAGTCTTCACTCATAGGGGAATCGAGAGGTGAATCCGATGTCGTTGAATCACGGAGAGGCGTCTCGTTTAACACAACTTCGGGACCCGTCGGAATAATTGTGAACCGTTTACAATATTTCACCACCTCCCAACATTCATGATGGGTGAACTTTTTTTGCCACCCCCGGTTGCACCGAACCACATCTGTGCTTGAATGAGCTATTTAACAAAAAAAATGGCAATGCAATAAATATTTAAAATATATTGGATATGCAAGTAACAAAATAAAAATAATGGAAATGCAATTAACCTTACAAATAAATTGGAAGTGCAAGAAATATGAAGAAACAATTGGAAATGCAATAAATATTAACAACATATTGAAAATGCAAGAAATATGAAGAAACAATTGGAAATGCAAGAAATATTAACAACATATTGAAAATGCAAGAAATATTAACAAAATATTGAAAATGCAATAAATATTAACAACATATATATATTAGGACATTAAACTTAATAAAACGAAAATTACAAAATACTAACCTCGTTAGTACGATTTTCCCCACTTCTATACAAGTTCATCGCTTTTGCCAAGGCATCTCTCCATTTTGCCATCTCTTTGTTGAGAAGTTTCCACCTACTCGACAATGCCATTTCCGTACGAGGCGAGTCCGGAATTTTTTCGCAAAATTCGGCATAAATTTTTTTCCACATATGGAAAAATTTCATCTCATTGCCTGACAAGGGACAATGACAAACTCGGAGCCAAGCCTCACACAACGAAACATCTTCCATGGTGCTCCACGCCCCTCCAGTTTCAATAGAAGAAGCCATAAAAATAAAAACTAAAATTACAAGGTGAAAGAGATGAAAATGTTGAGTGAAGAGTGAAAAAAATGTTGAGTAATTGTAGAAGTAGAATAAAATGTATGAGAATTGGTGTTGAAAGTGAAGGGTATTTATAGGTATTTATAGGAAAAAAAATCAGAATTTTTTAGGATTTTTTAGTATTTTTTTAAAAAAAATTTCGATTTTTTTTCATAATTTTATTGTCCAAAAATCGGCAGCTGTTGGATTAACATTTGGAATCTAATCGAAGCGCTGGGGGGAGTGCCACGTGGCTTCCACCCGTTGTGGCTGGCGTCGCGCTGACGTCAGCGCACGCGGGTTCAAATTTTTTTAACGTTGGCGCGTGCATTGCACGCGCCAACGGTAAAAAAAAATTGAAAACCGCGTGACGACGTCAACCTGACGTCGTCGTGACGTCACCCCCCCGCGTTTTGGACCTGGGGCGAAAGTTGCCTTCGGGCCAGCCCGGGTAGGTGGGTCCCACACCTCCCCGGGCCTGGGCTTCCCCGCTGGAACCAGTTTTTTGTTTTTTTCCCCCCTCCCCTCGGGCTGGGCTCTATGGCTGGAACAGCTCTTATATATGCTTTGGAGTTGGAGACGATAAAATACTGATGTCAATTTCATCGTTTATTATTTCGTACATCAAAATAAATCTCGAGTGAGACGATAGTAGAAAAATTTGAAAACCAAATACAAGGCTCAAAATAATTGTGTGTTAAATCGTACTACTACTAGAGAAGATGTGTCTGGAACATTAGCCCTTTTACTAGTAGTGCATGATGATTGCACTAAGAAAGTCTGGTTTTTTAATTATTTCATTTTTATATATTGTCTTTTGATTTTGAAAATGGAGTTATTTGCAAAAAGGACAAGAGCTTTGAATTCGAATGCCACCCCGCTCCTTCCTGTCCACGGCTTTTCATCCTTGAAACTTCTGGGTAGCTTCTGTTTCATCAGATATTATTGCATGGCTTTACTGTGCATCATGATCGTACGACCCTACCTTTAGGCTTTAGCCATAACATTTCTCAATCAGATAATAATAATAATTATTATTTTCTACAAAACTGACAGTGATATTATCTTCAGCTAATTTACAAGGGCATGTCCTTAACAGACTTTTACCTATAATGAAAACAATAATAAAATTGTGAAACATATTCAGCAAGCACAAACTTTTGATTTCACGAGCTAGAAAGGCGCGTGGCCTTGTGATTCTGATGCAGATAGAGTGAGCAACTAATGCTGGACATTGGACCACGTCGTATATAAGAAGGAAGGGATCCACTAGGCTCCTACTTTCCTGGATTACATGTTCTTCTGGACACTTCTTGGTTCATCAGTTTCCTACCATCCCAGCTTCTGTTCTGTGGCAGTGCTCCACCACTTTCCCAAAGCTAAGCTGACCAAAGGTTTGACTACTTACTAAATCTTCATGATCATCATGAACATCATCACTACATCAACCAAAAGATTGATTTCATCACATGGCTTCATGATTTTTATGCATAGTAGCTTTTATTTTTGTGTAATAATTTGCTGAGTGTTTTTTTTTGTTTTGGAGATGGGTTCTTTGTGAGTGGTCTTGCCTACTTGATCAGCAAACTAGCTTTGTTCTGCTTCAATTCTACTCTGCTTTTAAACTTACCCAACAACAGAAATTTACTTCTTATAGTTGAACTCCCTTAAATTTGGAAATTTTAGGAACTTATATCATCAACTCCCAAAAAGACTGATAGCTAGGGCCCTTGAGCCAATGTTCTTGATGCATCCTAATTCAGTTGCTAGATAGGGTGATTGATTCATCCTTTGATTCTTGTATGACTTCTGCAACATTCAGTTTAATTTTGTCACTCTTTTTGACAGGATGTGGCACAAATACCTGTTGGTGGCTGTCTACTTATGGGCCTTAACATGTTCACTTGTTCCTGCTTATGGCCTAGTGAGAATCGGTCTGAAGAAGCGACCCTTGGATCTTCAAACCATCAAAGCTGCAAGAGCAGAAAGGGAGGCAAATTACAGAGGGAGTCTAAAGGGCATGAATCAGAATCACTATTTGGGTAGTTCAGATGAAGATATAGTGCCTCTCAATAATTACATGGATGCGCAATATTATGGGGAGATTGGAATTGGCTCTCCTCCTCAGAACTTCACTGTCATATTTGATACTGGCAGTTCCAATCTTTGGGTTCCATCATCAAAATGCTATTTTTCTGTAAGTTTTGGTTAACTTTACCTTGTCATGTTCCATAGTCTCCTGTCTACCAAGTAACTAATTGTTTTCATAATTACATGCAGATTGCATGCTATTTCCATACTAGGTACAAGTCAAGCAAGTCCAGCACATACACCGCAATTGGTAATGTGATATGAGTTTAAAGGGGTTACCTTTTGCTAAATGTAAGTTCAGATTTATAATGGTTTCCTTGTGGTTCAGGAACGTCGGCCAAAATAACATATGGAAGTGGATCAATTTCTGGTTTCTTCAGTCAAGACAATGTTGAAGTTGGAGACCTTGTTGTCAAAAATCAAGTGGGGTTTTGCCTTGTTTTGTTCTTTGTTTTCATTTTCAGACTAGATGCCTATAGTGTCTGCAGCCTTTGTGATGCCTGTAACCTTCATCTACTTTGTAAATTCAGGATTTCATTGAGGCAACAAAGGAGGGCAGCCTCACATTCGTTTTGGCGAAGTTTGATGGACTTCTTGGCCTTGGGTTTCAGGAAATCTCTGTTGGGAATGCCACACCAGTGTGGTATTGTTATATTTAAACTTTGTGTTAAATCTATATTGTCTCTTTCCTCAAAATTATGCTTTGTAGGTTTTATTCTCCATAAAATCTCCAATGCCATGGATAGTTGATTCATTTTAAGATTACAGGCAAACAATGGCAGAACAAGGTCTTCTAGGTGATGATGTCTTCTCATTCTGGCTTAACCGAGACACAACTGCAGAAGTAGGAGGTGAACTTGTTTTCGGTGGTGTTGACTCAAAGCATTATAAAGGGAAGCATACCTATGTTCCAGTTACTAGAAAGGGTTATTGGCAGGTGCTAGAAGTTATATGTTTGGACCATTTGCATCTTGTTTTGTTCTTTATTCTTGGAGATTAAATATCTAATGAGTTAAACATCTCTTCCCTGTTTTCAGTTTGAAATGGGCGATATTGTAATCGGGAACTTGTCAACAGGTGATTCAGTAGCACCTTAAGCATAGACATGCTCTGATACCTTGTTAGATCATGGAGAATTCCTGCTATATCAACTGTGGAGGAGAAACTTTGGGATATTTTTTCTGATCATTGATTGTTCTTGTTGTCTTATAATCTTTAGAAAAGTAGTCTAATATCAAAATTCTGAAGAAAATGCAATGAATTTATGAAACTTCTAAAGTTAGTGCTTGTACCCAGGTGTTTGTGAGGGGGGTTGTGCTGCTGTTGTGGATTCAGGAACGTCCTTACTCACTGGTCCAACGGTATGTGCTTCCATATATTTTCTACTATTTTTTTTACTTTCAAAAGGACTCGATGCTTGATTTAATATTGGCTATTCTTTTCAGACTATTGTGACTGAAATTAACCATGCTATTGGAGCTGAAGGAGTAGTGAGTGCAGAATGTAAGCAAGTTGTGTCTCAATATGGAGACTTGATTTGGGATCTTCTAATATCAGGGGTGGGTTGTTTTCTCTCTTCAACCAAATATTAACCTTTCATTTCAACTCAATATCTCCAAGGATTATCCATGGTCTGCATTCTGCAGGTACAACCTGACCAAGTATGCAAGCAGCTTGGTTTGTGCATTTTCAATGGGGCTCAGTATGTGAGGTCAGTATATTCTTATGGTTACATGATGCTTTTATTTTGTACTATGCCTGCAGTGTATCGATGCCTTAGACTATGAAGGTTATTTAATCTTAAGAAAGCAGTTTCATGGAAGGTGTGGCCATGGTAGTTAAAGTAGGTATTCTAGTGATCAGCCTTACTTTTAGGGGGAGAAGTTATTTGTTTGAAGGTTAAGCGCAGCACAAATAATGGAACTCATAATATCAACTGGGTTTAGTTGAAGGTTTCGTGTGAAAACCCTGTCTGTATCAAGCATATACCCTTCTCTTCTCTTTTTATGTACTGTTGATGGTCTAAAACCCAATTCTGGGCAGCACTGGGATTGAAACAGTGGTTGAGAAGGAGAGCAGGGAGGGCTCATCTGCTGGTGACAGTGCTTTGTGCACAGCTTGTGAGATGGCTGTTGTTTGGGCCCAGAATCAGCTCAAACAAAAAGGAGCAAAAGACAAAGTCCTAAGCTACATCAACGAGGTGAGTTGCTAGTACCATGTCCTGTTCTGAGAAGCCAAAATTATGAATAAATTTCCAAGTTGTGCTGTGCATTGATGTTGGTACAAAATTTTAACAGCTCTGTGAGAGCCTTCCAAGTCCACTGGGAGAATCCATAATCGACTGCAATAGCATTTCGAGCATGCCAAACGTGACCTTCACCATTGGAGATAAACCTTTCGTCCTCACTCCGGAACAAGTTAGATTTTGACATTACAGCTTCTTCTTGTACTTGATACTTTCTTGCCTATGTAAGTTGTTTTGGAGAAGTAATTACTGGTACCATTTGCCATATTTTTCCAGTATATTCTGAAAACTGGAGAAGGCATTGCTGCTATCTGTATCAGCGGGTTTGGGGCTCTTGATCTCGCTCCTCCAACTGGGCCTCTGTGGTACCTTATGAAAACCTTGCCATTCATATACTCTGCATCTTTTTTAAGGTTTATGTTACTGTGGCTTAGGATTAGCTGACATAATGTGCATGCAGGATTCTTGGAGACGTATTCATGGGGCCATACCACACTGTGTTCGACTTTGGTGACCTTAAAATCGGATTCGCAGAAGCTGCTTAACAGCCATATCATTTTGGTTCTTTGTATCCTGTGATCTTCAGAAACTTTTAAGATGGAGATGTTGTACATTGTGATCAGATGATGTTCTCATGTTTGACTCCCGACGTTTAAGCTTTATATAGATGGTTTTTTATATTATTATATTTCCTTTTCTTTTAATACAGATCTTTCTTTTTTCCTTCTCACTTTGAAAGGAGATGTTTTGCAAGCACACATACATCACTTGGGTTAACCTCATTTAATCGAATTGTTTCCTTTTATCAATCGGAGCTCTGATACTTTCATAAACAAGAGTCAACTTATCACAACAAATAATCTTTACAAACCAACCATTCATAAGCATCAATGTTTGACTTGGATTGGGCTATAAAAACACGATGTTTCATCTCGTGAATCACAAATGTCTATAACTGTGGGTGTAGGTCACATAAACTACATAATTGCAAAGGCAATGCAAACTTTATACGGTGCAAAGCTGATGGCCGGTTACAGCGGCACTGTCGCTTATTCTTCATCGCTATCATTGCCAAACACTGAGGCCACAGGAACTTTTGGCTTCTTTGCAACACTACTGAACGAGCTCTGTAAAATGGGAGAGAAGTACCAATATGTTAAAGAGGGTATAAAATTAATCATTTGGAGCAGATTGCCTTAATAACAAATGCCAGAATCACATTGCCATGAAATATGTGTCCCATGTAATTGTTTGGTCACAAAGCTCAGAGTGTGATATGCAGAGTTCATTGTCTGACAAAAGTGTTGGTGGTGGCAGTGAAACTGAAGCATCGGAGCCATGCAATGAAAGCAAACATCACAACATATTCAAGTATCACAGAAACAAACTTTACCAAAACAAGAATATCACATATAACCAGATATACTTCAACAGAGTTTAGAAACGATTATTAGCAACAAGTCATTAAAGGAACTCAAAAAGGAAGATTTCTCAGTCTACACACCCATGCTTCACAGAATAATCGCTCGTGTATAGAAGTTGTATGCTAAATACACCATGAAAAATCAGCTTCCTCTTTAATCAACTCATCTTTAAAACAAACAGTAAGAATCAATACTCTAGATCCATAACATCAGTACACATACCTTAGACGTGCCACCTTTAGAAGAAAACCCAAATTTCAAAGCCTTCCGTTGATCCTGGTCTGCAAGTGTAGTAGCACTTGTCAGTTCAGTGGAACCCGGGGCAGACCCAGATTCTTCTTCTTGCTGCTGCTGCTGCTGCTTCCTAGCGTCCGCACTACACGGAATTAAAGAAGACAAAGAAAGAGAATGTTATAAACATGAGATTATAGAAAAGCAGATACAAAATGAATCCTGAATATAAACCAGGGAAGGGAAAATGATTGTATACATCTGAACAAACTTTGCCATTTCCTTTTCCTGACGCTGCTGCTCTCGTTTCTGGCGATCATCCCGACTACTGGAACCATGCATTTCTTTCATTTCTTTAAAACGCTGCAAGTCTCATTTAAGGATTTGCCGATTCAGACCAAATTGGAAACAACCCCAGAGACAAAATTAAGTCAAAGAAATGTATAGATCAACATACGTCACTTACCTTTCTGTGATTGTGATCATATGAGCTCAAGTGAGCTTCAAATTCCACAGCCAACTTGTATTGTTTGTTGCAAAGATCACAGTAGAACACCTTGTGTATTTCTTTCACCTCAGTTTGAATTTTCTGCTCACGTTCTGCTAACACCTGGATTTTCATAATGTGCACGAAGCAGGCAGTAGAAGCCACCAGGTAATAAAAACTGCAGGAAATTCTCAGGACCTTCGAAAGTTGATGGTCCTATTCCCTTCAAAAGACACACATATATGCTATATGCTGCCTTCTGCTATTAAATTTGGGTTTAAGAAAAAGTAAAGCATCAACCTCAATGCTATCTATAACTTAATACTTATAGCAACTAAGACCAAAGCCATACCTCCCGCTTCTTTGCATGTTCCTCAGTCTCTTCAATTTCAACATCAAGTTTTCTTCTCTGGATATTTTCTTCTGCTGTAAAATAATCATCTTCCTCTTGTTTTCCAACTCCTAATTTTGGATCTCTAATCCCAGATTTTATTGGCTCAGTGATTCCTGTATACAAAACCCCCAATAAAACATTATGAATGTAGAACACCAGAGCTTAAGCAGTAAGACCAACAATAGCAAGAACTAAAAGGAATTATGGGTCAAACTAAGAGTATAACAAGTAAATAACAGCAAGACATGAAGTGTGATATAACTTGAAGGGACTGAAATAAGCTGACAACGAAGTTATCCATGAAAGAAGGTGGTTAATTTCTATAGATAATAATTAATTACTACAGAACACGAATAGCACACAATCATCAATATTTCACTAATAACAAACCTTGCTCATCCTTCCCAAGTCCCTTCCCTTTCCACCCCATCTTTTGGAGAAGCCTAAAACCAATGTTAGATGATGCTATGTGTGTGTCCAATGATGCTTGTTCCACATTTTCCAGATTGACATTTTCCGTTGGCCTGTGATTAATTGGCAGTCGAAATTCCTCAGCTAGATCATCAACTAGTGAATCCTGATATTCCTGTACAATAAAGTCCTAGTAATGCACCATAGCAAGTTGAGAATTACAAATCCCTATGCACACATTAGCAAATAAATAAGCCAAAATATTAATGCAAAAATTAGCCAAGTACACATTAAAGTAATCCAAATTAAAATAAGGGTAAATTTCACTTTACTACCCGGAAGTTTCTCGAAATTCAGACTTTGCAACACAGTTTTTTTCGTCTCAGTCTCATACCTAAACTTTGATTTTACTACCACTTTCATACCTCCGTTAGTTTGACTGTCAAGTTTTCCGTTAAACAATGACATGGCATTCATAGCTCGACGTGTACTCACACATCTTGTGCCACTTGGACTAATAAAATAAATATAAATAAAAAAGTAAATCTAATTAAAACAGAAAAAAAAAATCTAATTAATATATCTCTTCTTCTTAACCTTTTTTTTTTTTTTTTTTTTTTTTTTTTTTTTCTTTTCATCCCACATTCCAATGACCCCACCATCTTCATCCCCATGACCAAACCTAGATACACCATAGCACCCTCTCCCCTAACCCTCACCTTTGCAGCCTCCAGAAACCACCTTCACCTCCAGCCACAGCCACAGCCACACCCCAAGATCTCCACGACCCAACCCCATAAAATCATATCTGGATTATCTCTCTTCACCTCCATACGACTTCTTTGCCAAATTCATGAACATACTTTACAACGATTCCACATACGACTTCTCGTCGTTGTCCATACACGGCAAGTCATCATGGATAAACGACATCATGTGGATCATCTCGATGGCGCACGCTGCCGGCATGGCCTGCGAATGGGCATGGCCTGCAAGGCAATGCCTGCAAATGGGTTTTGCTAGTTGAAAGGTTGGGATCTGAATCTGCCTACTTGGTTGAACATTGAGCAGGTTTAGATTTGAACCCATGTGCTCAGATTCAAGCAGCTCATACATTCTAGAAGTTTTTTTTTTTGGGGTTTTTTTTTTTCAATCCAATTTGCTCAAAGATGGTTGCTTTGCTCTGAAATTTCAGCAATGGTAAGGTGGGTGGATGGATTTACAGTGTTATATTGGTGTGGAGGGTGATGGGTCTTAATAGGTCCTTCCAGTTTTGCAAGCTCGCATCCCCATTTTGTAATTCCAGAGAGAGAAAGAAAGAGTGGCCGTCTAGAGGTTGAAGGTGGGTGCAGTGGGTTGTGGTGGAGGTTGGTGATTTTCTGATGGGGTTGGAGTGGTGGTGGTGGTGATCAGGCTTTGGGTTGGGTGGTGGTTGTCGTAACAGTGAAGTTAGGGGAAGGGGAAGAGACCAGAGATTAAAAAAATTATTATTTATTTAATTATTGGTCCCCGTGGAGCAAATTCAATGGGTCAACGTGGAATTATGAGTGCCATGTCATAGTTTAACAAAAAACTTGACAGTCAAACTAACGGAGGTATGAAAGTGATAGTAAAATCAAAGTTTAAGCATGAAACTGAAACGAAAAAAACTTTGTGTAGCAAAGTCTGAATTTCGGGAAACTTCCGGGTAGTAAAGTGAAATTTACCCTAAAAATAATGATTTCTATGAAGAGCTGCATATAACTATTCAAGAATCTTAGAATTTGCAAACCACTTTAGAGTTTGATACAAAAGCTGCCTGTTTGACAAACTAATGATATTAACATTACACCAGATCTAAAATAAAAAGAAAAATGAGGATCCTACAAATCTATTAGTTACCTGATCTTTCTCATTTGGCTGGTTGCCCCGGGTGCTTGTTTCCTGTCTACCTTTATACCGGTAGGCCATTATTTTTACCTAAACAATCATGAACCAACGAAAATGTTAGCATTCAATATCAAAACTGAAAGAAATCACATACTGCAATAATGAAGCACCAAACACCACTTTCTAGCTACTCTTGTAAAATTCTAATAATTAGTTTAAGAAGCAGAATAAGAGAAACTTAATTTAATCTATTTTTAGAGAAACAAAATTCCCAGCTATCAAAAGGTGTCTGGCATTCAAGAAAGAATAAAAACTCAAATTAAACCCAAACTGAAAAACCAATACACAAAGTCGAGTTGTTTCTTCAGATTAGTCAAAAACCCATATCAACAATCTTGCAAAGACAAATACTTTTGAATAGTTCAAATGGCAATCAAATAAGAAGCCCCAAATTAATATTATAATTAAATAAAACAAAAAACCGCAATGTTCGAAAAATCGCTAGGTGGGCGGCAGGGGCCCAGCGCCTAGAGGAGTAATCGGGGTCTAGGCGGACGCCTAGGAAAAAAATGGCATAGATAATTACAGAGAGAGAGGGTCGCGGGTGGCCGAGGGGGTCGCAGGTCTCGGGTGGCCGAGCGGGTCGCGGCCTGGTGGTGGTGGTCTGTCGAGAGAGAAGGAAAGGCAGCGTGAGGTAGGTTTTCTTTAAAGTCAGGCGAAAAAAGGGACCCGACCCGCCCAGCCGCCCAGACAAGCCTAGGCGGCCGATTTTCGAACACAAAAAACCGTGATGAATGATAAAAGCCGGCAACAAATTAACAAAATCAAAGCATCAGCAGATACCAACCAATTCAATTTAGGCATACATACCTCGAATGAACCAGAAATTGAAAATTTCTAGCGAATGGAAGAACCAAAGATGCTCAGGATCTGGTATCGCCTACTTCCCTTGTTTCTGACTCTCTTCCATTGGTCAAAAAACAAGTCGTGATTATAATAAATCAGATGGGCTTGGATAGCCCAAAACTAAAGATGGGTCGTTCCAACTTCCAATCCGCATTTGGGCTCAACTGAGCTTGGTCTATATCATTCGACGTTTAAACCCTTGGATGGTTTAAGTTTGATCTGAACCGTCCAATTACTCGATACTTAAAAGCGTGATTGGTTTAAGATGACAGTGCGTGATTAATTTAAGATACCATCACCTTGATGTGACAATGTGTGATTACTTTTTGCCATACTGACATTTAATTTGTACGAGATGAATCAATTTATTTGAAATTCATAGCATAGGCTCTCAAAGAAAATCATGCATTGCGTGGTAAAGATTTTTTTTTGTTTAACATTTCCTTCTCCATGCTAATTTGTTTTTTTATTATTTTTGTTGCCATCATCTCTAGAAATATTGTCTCTTAACAATTATTTAAGTAGTTAAAGAGTTCTATGCATTGAAATTCCAAGACTTTCTAGCCTATGAGCAAGCAAGCACCTCAATCTAGAACTCTACTTCCTCCAGCATATCCTGCCTAACTTCTGTGCTACCACTCATACATTTTCCAAATTCTCTTTCTTGTTTGCTTAATCAAGATTAGCAAACGTGTCAACAAACTAATCACTTAGATATTGCAGGCCCACATTGATCATCAAGCAATTGGGCGCTTGAAAAATATCAAGCATGATTCTTTGGTCTTGAAGAATTTTAATATTGTATGAACTTTAGTTCATCAATGCGATTACAGCTAGAAAGAAAACCTTATTTAAGTAACTTGAAAAGATGGAATAAAAGGGTTCTGTGCTTCAAAGAATAAGTTGGGGCATGCCAAACTTTGGCTTTAATTAGTAAATTTTCAGATACCTTAAAGCTAGACAGCTTGCATGCAATGTTACATAAAAAGGAAACCTTGCTTCTGAGCAATATGCACACCAGTTGATTGCAATAAGAATTCAAAAACTGTGTGTATTGGGTACGCTGAGGCCTTTTGAGAAGAAAAAGGGAACCAGCCCTTTGTTTTTTTAAACCCTACAAGTACCTACCAATGCATGAACCAAAGCTGTTTTCCAAAGAACAAAGGGAACTGTTTGACTGTTATACCTTCTGCATTCTTTACATTTTATAGTAGCTACCTACCACTTTTTTCTTTATCTTATGTAATTTCCTGTATGCCTTATCTTTAAAGGAGAAAGAAAGTGAAGATAATAATTCTTTTCTCTAGAAAAACCCCATTTATCATGCCAATTTTACTGCTAAGTGCAAACTAAATCATAATTTAAACGCTAGATCGCGAGGGTTTTACCTGTTCTGGTGTCAAAATCCTAGATGGTATCTATTAATTAAATACATCTCACAGTAAAGTTGATTATATCCCCAAAAAAAAGAGGTCAGATTTGTTGATGATCATTAGAAATTATATGATGGGGAAGATGAAAGTAGAAAAGGTAGCAATGAATTTTAGGTGCAATATCACCGTCCAAAAGATCTCTTTGTAAATTTCAATGGAAGGTTCATGGAAGTACTTGAGAAAAATAAAAGTGCCAATTATGCCTTCAGTCTGTTTTGGTCAATTGAGAAAGCAGAGGACCATAAGAAATTTGTTATCTCCACCACCCGTTACTTCCTTGGAAGTTTGAATCCTCCAAGATTCTCCGCCCACTAGGATCATGTTAACAAAGGCTACTTCCTACTATAAATACAGCACATCTTCCTTCTTACAAACAGAAGAGAGTAACATTTGTACTTTCTTCATCTCATTACCTAAAGCCCTGTGCTTATTTTTTTTTCTTGTCAAAGAAGAGTTATGGGAGGAAACAACAGGCAGAAAAAATCCTCCTTCTCATTCTTCAGCTTGTTCAAATCGAGGAGGCCTCGCAGAGGAGATGACATGGGGGAGGATTTGAACATGAGTGCAAGAAAGGTGTGGCCTAGTGAGGAGGACAGAGGCGGGTGGGTAGCTGAGCCCGGCATCGACAACAAAGCTACTGCTTTCATTGACAGAATCCACAAGAGCATTGTCTCAGAATCTGATTGCCAAACCTTAACTGTAAACCCTGCTGGAAATTCCTAAGCAGGAGCTATGCCTCTTTGCATTTATTAGTGTATCATACTGTTATTTTATTCAAATAAGTTGTATCTAGTTTAGTTTGTGAATCACTACAATAAATTTCATCAAGTATTTGTTTCTGTTTATCAAACCTTCTGTTTTTCTATTTTAAGTACAGATTATGCCTACCATCATGCTTCAGTGTTTTTGTTCATTCTTATATCTTGGTTTTCAAAATCTTCAAACTAATTGGTTTTGAGTTTCCTTAAAAGTAGTTAATAAATGACAACTTTGGCCTAGTTTTCATGACATCATTCATCATGTTTTATAGTCGATTGTTTTCTTTATATAAGCACCAAGAAGCAAATCAGTGTGGAAGTTCTCCAGTGTTTTCTTTATTAAAATAAATAAGAAACATGAAATAAGCAGAAGTGCAGCAGGGTCAAGATATTAACAGTAAATTTTTAGTTCAGGAATGATAATTAGTAAATTAACGTACAATTTGGTGCCAATGGTTTAAGTTACTTAACCAAATCTTCCCCATCTCTGCAATCAACATCGTGGTTTAAGGTTGCCTTTTGATCTGCAATCTGCAACAATCCCATGACACGTTGTGTGTAGCATCAAATTTCACTTGATTGATGGAACAGCTTGTTAAATAAACCAAACTAAATTAATGGTTAAATTGTTTGGAGGTTCAAGTGCATTAAAATCTTTAAAGAACATATCCTTTAGATTTGTGACCCTCAACATTCCCATCACATAGTATTCTTTCAGGCAGTTTTCAGAACAACCATATACTAATAAAGTTGTTGATTTACAAAAAACATAATAATAATAAAGTTGTTGTCCCCTCTAGCTCTTCAGGGACAAAGGAGGCCCGTGGCTTCAAAAATGATTCCATGCAATGGTCATATACGAGAAATTTCTCTATAGACATTAGGGAGAGGAAGGACGAGAACCGAACTCTAATGTCTTAATTCAAGCGAAATATTGGTTGAAATCCAAATAAAGTGCCTACAAACTTTGGAATCTAACACAGTTCCTTTAAGCGTTTTACTTTATATGGTTGTTTTTAAAGCCTAGTACAACATGCAAATGTATCTAGGCATAGTGTTTCTTCACAGACAGTAAGTACTGCTTGCAGAAACAAAAGCAGTGGTAGAGAACAAACTCCCAAAAGAAGAGGTCAGATTTGGATGATCATAATTGGAAATTATATGATGGGGAAGATGAAAGTGGAAAAGGTAGCAGTAAGTTTTAGGTGCAATATCACTATCCAAAAGATCTCTGTGTAAATTTCAATGGAAGGTCCATGGAAGTACAAGTACTTGAGAAAAATAAAACTGCCAATAATGCCTCTGTTTTGGTCAATTGAGAAAGCAGAGGACCATAAGAAATTTGTTATCTCCACCACCCATTACTTCCTTGGAAGTTTGAATCCTCCAAGATTCTCCACCCACTAGGATCATCTTAACAAAGGCTACTTCCTACTATAAATACAGAACGTCTTCCTTCTTGCCACTACAAACCGAAGAGAGTAACATTTGTACTTTCTTCATCTCATCACCTAAAGCACCGTGCTTAATTTTTTTTCTTGTCGAAGAAGAGTTATGGGAGGCAACAACAGGCAGAAAAAATCCTCCTTCTCATTCTTCAGCTTGTTCAAATCGAGGAGGCCTCGCAGAGGAGATGACATGGGGGAGGATTTTTATATGAGTGCAAGAAGGGTGTGGATTAGTGAGGAGGACAGAGGTGGGTGGGTAGCTGAGCCCGGCATCGACAACAAAGCTACTGCTTTCATTGACAGAATCCACAAGTGCATTGTCTCAGAATCTGATTGCCAAACCTTAACTGTAAACCCTGCTGGAAAGTCCTAAGAAGGAGCTATGCCTGTCTGCATTTCTTAGTGTATCATACTGTTATTTTATTCAAACAAGTTGTATCTAGTTTAGTTTGTGAATCACTATAATAAATGTCATCAAGTATTTGTTTCTGTTTATCAAAGCTTTCGTTTTCCTCTTAAGTACAGATTATGCCTACCGTCATGCTTCAATTTTTTCGCTCATTCTTATATGTTGGATTGGTTCTCAAAATCTTCAAACTAATGGGTTTTGAGTTTCCTAAAATAAATAAGTGAACACTTTGGCATACTTTTCATGGCATCGTTATTTATGTTGGCTCCAAGAAGCAAGTCAGTGTGGATGAAACATGAAATAATTATTTAGGTTAATGTACAATTTGGCACCAATGAATTATAAAATTAAGTTACTTCACCAAATCTTCCCCATATCTGCAATCAACATTGTGGTTTAAGCAATTAAGGTTGCCTTTTGATCTTTCTCAAAAACCAAGGTTGCCTTTTGATCTGCAACAATCCCATCACAGACTGCGTGTGGCATCAAATTTTAATCAATTTCTGTTACAGCAGCTTGGTTTTTCAGCTTGTTAAATAAAGTATCACAATAGACAGCGGTTACCTATACGGTAGCACATTAGACAACCGTGGTCAACCATCGTCTAGGAGATTTTTTGTTCTAGTGATTGTTTGGAGATGCAAAGTGTACTAAAATCTTTTAACAGTATATAGAGTCCTTTAAATTTGTGACCCTCAACCTCAACATTCCCATCACATAGTATTCTTTCAGGTAGTTTCAGAACAACTATATAATACTAAAGTTGCTGTCCCCTCGAGCTCTTTTGGGACAAAGGACGCCCGGGCTTAAAAAATGATTCCGTACAATGGTCATATACAAGAAATGTCTCGAAAGATCTTAGGGAGAGGAAGAATGAGAACCAAACTCTAGCATCTTAATTCAAGTAAGAAACTGGTTCAAATCTAAAGAAAGGGCCTAAAAATTTGGAATCTAACACAGTTCCAAAGAGAATCAGAAACATAGCATGTTATGCATGTTGAGTGTTATATTAATAATATTTTACCACTGTGGCATCGATTCAAAATTAGAATCCTATGAAACAATTGTTGCAATTTGTTTTGAATCAAAATTAGTTTCAAGTTGTGAGGAGCTTGTAGCTCAAGAGAATTTATTCATGCATTTGAAGTGTTAGTTTTGATTTCCTCCATTTTCAATATCGCTTATATTATATAAATAAAAACTAGTGTCAAGTTGGTTAATAGTTGATCAATTAATATTAAAGATGTTCAACCTGAGCCTCATTTGGTGGACTAAAAGTGAGTGAAGATTGCCACAAATTTTCATGTCGTTTAGTATTCGGGGGATTATTTCTCTACTTTTATGTCCGGGCGTGTTTTATTTTATTTTTAATAACCTGGCCCAAACGACACCGTTTTGAACCAGGTCATACCAAAAAAGAAAAAGAAAGAACGGAACTCCCCCAATGCGACTCTAAACCCACCACCACCCCCCCCCCCCCCCCCCCCCCCCCCCCCCCCAAACCCCAAAATCCTCCGCCAAAATCCTTCAAAACCCTAACCCCCAATACCTACCCAACCACCATGCCGCCGCCGGGTCCTGCCGCCGCGAACTCGACCATTATTTTTCAAAATTTCCAATCTTCAAGTAAGTCTTAAACTCAATTTTCCAATTGATGATGATTTATGTATTTAATTGAAATGGAGTTTGTGATTATTTGATTGCATGTGATTTATGATTATGAGTCATAGTTATTAGTCAGCAGAGTTTTCTTTGCATTTTTTTCAAAGTGCATTGTGGAGGATAGTTTAAAATTCTTGCATTTCAGAGTCGTTCTTAGTTAACATATACAAAGTGGAAAAAATCCCACTTCCAATTTTAGGAATTTTAGTTTCTTATAGCCTAACACAACCTCTGGTCATTAATTAGTTTTGTAGCCATCCACTGATAAATAACATCGATATCTATGACTCTCTCTATCACCATTGTGGACAATTGCTAGGTGAAAAGATGAATGATAAGAAGTATTGTCATTTTACTGTGTAATATGACAGTAAAATGGTAGGTGTACCACTAGGGTTTAGGGTCCATGGTTTGTAAGACTACGTTTCGCTCCGCTAAGTACAGTTGTATGGTGGGTATACTTACCATATGTACGTATCGTTCAGTGCAAATATATGGTAGGTGTACCTGCCATATGTACGTATCGTTCAGTGCAAATTGAATGGTTGTCTCATTGTTAAGATACTATAAATGGCAAATTTACATCTTGTCTATTGTTATTAACATGCATGTATATCCTTCATACATACCTAAATTAGTTATCGATAAAACTCTTTTGTACAATATGATCGTCGATTATGATTATGCTAATAAAAAAATTTCTTACATGCAACCCGTCTCTCATCCCATGGATGTTTATATATATTATATAGATTATATTTCCATGGATATTAAAAAGACTAATAATACTCAAATACATCAGATAATAAGCCCTCGAAGAATACGAACAAACCCAACAACTACTGGTCATTAAACTTTTTATTACATAAGATTAAAGAAAGATACACAACCTCCTGTGGTTTAAGACTAAAACCATCAACACATGCAACAAATCACTTAAAAAACACCAAAGAAACAAACGCTAGATATCTCAAGGAAAAAAAGGATTGTTAGGCCAAAGACCATGATGGTATTGATCCCCAAGGGGCCGAACCTCAGCCACAGCACCAAACCCCATTTGCTCATTAGGGTTCATCATGTCTGTGAACCATGAAGGCCTCTGCATGGTGTTGCCCATGTTGCTAAGCCCGAAAGCTTGTCTCTCCATTGTTGCATGCATGTTCAGGTTCAGGGCATGGTCTCCAGCTGCAGGCACAGCTGCTGGAGTTGGTGGGACTCTGACTGGATTTCTCTGAGCCAGCTCCTCCTTCCGGGTCTTGATCTTGTCAACCAGCTCCTTCAAGTTCTGGTCAATGAGCCACCCGAGGTCGTTCAGATCAATCATGGTCAGTCCCTGCAGAGGCTTACCAGTCAGGCTCTGAAACATGACCCTCGACATCTCCTTCTCCCGATTCTCCTTCCTCAGCTTCTTCAGCTGCTCGTTGGCCTTCACAATCCTCTGCCTCAGAAAGGTCTCCTGGTTGACCATCTTTTTGCTCTGGTCCATCTCTGGCAGGCTCCTGAATTGTGAGACAATGCGTTGCACTCCCAAAGGGGATGGCCAAACTTCAGGGTGAGATTCATACTGGCTATAAATAATAACACATGCTTGAATATCACAAAGGGTGCTAAGTTCATTCGCCTTCTTCATCAAACCCTTCTTCCTTTTCTTGAATGTGGCTTTTCTAGCAGAGTCATTAGTGATGTAGGTCAGGCTGACCTTCTTTCTAGTCATGGCTGAAAGAGAAAAAATTGAGAGGAAAAACAATTGCAAACTAGGGAAGAAGAAGGAAAAGCCTTAGTAGCTTTAGTGGGTTTGCTTGCCCCAAACAGCCTGCGATATATATAGGAGCAGCAAGGGCTACCTAACCAATTCTAGAAGATTACATCCTAAATAGAAATTTATTGCTCTTACAATGCAGGAGATATGAAAATCAATACAGACCATTTTGGTATATTAGTACATTGCTAAATTTATGACGGCTTACAATGGAAGAGTCAATACAAGAAGATTTGTTGTCCATGTGTGAGGGGAATGTGGTTTTCACATAAATGGTAATTAAGATTGTTTTATAGGTAGGATAAATATGAAATCTCGGGTAGGCAATTTTATTAGCACAAATAAAGTTGTAAATATGATGCAGAAAATTTACTACTATGAGTTGGGTGGATGCCTATGTAATATCTTCCTTTTTATTTTTTTGGAATTCATGGGACTTCTTATCCACCCTTGGTTTTATATGGAAGCTTGTCTGTTAAATTAGCACACATACATGCATTAAAACACAGATTTTGTTGTGGCTCATTCAAATCATTAAAAGATCGATATTTCTTTCTATCCTTGGTAATTATCACTTATAAGGTAATCGAGCCCATTATTGTTTAGATTTTTTTTGTTTCTCTGTCTCTTTTCTGTCGTGCATCTATTTTGTTGAGTCACGTCCTAACAATTAATATAATAAACGATATATCGATATATAAAGTAGAGAATACATTTTTTTCTGCTATTAAAACTACAATTAAAATCCTTTTGGTTATTTTTAGAAGAAACACATGTTCAATTATAAAACAAAAGGAAGGATCAAGCTATAATTGATGGCCTTATAGTACGAAAGAGTTTTATTAATGAGTTACATAGATATGAAGGATATTCATATAGGTTATAAGAGTTTACATACGTAGGAACGATATACGTATAGGTTATGAAGGATATTCATGTAGGTTATAAGAGTTTACGTACGTAAGAACGATATACATGTAAGTTAATAACAATAGACGATGTCAATTTGCTATAAATAGAACCTTAATAATGAGACAACCATTCAATTTATTATCTGATGCATATACTATGTACATACATAGGGTAGGTATACCTACCATATATTTGTACCCAACGTTACATACTTATGGTATGTATACATATCGTAGTCTATCGTTCTCATCTTGTGGAAGTTGTTCATAAATCGTCTTTTATTACTTAAAGTATATATTCTCTTAAAGTTCATATATATAGTAACCTACTCATGAGGCACATCGTTTAATTTATTATCTGATGTGGAGACTACCTATATTGATACGAATTCGAACCCTAGACCTATCATGAATCCTGGACCATAGGTATTATTACTCAGTAAACTTAATAATAAGTTTTTTATTCATCTTTTCACCTAGCTAAAAAGAGGTTTTGTGTTAGGGCTATAAGAAATTAAAAGTCCTCAAATGGGAAGTGGGATTTTTTCCACTTTTGTAGATATTAATCAAGAACAACTTTGAAATGCAAGAATCTCAAACTATTCTCTAATAAAAGAGACCTTCGAATGACTAAATACTGAGATGTACTATATCTTGACAGTTTATATTTCTAATTTTACTTTTGCCTCGTGTATGGCGGGCTACTTATGTGGAATGTGTATCGGAATTGCTCCACTTAAAAATTATGTGGTTCCACATTAAAATCATAAGCCAAATGTCAAAACCCATGGAATCAAACAGAGTCTATTATCATTCACTTCTCTGAAATGAAGGGTTTTGGGTTTTGCAGTTGCAGGAGAAGAGGATGAGTGACAGCCTTTGCGTATCCTTCTCACTGTGTTATTTGGTTCCTCTCCTTTAAATGCACTACTTTTCCTTTTCTTTCACTTCTATTGTGTTAATTTCTTTTTTTTTTTTTTTTTTTTTTTTTTTTTTTTTTAGGAAGGAGGGGCTGCTATGGTGTTAACTTTGTTGCATTGAATCACAGTAGAATGAATTTAAACTTGATGGTATTGAATGAATATGATTTTGCTTCAAGAACTACTAATTGTTGATCGGCTTGAAATTCTTACATTGTGCTTCTTCAAATGTTCCAACCAAATTTCTTACAGTGGGAAAGCCTTTATTATATTGTGCATTGATCTGACTAGATTCCAACATTTCACATTTTGCATTAGAAGTCTAATTTGTGTTTTTCTAGTCTGTAGTTTTTATTTGATATAACTTATTTCGTTCATTGTTTGCACAACTTGATGCTTGATGAGAATTCACTAAACTATTCTTTTATCTTGCAGTTTGGGGTGCATCAAGCATGCAACCATGCGTTCCATCTTCATTGCATCATAAAATGAGTAAATTCACAGACTTCTCAGTCACATTGCCCCATAGCAGGGAGTCGCAATTCAAAGGATGAGAGAAAAACTAGAATCACATTTAGGAAACTTGTTTGCTCTCTCCCTCTTCAAGTGCAGTGGTTGCCAATGCATGCTTGCAATTGTTTGATTGTATATGGTTTGTATATCCCTTGTCTGTCTATTGTGTATTGGTTGATGTAAACTGTGAAGTAGCTCAAAGTTTCACTTTTTAATGATTTATTGTGTTCTCCATAAACCAATTGTTTGTTTATTCGGATTGATAGGGATCTCAGTGATAATAAAAATATTTTTTTACCGGTAGTGCTTTTAAGATGTGGTATTTATGTTTTGTAGAATTTTGCACCAATTAAAATATGAGGATGGGGGGCAAAATTGAAATTATTGACTACTTTTAGCGGCGAACAAGCATATCATCGTATTTAGTGTTTTCACCTACGGCTAGCGGCGAAATTATCCGTTGCTAAACAGAGTTGTCTATAAAGACACCTAAATTTCGTCACGAAATGTCCACAAACCGTCGCTAGTCGTTGCAAAAACTATAAAACCGTCATTTATTTCCAAATTAGCAACAATATGCTGATTGAATTTATCTCTCCCTGTTTTTCACTAGATTTTTATTTTTCTTCTTCTAGAATACCCCAACCTTTTTAGCAAACTGCGAAAGAATAATTAGTTTCCCTTTACCACAATATAAATCTACAAAAAAATATATTATGGAGTGTTTTCATGTTTTTGTTCTCAGTAATCTTTTAAGCATTTTGTTTTACATAGTTTTTAAAGCCTAGTACAACATGCATATCTAGCTAGGCATAGTGTTTCTCCACAGACAGTAAGTACAGCTAGCAGAAATAAAAGCAATGGTAGAGAACAAAATACCAGACCGAATCTCCAAAGTAACAGGAAACACATAAAATCAATTTGAACCAGAAACAAAGCATGTTATGCATGCTGTATGTCTATTAACAAATCTTTGAATCAAAACTAGAATCCGCTAATCAGACAACTTGGCGCAACTTGTTTTAAATCAAAATAGTTTATTAATATTAAAGATGCTGAACCTCTGCCTGATTTGGTGAACTAGGTGGTACTTCTGATTGTACTAATTTATCAGTGCTCGAGGGTACTTTTCTCCTGTCCTCCACTTTTCTCTCCCTCTGAATGGCTCTCCTTCAACTAAACGTCCATATTCGAGACATAATTCTGTCAAGTTTAACTTTTCTAAGATCCCTTGTAAGTACCTTTTGACGGGTTCTTGTGCTTTGTTTGGACATTGATTGTTTAAAGTTCACAGATATTTTGCAAAGTTCATTGTAGAGAATAATTTGAGATTCTTGCACTTCGAAGTTGTTCTTGATTAATATCTACAAAAGTGGAAAAAAAATCCCACTTCCCATTTGAGGAATTTTAATTTCTTATAGCCCTAGCAAAAAACCTCTTGTTGGCTAGGTGAAAAGATGAATAAAGTTTACTGAGAAATAATACATATGGTCCAGGATTCATGATAGGTCTAGGGTTCGAATTCGTATCAATATAGGTAGTCTCCACATCAGATAATAAATTAAATGATGTGCCTCATGAGTAGCTTACTATATATATGAACTTTAAGAGAATATATACTTCAAGTAATAAGAAATGATTTATGAACAACTTCCACAAGACGAGAACGATAGACTATGATATGTATACCTACCATATGTATGTAACGTTGGGTACAAATATATGGTAGGTATATCTACCCTATGTATGTACATAGTATATGCATCGGACAATAAATTGAATGGCTGTCTCATTATTAAGGTTTTATATATGGCAAATTGACATCGTTTATTGTTATTGACTTACACGTATATCGTTCTCATTAATAAAACTCTTTCGTACTATAAGACCATCAATTATAGCTTGATCCTTCCTTTTGTTTTATAATTGAATATGTGTTTCTTCTAACAATAACCAAAAGGATTTTAATTGTAATTTTCTTTCGGATAGTTTTCTTTGATATGTTTTCAATCTATATAATTAGAGTTAACCAAGGGTACAAAAGTTTGTCTTCAAATGTTATATGAGTTCATCTTTCAAATCTTGTTGGACGTCTAGGAGTAATTCTTAGTGAAGATAAGAACTACATAATATTGCGATCTATGAAATGTAAAACTTTCTGATAAACATATCCAATCCAACTCCATTGACCTTTCTTGTTAATCATTCTTGCTTTGGTTGGTTGGTTCTCAATAACATAGCAACAAATCTTAAATTCAAAAGGATATATTAAAAAGATCTAATAAAGTACTCAAATACATCAGAGAATATAAGCCCTCGAAGAATACGATTGAGAAAACCAAACAACTGAACTACTGTTTATATAAACTTTTGGGTACATAAATTTAAATTCAAGAAATTAAGAAACGAAACCTGCTGTGGTTTGAGATGGAGACTAGCACCATCAAAACAAAACATCCATAAAAGAAAATAACTTTAAAAAAAACAACAAAAACTAAACAAACACCAGATAGAGTTCAATGAAAAAAGGGACTGTTATGCCAAAAGGCAGGATGATTCTGATCTCCGAAGGGCAACACCTCATCGCCACCAGCAGCACCAAACCCCATAGGCTCCTGCGGGGTCATCACATCTGAGAAACATGGAGGCCTCTGCATGGTGTTCTCCATTGCTGGCTGCTGCATGTTCAGGTCCATGCCATGGTCTCCAGCTCTAGCAGGCAAAGCTGCTGCATTTGGTGCTGCCACTGTGACTTCATTTATCTGAGCCAGCAGCTCCTCTCTCTTGCTCTGAGCCAGCAGCTCCTCTCTCTTGCTCTTGATCTTCTCACCAAGCTCCTTCACGTTCTGGTCGATTAGCCATCCTAGGTCGTTCAGGTCGATCATGTTCAGTCCCTGAAGAGGCCTACCAGTGAGGGTCTGGAACATCACCCTGGACACCTCCTTTTCTCTGTTCTCTTTCCTCAGCCTCTTGAGCTGCTCGTGGGCCTTCACGATCCGCTGCCTGAGAAAGGTCTCCTGGTTGAACATCTTCCGCCCTTGTTCCATCTCCGGCATATTTCTGAATTGCGCGATAACACGCTGCACGCCGGAAGGGGATGGCCAGATATCAGGGAGAGACTCATACTGGCTATAGATTAGGGCACACGCTGGAACGTCACAGAGTGTGCTCAGTTCACTTATCTTCTTTATCAAGCCCCTCTTCCTTTTTTTGAAAGTGGCTTTTCTGGTTGAGTCGTTAGCTATATAGGCCAGCTTGACCTTCTTTCTAGTCATGGCTCAAAAGGAAGAAAAAAAATGGAGAGAGAGATAAATTGCAAACTAGGGAAGAAGAAGAAGAAGAAGGAAGAGCCTTAGAAGAAGATGGCTTAGCCCCAAACAGCCTGGTTATATAGCAGCAGAAGGGCTACCTAACCATCTCTAGAAGATTACATCCTAAATAGAAATTTAATGCTCTTACAAAGCAGGAGCTATGAACATCAATATAGAACATTTTGGTATGTCTCGGTAGATTTTTATTAGCAAAAATAAAAAATTTGTAATATGATGCAGAAAATTTAGTGAATTGAGTTTGGTGGATGTTTTATGTGTGTTTTTTTTTTCTATATTTAAAAAAATAAAAAAAATTCATGGGACTTCTTATCCACCCTTGGGTTTATATGGAAGTATATAATTGTCTGTTAATTCTCATACATACATGCATTACAACACAGATGTTGATGTGGTTCATTCAATCTATATTATATCTTTGGTAATTATTATTTATAAGGTAATCCAATCCATTATTGTTTAGGATTTTTCTTTTTCTTTTTCTTTTTCTGTCTCTTTTCTGTCATGCTTCTATTTTCTTGACCCATGTCCTAATAACAATTAAAATACTATATCTGGACAATTTATATTTCTAATTTTACTTTCACCATATTTATGGTGTGCTACTTAGGTGGAGTAGGTATGTATCAAAATTATTTCTATTCTTAATTTTTCATGCATTTAAAAAAAGTCTCTCAGACTCGAGAACAAGACTTTCAACTCGAGAACATGACTCTCAAACCGCCCAAGACTGGCCATCCATCCCACCTCCTAATGCTCACCGAGCACTCAAAAAATGCAATGACCTATTTGAAACGTATGGTGTGCTACGAGCATTGGAATTATTTTAGTTCCTAATTTTTCACGTGTTTACTAGTTAGTACACGAGGAATTAAAAGTAATGTGAGTTCCACATTAAAATTCATAATTTAATACCTAAGCAATCGGGAATTAGACTTGATTAAGGAGAGTAGCTGATAATATTTCTATTCCTTGTCTCCCCTATATACCTTGCTTCTCTCATTCATAACTCCGCCCAAGATTGGCCAACCATCCCTCCTCCTAATGGTCACGCGCGCCCATGAATCCAATCCAATGGCCAATTTGAAATTTCATCTCGCGATGACCATGACAAATGTCAAACGTACAAAAGTTGTAGACAAAACGTTAAGATCGAACTTTTCTTTATTGAAGTGTAGGGATGTTGCATAGAGAATAACTACGGTATTTAATTTCTTTTTTTTTGTTGATACAAATGATATTGGGGAGGTGGATCTCATATGCAAAATAAATGCTCTTAATCACTTGAGCTACAAGTTATTTACACGATATTTTAACCTTTATTAATATAATTTTGGCTTCTTATTTGAAATGAAATATATTCATTTTAACGTGCAAATCACACTCATTCCATCTAAACTTTTAAATTCACAATGACGAATATATAAATAATAAAAAATCATTAAAATTAACAATTTGGGCTTTTTTAATGGGCTTGAATTCACAAATATAGTCAAATATTTGGAGGCCCAAAAAACCCTGCATTATGTCTATTCCAATTATGCTCAAATTCATAGCCCTAGTTTGGTTTGGTGGGCTTAGTGTCAGTCAGGAACACGGCGTCTTGTATCCAAGCCCAAAGCTGCCCGGACTCTGGAACCCAACCTCAGACGTCGGTTTCGAACGAACGACGAAGACTAGGGCTTCGCCTTCTTCCGTGGCTCCGATTCTGCCCTAGGTACGCTATATGGCTGCTCTTCTCTAGATGTCGCAGGATGAAAACTTCGATTTATTTTCTATGGTCTAATATGATGTGTTTGAGTGATTTTAGCGTTGGATTTTGAGTTGAATTTGGTATAATTGGTGCTGATTCTTGATTTTATTATAGTGAGAAAATTCTAGGTTTTTTTAGTAAGACAGAGACCTGGAAAGGCAGCGATGTAAGCTTTATGTTAGACACTGGTCTTCGAAGCAACGCAGAACTTGAGCAAAATCCTATTGGCGTTATGATGACAACTCTGGCCATACAACCAATAATGATAGTTCAACCCACTGCTACATGTGTTTTTTTTCCCGTAATGCCTCTTTTTTTGTAAGTTGAAGGATAGGCTTATTTATAGTTTGGTTTGGAAGTTTCAAGGATTTCATATAAAATATATTTATTGAATATGATGGAAAGCACCAAACTTCGGTGGCTGGAAAATTTGCTGAAATCAATATTGGTTTGCCATGAATATACAAGCAGCAGGTATTTTAAACAGTTTGCCATGAATATTGCTGAAATCAATAGGGTTCTGAATTTTGTTTCCTGAGTGTGTATCTTCTCAAAACGGATGGAACCAAAGAGATTCTATTATCATTCGCTTCTCTGAAATGTATGGTTTGGGATTTTGTAGTTGCAGGTGAAGAGGATGAAAGTCAACATCTTGCGTATCCTTGTTAATGTGTTTTCAGTTCCTTTCTTTTAAATGCACTACCTTTATACTATTTATAACTATCGTTTATATTTTCCTTTTCTTTCACTTCTATGGTGTTAACTTTGTTGCATTTATTTAATCCTGGTAGAATGAATTTTAGCTTGATGGTATCAAATTCATATGATTTGGCTTCTTCAAGAATTACTAATTGTTGATCGGCTTGCAAATTTTACATTGTGATCTTGTTTGCTAATTAATTTGCCTTTACTTGAAAAGTGTTTGTTGTGAAAGGTATTGCACACGTTTTCTAGAAACAGTTTTCTCTTAACTGACTCTCGTTTCGAATATCTGATGGGCTTTTCAAACAGAGTATGTCCTCTTTATCTCTTCTCTATCTGTTATATTCATTAATCAATTGCTGCACTCGTGAATGTTTATCAATTTAACAATGATGTACTCTTGGAGCTCTAATTCTTATCCTTTTCAACCTGCAGGTGGCATGCTGTTGCTTCATGGACATGGGATGCACAAGATGAAACATGTGGGATTTGCAGGATGGCATTTGATGGTTGTTGTCCTGATTGTAAGCTCCCTGGGGATGTTTGCCCACTAAGTAAGTAGCTAACATTATTCGCTTGATGCCTTGCATAATATTTCATGTTTCACCAAATTCTGATGCCTCTCTTATTATTAAAGATCTAAGTCTGGAATAGAGTTTCAGATTGACCTATAAACCACAATAGATTTTCCAATTGACCTATAAACTTATGATGTTTGAGTAGTGAAGCACATGGTGTCTCTATACGCATTTGGTTATGCCTTTTTCACATTTTTCTATTCTGATTTGTGCGGTTCTTGCTACTCATTCATATATAATGACATCAATTCGTATCAATGCTTTGTTTCACAATAGTATGGAATATACAGTTCATTGTTAATTTACAAGCATTGGCATTTGGATTTTCTTTCTTTTTCTTCAATGAACTACCCAAATATGATTCAAAGATCTAACAGCAGATCTTCCGCTGACATCTTAGAACATCATTTTACACATGGTTTGCAATGCACAGCTAACATGGTATCCTACCAAACTAACAGTCAAACCCTATATTCTTGTTCTGTTATCAAGAAGGCCAACCAAATTGCTTACAATGCATTTAAGGTGGGAAAGCCTTTATTATTTTGTGCATTGACTGACTAGATTCAGACATTTCATCGTTTGCATTAGCAGTCTGATTTGTGTTTCTTTGTTTATGATTTGATATTAATTATTGGGTTCATTTTTTGTACAGCTTGATGATAATTCACTAAATTATTCTTTTATCTTGCAGTTTGGGGTGCATGCAACCATGCTTTCCATCTTCATTGCATCTTAAAATGGGTAAATTCACAGACTTCTCAGGCACATTGCCCCATGTGTCGCAGGGAGTGGCAATTCAAAGGATGAGATAAAAGTAGAAATCACTCTTCAAGTGCAGGGGTTGCCAATGCGAGCTTCTAATTGTTTGATTGTATACTGGTTGATATAAATTGTACACCTGTGTATATCTACTGTGTATTAGTTGATGTAAACTAAAGTACCTCCATCTCGAGGTTTCACATGAACCACTTTTTGTTTATTTGGTCTGATAAGCGATATTGGGTGATCATAAAAATAATTTTTAAAACCGGTAATCGTTTTTAGGTTCTGTTTATGTTTTGTAATTCAATTGAGATACGGAATGAGGAGGCGAATTTAAAGTAGTTACAACTTTTAGCGGCGGTTACATGTATCGTCGCTGAAAGGAATTGTACCTACGGTTAGCGACGAAAAAAAACCGCTGCCAAACACAATTTGATCAGTTGGGGCATAAATTTCGTCACTATAGGTCCTTAAGCCGTCACTAATCGCGGCTAAAACTCAAAACCGTCATTTATTGCCAGATTAGCTACAATATGCTGATTGAATGATTTCTCCTCCTGTTTTTCGTTAGACATTTATTGAATACCCTAAGAAATTTAGTAAGCTGCAAAAGAATATTATTTACCATTTACCACATATAAATTTTTTTTTTTTTTTTTTTTTTTTTTTTTTTTTTTTTTTTTTTTGAAATGTTTTTATGTGATTATTTTTTTTTAGTCTTATGTTTGGGACTTATTATGTTTCTTTTTATCCTACAAAATGCAATTTTGAGAATCTTTTTCGAACTGAAAAAGAACCCCATTTCTCAGATGGTAAGTGTTTATATATTACATTAAAATGTAGTTGAAAATTTCACTGAATTTTGTAGTTTTTTTAATGGAAATATTGTGGATGTACAAAGCTTTTAGACCTGCCTCTTATTATCTGCTTCTCCCTTTAAACTGGTAAATATTGTTGTTTTTGCTCCTCGTGATCTTATCTTGATGATTTGTTCATGTCAATGTGGAATTGAATATCATAAAGGGTTATCAATTTGGATACGTTTAGAGAGTTGGCTTCAACTTTTCACGGATTCTCACTTTCATATTTTAACTTGTTTCATACGCAACCACGTAGATTAGACACCATCTGTGCTTCTCCTGCCTTTTCTTTTCTATTTTGTTCCCACATCACGGCAAATGTACAGTTGGTCAGTCTTTGAAAATCCAACAGAAAATTGTAGAACAAAGTACTATTGACCAAAGAAAGTGACAAATAAACTAAAAGCTTTTGTATTTGAGCATAAAATAGCTTTTATATCTCAACCCCATTAGTTCTTATTGATAAAATACTATCGCTCTTTTATCAAAATCTCAACCCCGTTAGTAAAGGTAATTAAACACCTCAGGTTTGAGCTTCAGTACTGTTTTGCCCTAATTAAAGTGCTTGGATTGGATGCAATGCAAGGTAGCTTCCTTCGTTGTTCTTTTCTACAAATGTACAAGCCAGCAGACACGAGATGTCACGTCACATGTGGATGAACAATTTTTCTTTTCCTCTCTCGAACAGAACCAAAGTAACCCAATACGGGATTTTCTAATCAAATTTTATAATAACCAATATGCTAATTCTAGATAGAAGAAGGATTATGATTGGAGGGGTTGTTCTGATGTTCTCTTTGCTTAATACTGAAGTTACATATAATAATATATGAAGCAGTCAAAAAGCCACTGATACCCCCAAACCCAATAGGGTGGGATTAGAACGTACACAAGTCACATTGAAAATCAATAACTAATGTTTTAAGAGACATGAATCACCAGACCTACCATCCACCCTTTACAACAGATTGATAAGGAGGTGGAAGGAGGATAAAATCAAAAGGAAGAAAGAAAAATAAATGAACAACGGACAAAACCACACTACATGAAGTATCAACCGTCCATCTGGATACACCAGATAAAGCACTATCCATCAAACGGCTGAAAACAATCCCATAATTCAGAAACCAAAAGACATATGTGCCCTTCACATCTCTACATACCTGTCAAGGAAGAAACGTAAAAGTGTCAGAACGATGATGGCGTGAATTTAGTGCAGGCCGTGTCATGTGGACCAACAGCGCTACCCATTTTCTCCATTGAATCATGGCTGGGCTGGCTGCTGACCCAATGAAAGGGATGTTTGCTTAATCATGCAGTTTAAAGTACTCCTCTCTTTTTTATGCTTTAGCACAGTAGAAAATGGCCGTAACTTACAGACATATTTACAGTGTGCGTGAGAAAAACCCCGGTCCCCGTACCCTTCCCCTTCCCAACTTCGGGAAAACTCCCTCTTTTCTTTGTTGTATTGAAATATCAAACAGAAGATAAAATTTTCAGTGAAAAAGAGATGTGGGTTCTTACAGAAATTGAAGTCTCATTTAGTGATGGCATAGACAGCATAGATAATCCCAGGGATGTAACCGAAAAAAGTCAGCAGCAGACAGATCCAGAATTCAACCTGAAAATCACAAATTCGCCACAATTAAGTTCTATAAACACGCACAAACACATATTAAATAAATTAATGAGCTCCGAATCAAGTTTTAGAAGATACTAACATGGCAGCCAAACTTGAGGAAGACACCAAGAGGAGGCAAGAGGATGGCTATGAGGATGTCTACGAAGTTTGCTGTTCCTTCACTCGGCATGGCTGTAGATATGGAGGACCCTTTTTTTCTTCTTCTTTTCAAGAAAAATGAGAACTTCGTGAGATTTGACAGTGCAAGAAGAAGACTGCTTTTGTGTTGTGACAAAAACTGAAAGACTGTGAGTGGTTATATATACAGCTGCTCTGCAGCTGATGAGCCACGTGGAGGTCATGCATTGGCCACTGGGTGTAGATACAGTGTGTACGCGGTTCCTTAGCCCTGTAAAGTTTCTATTGTAAATCTAACTTTTGGGGGGGTTCTCTGTTCTCAGATTCATACAGGCTATACAGCCGAATCCGAATAAAGAAAAAAAGAAAAAAGAATCATATACAGCTATGTTTGGTCCAATAGAATCATTAATGGGTGAACATGTCACTCTCCCATGTGCTTATTCTTCTTCCTCTTCTTCTTAAACCTAATCGACCATTTTGTGTACTCATGCAAAAAAATGTCAAAGCATATACAGTATAGCTTCCCCTTCTCTCTTATTTACCGTTGTAAGTAGGAGCTCCCTACATTCCTGCTAATAGCAGTGTGACATACGTGCAAAAGATTTTCTTTTTGTGTTTTTGAAGAATTATTTTTGCATATGCGTGTCAAATTGTGATTCGCATAAAGGAGAAGTATCTCTTTACATGAAAGGAAGCAAGCATTATCCTAAATAAATATTTGCTTTTAAACTTAGATTATAGTTATGGAAAGATGGATATTGTTAGAATCCAATGGGTGCTAATAACCAGACATAAAATTCACCCTTATCCAAAGTGTGCCATATGTTGACGATGACATATAAACGTGCAACATATTTGAGTTGTTGAAGTAACAATTGACTTCTGATAAATTTTAGTATTTGGCATGACCCTCAAATTTTTTAAATGGTGGAACTGGGGTCCTTTTGTTTTGTTTGAAGTGAAATGTGGTCCTTAACATGAAAAGCTTTTGCCTTTTTGTGCAAGTAGTTAGTTATATAATGGAATCGATAAATCCTACTAAAATTATAACCGAAATTGAAGAGTTATTATGTAATTGTAAGCACGTTTGTCCCTACACTCGAGGTCTAATTATCGTTATTAAAAAACTTACATTGCTGATAATAACATTCTTTCTTTTTCATGGTTGGTTTTCTTGTTGATTGTGGATTTTGGTCACGTTCCATAGTCTTGTAACTTTGTAATTGATCCAAGTGTTTTTCTTGGTATTCATGTACCAAAATACTAATACTAGATTATGATAATTATTTCGTCGGGGTTCTATACGAAATGTTAAATGGCGCGTGAGGGCTGGACCTCTGAATTGCAATGTCGACCAGGCTGTATCCAAAATCTAACGGCTCGTAGGTTGCCGCGACATGCTGAAACGACGGCGGTGATGGAGGCTTCAAATATGATGCATGCACACTATGCACGTGTCGTAACCGTCCTTCTCAATCTTCATGCATAAGACTTGACCCTTCCCACGTGCGACTTATGGAGCTCATGGGCTGAACCAAAAGAATATTACACAATTCGATGTTTAAATCATATTTGCTATTATAAAATTGAAACATACGTGATAGTTTTGAAGGTTTTGATTCCCCCATTATGCTTAATGCGGAAAATACTGTATTTTATTTCTTGATTTGATTAGCTGGCGAATTGCCTTTTGATTAAAGGTAAAAGAATCGCAAAGAAAAAGATTAAAAAATAAAAAAGGATAGGGTTTCTCGTCTCGTGGGACATAGGAATTAGTTTGAGAATTTCTTCATTAGATTATTATTACAATTTAATTGTACCATGTTCTTCTTTTCGGTGAAATAATTGGACAATATTCTTCGTAAAATGGTTGTGCCAAAAACAAAAATGGAGCAATCGTTGGGCCCATTTGTTACAGTATGAGCTTTGCGGAGATGGTATTAGATATGTATGAGGGAAAAATGTATTATACGCGGTTGAATTTTTTCGAGCGGGTTGAATGTTTGTTGAAACGAACAATACGACGAGAAAATCTCAAGTGTAATCGGTTGTATATAATTAATGACGTTAAATGCTTTGGAACGTGGAATGCAGGTCCAATTCTGAAACATGGCTTGGTAATCTTAGCTTATGTGAAGAAGCAAGATTAGATCTTTTTTTCTTTCCCTTCTCTACTTGGTCTTTGCACAAAATTAATTTGACAAACAGAGAAAAATAGGGTAGAGAGTTTAATTCTGGAAAGCAAATGGATTGTGAGTCAAATATGAGGCCTCTAAAATTTCTTATTAAAATCCCAAAAAAAGGAAAAAGAACAAAAAAACAAATGAACAATCCGTTTGGCTAGATACACCAGATAATTTATTAGGTTCTATACGCGAACAATTGAAAACACAAGCCCTTCATACAGAAACAAAACACACAAACACACACAGCTGCCCTTCACATCTCTTCCACCTGTCCATTGAAAAAAGACAACAAAAAGGAAGCTCATCAGTTGTTAGTGCAGGTCACGTCATGTGGCCCAATGAAAAGGCATATATGTTTGCTTAATTATGCAGTTTCATTCCTGTTTCTTACTTTTCCTTCAAGTAAAAGTAAAATAAATAAAAAAATAAAAAGCTTACAGAAATTGTTGAAGGATCACTTGGTGAGGATGTAGATGGCATAGATAATACCAGGGAGATAACCAAAAATAGTCAAAATCAAACAGATCCAAAATTCCGCCTGAAAAATCATAAATCCGCCCCCAACATAAGCACATATTTACAACATCAAAATTCTGTCTATAAAACACACACAAATATATGTTAGGTAAAAAAAATACTGACTTCGCAGCCGAACTTGAGGAAGACACCAAGAGGAGGCAAGAGGATGGCTATGATGATGTCAACGCAAGTTGCCGTGCCCATTCTAATGGAGTTTTTTTTTCTTTCTGGTTCTTCTGAGGACAAATTTAGATCAACTTTGAGAAAATATCCAACCGCTTTGTGTTGTTTGACAGGAACTAGAGAGTGTAGAGTGTGGTTTTATATAGAGTCTGCTCCTTCTGCTGCTGGGGGGTGCCACTACGTGGAGGCTGTTTATTGGGTGCACACACAGCACATATTTCCGAATAAAGGAAAATGATTTATACAGCTACGTTCCTTAAATGGGTGAGCGTGACACGTGTCTGGCTCTTGTGTGCATCTTGTTCTGCATGGACCATTGTGTCTACCGACATAATTTATTTCTTTATTTTAATTTATTTTTTCATAAGAAATTGTGTCACATATGCATAAAATATCTAAGGGTTTTTGAGATATTTAGGGAGCTCACATGATAATAATAACATCATTCCACTTGATTGTTGGGTTTGCGAGGTGGGACCCACTGGAATGTATCGACCTGTCAGTAAGGAAGATCGAACGGAGCGTACGTTGCCACTGCGCGCTGCAACAACGGCCGTGATGGAGGCTCTTCCTAAACGACAGAAAAACTTATCCAAACGCCGTCCTTCTCAATCTTCATGTTGATGCCCACATCCATAACATGCGACGTGGGGTTTTATTTGACTACAATGCCAAAAGACAACAATTTGGCATTGTAAAATTGAAACATAAATGATAGCTTAGAACATTTTGCCGACTAAAAAAATACAATTTTTTCATTTGACTACCTGCCCAATAACAGGATCCCAAAGAAAAAACGTAAAAACGAAAAAAGAAAAGGGTTGCCTTGGTTAATTGGGAATTAGTTTGAGAAATTTTTATTTAAATTATTAAATTGGGCTGATAGTGTTACAATTAAATTGGGCATCTCATATTTCAATGTAGAGTCAAATGTAATGGTTTGCAAACTTGGGCCCCAGTTAGTAACATGGGTTTTGAAGAGAAGTACATGGTTGAGTCATCTAGGCCATAAAGCCCAAAAAATATATATACACACACAAAAAAAAACATTAGGCTTTGTAATCTTTAAATATCTTTTCTATATACTAAATGCACCTTAGTTTGGTGAGCTTGCGACAAGTATGCAGTCATGGACGTGTCCTTTGTCGCAAATTCGATAGTGATCTCGTTGACAACCAATTGAGAGTCGATGTAGATGCTTCTCTGTTGAACAACCATATCTCTTGCTAGTCGAAGGCCGATCAAGAGGGATTCATATTTGGCCTCGTTGTTGGAGGCTTTAAATTGAAAGCGAATGGCGTATTCGATGGTGACTTGATTGGGTGCCGTTAGAACCGGGTCGGCGATGCTACCCTGCCGATTGGATGATCTGTTAACATGTAACGTCCACAGAGGGATAATGGGGCCAAATGTGCCATCAGTTGGTGTAGGGTTTAGGGCTCTGATGAGGCAGAGGATGATGTGTCATCTACTGATGAGTAGGGGTGGGCACAATTTCAATTCAACCCTACCGAACTGCCTAACCCTATGATAGTGGGTTGGATTGGCCTAAAAATGAGTGGGTCTTGGGTTAAAAAAATCATAAACCACTATTTACGGGTTGAGTTATGGGTTGAAACAAAAACATAAAAGTAGGCTTAATTTTGAGTTAATCTGACTGAATCGCCCAACCCAATCACCAAAGGTTTGGGTTAGGTTGGCCTAATAATGAACGGGTTTTGGGTCCAAGAAATCATAAACCCTTATATATCGAGTTGGGACTAAAATCAACCCAGCCCAACCCATGCCTACCCCTACCGATGAAGGTGTGAGCAAAAAGATGAAATCAACAACTGCTCGCCCCTCTGACTAATCATGACGCCTAGAAATTTGCCGGAGAAAATGCCAAAGGCGCACTTTGTAGGAACGAGATGCATCCTATACTTTTGGACCCAACTTAGAAGTGATTTTGCCTTCGGTCTTGTCTGCTCCTCGGCAGAGGAGAGAGTTATCTGCAAGGAGAAGGGAAAGAGAAACGGTGAGACTTTAGGCATTGGTGTGGTACTGATAGAAGGCCCTCCAATGCTTAAGTAAGTAGAAGGAAAATAAGAGTAAGTAATTGGACATAATAAGGTTACTAGTGCCAAGTTACTATTATTAGGTGCATTGGGGCAAGAGCCATATTTTTAGACCATTGGGGTGGAGCACCTTGGGTTGTTATTTTGATGTGGGATTGTAATCATCACCTGAGAGGCTGCCACGTGTCCAGAAGAGGTAGTGATATGGTTGGTACCTTCATAATCGGGATCGGCATGTAGGTTACCAAAGGTTAACCTTGCTGATGGCAGTTTGTGGGCTTTAGCAACTACGTTGGATTTCATGGGCCTTTGTTTGATGCCACACATGTCTTGACGAGATGGTCCAGTCATGTATGGTGCAAACAAGGTTAGGTGGGATTAAACGTCTAGCCTTACTCTTTGCAAATGTGGTACAAACGTCTAGCGTTACGCATTTTTTGGGGAAGGAAATACTACAATAAATTATTAGCACATTTGCTTTGCTCTATGACTTGCACGGTAGAATGGTTCTTGGCTGCTGAAAAGTTATAACTTGATATGCTAATTAAACTTCTAAATTGATCTGCAATCCTCATGGTTTCAAAAAAAATTGTTTGGGAAAAAGTGATCAAAATTCCAACAAATTGCATGAGGATTTTGTGATAAGATAAATTTCTTGTGTCTTCTTTTCTCACTAGAATTTTGTGATCATTTTCAAACGCATGAATAGTTTATATATAAAAATGTTTTTGTTGTGAACATTATAACATATTGAAGTGATGGGAGTCAATTAAGATATTGGAGAAAACTAAAATCAGCAAATATAATTGATTATTGGAACATCAGCACGATCCACTTCAACATCTGGCTCCACTGACTAGGGATTAGTTGAGCAAAAGTTAGTAACTTGGTATCATCCCGAGCTGTCCATTCATCCTGTAAGCCCACCTCAATCAAGAAACTAGAAACATGTAAAGAAAATAGAAACAAGCAGCAAAAAAAGCAACAACAAGAAGCAAATCAAAATCTATTAAGCAAAGCACCAATGAGAGCTTGACACCAAGTTCTCAAAAGCACGCAGATAATTGAGCTCAATTTCTCATAGCATTCCCATTAGAATCTCAAACAAGTTTATTAAGACAATTTGAAGTAATGATGTAAATGAGGCAAGAAAGTTGACTATCATTTCCCACTATAAAAAAGTAGCAGTACCATTAATTTAAATGAATTTTATTTGATTTCTTGGACTGCCTACGAATATATTGTGACTTTTGACCTAAGGACGTTTATGATTTCGTGTAAATTTTTATACTGAACTTTATTTATAAGTATAGTGAATCTTGCAGTGATTTCCAGAACATTAAATCCCCTAGAAAATGTCACCTTGAGGTATATATGTTTCCAATGGCTTCAATTGGATCACAAATTTTATTTTGGAGTTGTTTCTTATATATTTTAATTTGTTATAGATTTATTAGAGAAGCTAGAAGAAAAAATAACTCTGCATTGTTAAGGATGTTATTATAGCTGGGCATCTTAAAAGAGGACACACATGATACCAAATTTTGCTAGGCCAGAGGACACACATGAACTCTGGTTTGGCTTAGGCCAGCGTTAAAGAAGTCCTCTGCTGTTGCATTTGCTGTGTGTGCGTCCTTACAGATGAACCCGTTGACTTTAATTTCTTTTTGAATATTCACAATTCACTTAGGATGAAGCAAAACTTGCACTAAAATTTCCCATGATTTTATGTGTTCACGTTTAGCACCATTATACTGAAACATTGGAAATATAAAGAAGAAGAGGTGAACTCGGCCACATAAATGTCTTGAAGCAAAGTACGGATCAGCAGCGGAGTTGCCAAAGACAATGGCAAAGTCACAATAAACAGTGCCAACATACCCGTCACTGTTGCTGGTTAGAAAGAAATCGAATAGAAATAGAAGCAGATAGTAGAAATTGTGTATGAATGAATCCATAGGACGAAGGGGGAGAGCTAGGCTGAATATTTATAGCAAAGAGTAGTTAAAATAAATAAATAAATAAGATTCTTTCATAGAATCATAATATATATTTGGATATTGCATACATCAGTGTGACAATAATGTCATTTGTGATCAAGCTTAATAACAAATCTATGTGTAAAAAAGAAAACAAAAAATTAATATGATAGGTCAAAATGGAGACGCATATGCATATTGGTGCTGTAGTGTTGGCCACCATGGTATCACATATGTGAAAACATGTTTTCCAGGACAAACAATAGCACTATATGGCCAAAGCATGACGACCTCTAGAGTTTTAGTACGAAGGTCGTACATGACTTGGCGTTGAAACAATTGTAGATACCTTGGGACATCGAGGAGTAGGAGGAAGAGCAACCCACTGCTTAGTGTAGGGATTACAGATGTAGTAGTCACGTTGATTGAACCAAGTTGCGCAGCAACAAACTAGATCATTATATGTCCCAACCACAAGTGGTTCTCTTCCTGTGGCTCCATAGCAAGGGAGGAAACTGAAAGAGAACTTACGCCTGTGTTTGCTGTGTATTCCCAACTGCTCCTCTATTGAAAAAAATTCCGTCTTCCTATCTGTATCATCCGAGAAGATGAGGGCATGTTTAATGGGGTTTTTCCGTTCACGTTGAATACATAGAAAACGACGAAAGAAATAAGGATCAGAGATGAGAAGATACCAATTTTTGGATACGCACTTGTATTGAGAAGTGGATTTCTGTGGGAGTCGGCAAAGAATTTCAACCAATATGTGGTCAGGCAGGTCATCAATACTCGGGAATTTTGATGAGGATATTGGCAATTTTTTGTATCTTTTAAAGTCAGACTGATGATCTTGATCATGATCATGATAGGAGGAGGGCAGGTATTGTGATATTCTTGCCCTATAGCTTCTTTTTGTACACATGGACCTGGTGCCGCCACCTCTCATACACATGGTGCCAGAAACCAATGGAGATTTGCGATTGCAGGTGACGTACGTTATAAGTAGTAGAAACGTATGTATAAGGCTAGAAGCTGTACAAAAACTAGGGCACTTTACTTTCTATATATATATAGAGCGAGAGAGGTGTTTGTTTCAATATGCATATGTGTGATAAGATAGGAAACAAATCCAAGCAAAATAAGGATTCCGAAAGAAATCAACTTTTTTAAGTGGGAAAGAAATACAAACAAAACAAGGATTAGGAAATAAATTAATAATCAACTGATTAATTATAGGAATCCCGATACTCCTATTGAAATTAGAAACCAACTTTTCTAAATAATTAAAACATGAAACTACTTAGTACATAGGTCAAATCTTATGAACGACAATTAATTACAACTTTTATAATAAAAAAAGCCTTATCCATGTCACAACCCACCAATCACTACAAGGAAAAACCTTTTTTGCGACCAAATTTTTGGCGACCAACCCAACTTTGGTCGCCCAATAGAGTTATTAGCGAGGACATTTTGTATTTTCGTCGCCAAAAGTTTTGTGAGATGTAGGCATGGATTAAGACTTCAACCAACTAATTGGCGACAAAATCTTTTTGAAGGGCAACCAAAATATTTCGACGCTGTTCAATGAATTCGCGACCAAATGTAATTTTGGTCGCCCTTTTTCAATTTTGGCTACCCGCGAAATCTAAAATTAAATCTGACCAAAATATTTGGTCTCTAAGTTTACTTGGTTCGTTTGCAAATGGAAGTTGCCGCCCAAAAATTTCGTCAGATTTAGCGACCAACAAATTGGTTGCTGATCACGGAGAGGTAGGCATCTAAGGTATTAAACTAGTTTTACTTCTTTGGCCTTTTGGGTTTTGTGGTTGATTTTTAGACTAAATTCAAGCAAATAAAAAATAAAAAATTCCCCCAAACCCATCGATTCCCCCAATTCCTTTCCTTTCCTTTCTCTGGTACCTACTCTCTTCTTCTCCCACACAACACAACGGACGCCTTCAAGTAAATCCTCCATCGACGCTCCCAGCGCAATCCTTCGTCGATGACCAATCACTCATATACCCAACCTCTCTTCCTCCCGCCTTCAGATTTCTCATGCCATGAGTTATTTCCCATTCTCTCTTCCCCTCCAGATTTCTCTACTCCACTTGCTGCTACATCACCACTCTCTGACTCACGCAAATACCAGAGATTCTCTACAATCTCTTCACCCAGAGACCAACCCAGATTCAACGGTGTGTTCATTTAATTATTTTGTTTATTTAACCAATTTTCTGTAATTATTTGATTTTGATTCTAGAAAAATAAATCTTGTTTGTTTTTGTCGTAATAACGAGGTCGTAGACAGCCCCTCAACCACTGAGTTGGCGTCCTTCACCACTTCTTCATCTGCTGCTTCTATGTTAGGTATAGGTATGACAATTCTTGTTTTTTTTTTTTTTTTTTTTTTTTTTTTTTTTTTTTTTTTTTTTATTTTTTTTGAGTTTTGTAAGATGTTAATGTTTATGAAATTTAATCAAGGGTCATTGAATTATCAAATAGCTCGAAACTGAAACAAAGTTTTTTTCTTTTCTTTTCGTTCCTCTTGCGTCTGTCATCTATCTTCATTTTAGTTTATGGTTCTTTGTATGTGGATAATATCGGTGACCAACTTAATAAATAGCACTTGCCTTTTATTTTTTATTTAATATTCCTAATTTGAAATGAGGAACCTGTACCTTTTACATAGTTGTCGATTTTTTCATGTTGTGTATTGTTGGGGTTATACATGTTGTTTTACCTCCTTTTAATATTTTTTGTGCTTCCCTTGTTTTAATACCTTTACCTAAAAATAATTTCTTTCTGCCCTTGGACTTGGGAGACACCACAACCTCGTTTTGGACCATTTAGTTTTATCTTGGGGCTTTCTCTTGAATATTTGGTGCTTTTTGTGATTGGTTTTATTATGTTGTTGTTTTGGGTTAAATGAGCAAAAGAATAATGCTTTTGGCATTTGCTTGAATTATGATGATTAGTTAAACTTAGGAGGGTGGAGGCATATACTATTTTGAGTTTGAAGAGTAATTTGATCTAAAGCTCTCTCAAAATTAAGTGATTTGCTATGTTTGTATTTTCTAAAATTAGTTTTCTTGGTTTAGACCGTGCATATTAAACATTCCCATATAGATCCATTTCCTTTTGTTGGAGAGAGGAGATCTTATCTTATTTTTATTGTCTTTTTGAACAGAGAGAAATAATTTGATCATACAAGGGAGTCACTTACAGCTGTTTAACAGGTTATTATTTTTTGTTTGTCAG